TTGTAATACGTTTAGCAAATGGGGCGAAGCAATGTTAAATGATGATTAACGTGATCATTTTGAGGAAGTGACACTGACAATGTCATCAATGTCTCCATTGCAGTTTCAAGGACCCGTTAAGAAGCTCAACCATGTCTATTTTAGACATTGGCCTGCTGACAGGGTTTAAAGTGGATGAACGTGATCTTTCAAAGGTAATTGATTCTGAAAGTTGATTTGTAAAATTGTAAGCTCCGAATATTTACGAGTCCAACATATTGAATTCTTCCATAGTAATACAAGTGCCATTAAATTCATATAATGCCAGGGCATTGATATCACAGCCGTTTTTCCCCCCTCATGATTTTTTCACCAGTTATCTTCCGGTAAGGATAAGTACATTCAGAGTTTTGAGTTGAACAAGGAGCTTTCAGAGCGAGGATCTCTTATCATCTACATAGATAAGGTAAAATCAATGCCACTATTCCTATATATTAGTTTCATTTCTCTCTTTTATGATTGCAACTGATTTATTTCTCCTTTGCTGTAAGCAATTTGGTAAATTGCTGTATGGCATATGAATGCTCTAATTTTAGTGTTTTACTTAATGTCATTTTAGATTTCTCATAAACAAAAGGAAAGGATTGTTTTCAGAATTCATAAGCTCAATGAAGTGGGAATGCTGCAGCCCGCCGGTGTCACTGTATACGAGTACAACGCTCCAGGTACATTACAGTCACACACATGAAGCATACCAACACACATCAGTGCCAAGAGGACTAGAAAAGAAAACCATCTAACTAGGGGTGTGATGAGATCATGTGGTATGAGATCTCGCAATATTAAAACGTGACGATATTGGAGGTGAAAAGCTGTCTCACAATATGTCAAAGTTGAGTTTGTGTCTTTTGCTGCTTACGGTTACGATTCATACTCAGAAAGTAGAACTGAAGTGAAATTCATTTCATAGGCGGCATTCTTTGTCAACACATCTGCAAAATACCGGAAGTGTTGCATTTCACTGCCGTTCCGCCATTGTATTGAATGTATTCTTGTCGACAATTAATCGATAATCGATTAACCGTTTGCATCCCTAATTAAGACCATTTAAAAATCATAATAAATCATATTGTAAAATCTCAAAAGCTGCAATTCAATTAAATACATAACTGTCAACCCTCCCGTATTTTCCGGGTTTCTCACGTATTTTATCTCTGTTCCCGCTGTCTTCCCGTTTTAGTATTTTTCCCGTAAAATATCCCGTATTTTTACGCTCTGATTGTGTGAGACGTACAAGCTCGGACCTATTCGGCTTGAAGTCGTTCATACTCGGATGCAGCGCAAAAAAAACAACCAAAAAAACGATGTTTATATTATGTCAAAAAAAATTCCATTATTTTTGCCTATATATATTTTCATGTCTTTTTTTTTAACAATCGAGTCCTGGTGTCCACTACAGAGGTCATAGCATAACATAGGAATACAATATCTTTTTTTTTATTTTTTTTTAGTTTCTTATGCTCTTAATAATGTAAAAAATGGATGGATTCCGGGAAATCTCCCTTATTTTCAATGTTCAATGTTGACAGCTATGATTAAATATACACACACAGTTTGGACCGTCTCTGCTTGTTTGCAATGCAAGGATAAATAAAGAACTGGTTGTTTAAATAAGTACAGCATTTTCTTTACACAAGAAACACTATAAAGGCAATATTTTTAATGTATTTGAGGAGCGGAGGAGAGTATCTAATACTGCCTTGACATGCTATCGGAAATTTTCTACTTCCCACTTCTTCTGTCGTGTTAATTTCTTTTTAACTAGTATGATAATTCCTATAGCATGCGAAGGTATTATTAGTCTAGCATTTGTTGTAGTGTCCAATAGTGCCTCAAATAGCCTGTGCGAACCACTCAATTTTTTAGAACATGAGATTTTGGACAAATGACAGAAAAAACTGAGTTCCCACATTAAAAAGCCGATGAACACGTATAATGCGATGCACTTACTGCCTCAGATTAGCAGACTACCTGCCGTTAAATTGACAAAAACCTTGTAACTTCATTTGAGCTTGATTTTGGTAAAAAGTTATGAATATAACGCAAGTGTCAGACCACATTTAAAACAACAATATCCACTTTTGACTTAATTAAAGTTAACTGGCGTTTAATTATTTAAAACAATACATTGTTTTCTCTATTTCCTAAAGTAATGGTTTTGGACATAAAATGTTTCCGTTCGACAGCTTCGATATGCTGCACTTTATTATAACTTTAATGCACTTTAATATTTGAACAGATAAGCGTTGTGTGAAGTTCTATCATCCTCAAAAGAGAGACGGCGCACTGAACAGACTCTGCAGTGATGAGCTGTGCCAGTGTGCGGAAGGTACGTACACTTTGATTCGTTAAACGCAAGATGAACATCCAACAAACTTCATGAAGTCTCCATGAGAAAGAAAGAGCGTAAATGTAGTAAACGTATGAAATATCCTGACAGAGAACTGCAGTTTGCAAAAGAATGAACACATCGATGAGGACAATCGTGAAAAAAAGGCCTGTGAATCTGAAGTGGAATACGGTAAACATCCAGAAAACTAGCAATAGAGAATGTTTGATTATGTCTAGTACAATAGCGTTCCTTCTCAGGACAGTTTTATCTCCTTGATAGTCCCAGTACGACCTACAGTTCTTGTCAATTGAGCTGTTTTGTAGATGATGATGATGTTACAAATGTTTGTCTTGTAGTTTATAAAACCAGGTTGTTGGAAATGAGCTTCTCACTGCATGCAGACATCTATAACATGACGGTTGAACAAGTGCTGAAGGAAGGTACGATTTACCAGTTTCTTTCTGATTTATTGTGTCAGTGAAAAACTGATGTCAGCTGTGTTTCATGACTTCTGATCATGGAAGGTCAGACAGTCTCCATCGCACTGGCTTCATCCTCAAAGGTGTGTGTGTGTGTGTGTTTTCAGGCACTGATTCAGATGCGGAAGGGAATATGAGGTCTTTCTTGGGCCATCCTTACTGTAGAGACTTTCTGAAATTTGAAAAGGGCAAGACGTACCTGGTCATGGGCCAAACCAAAACCCTTCCAAAGATTGGCGGAAAGTATGACATTTGGAGGATGATGTCGATTTGGTTTATGTGGAGATTGATACTTCAATTTTAAAATGTTTGACGATGATGTATTTGCATTTTGAATAGAAATATTATTATGGCTTATGTCTAATGAAAATGATCTCACTCTTCTCAATCATCTCAGGTTGAGGTACCACTTGGGTGAAGACACCTGGATTGAATACTGGCCGACAAACAAGGAAGGCCAGAAGGCAGAACATAGAGAAAAGTTTATCGGCTTGACCTCGCTCGCCGACAAGCTCACCCGATTTGGATGCTCCACATAAGCATTTTTATGAGCTTAAATTAATTTACTAATCAACTTAACAAGCTTTTAATTCTAGTATATTCCCAGATTAACAAGCATTTACAGCCTTTTTTTCTCTCTTTTTTTAATACAGTATGCTTAATTAAATTAGCTCAACATGATGTCTATCAAACTAAAATGTAATCATTTTTAGCCATTTCTCAAATAAAATGTGCAAATATACAACCGAATTTATTTTTCATTTTTTGAGACTTCCAATCGGATGATGTCGAAATAACATTTTTAACTTGCTAAAGATTCGAAGTCAATTTTATAAGGAAGAAATTGTGTGATTGATATTTCATTTTCATCATTTTTGACAGACAATATTGTATACCTGTTCAGAAATCACTTATATAGATTAGAAGTGAAAATATAAGACAATTTGGCAACATTTTATAGCATAGTTTGAAAACAAACATGAAAAGAGTGAGGATTTGGGGGGAAAGTCTGAATGATTTGGGCAGTAAAGTCTGAAAAGAGAACATGAAGGAAATTGTACTGCTCATTCAAGCAAACTTACCAATAAGTATCTATTATTTGTAGCACATAACCTTATAATATGAAATTGTAGTCTTTTTAAGTGGAACTTCCCTGAACTGTAAGTGCCAACCATAATATAAAACGCAGTTGACTCTTTAGATTTGTTGTTCTAGAATCTAGACGATCGTTAGGTCTTACGTTAGACCTACCTTGGAAATCTGAAAGCATTTTCCTCAGGAGTTGCCTTCATTCATTTGACGGATTTATAGTCCTAAAAAAGAACATTTGTTTAAATTGTTGCTAGATAATTTTACAGAGAGTTTATCCATCATAATCTGTTTTGGTTTTGCACAACTAATTTTTAATCGTGGACGTAAAAGTAAATCACAGCATAATAATTCAACACAATCTCAATTCTGGGAAACCCCAAAATAACTTTGTTTAACCATATAATTCAGTTGAAATGAGATGTTTTCCAACCCGGACTGATCAATAGAAGAGCAGCAGACTTACCAAAGGTTGCATTTGCACAACAGTGCAGATCATTTACGGGAAATCACTGCAGTGAACTCTGTTCTTTCCCCCATAAAGCTCCTTAAAAATCTCTTTTCTGATCAAAGTAACCGTTAGCTTAACAACGTCTAAAGTTTTAAGAATTTAAAGTCGGTTTACACACAGAACGAAAAAGCTAGACTTTTCCGATTAGTCTACATTATTAGCATCCACACTAACTGACAACTGTTTATTTCAAAATTACCTCAGCGGCAGCGCGCGTTATGAGGGAGGGTTATGATTGGCTGTCAGTGTTTTTACCGTTCATCATTAGGCTAACAAAACATGTGTCATTTTTAATATAAGCATTTGTTTGTTTTTGTACATTATACATGTTATTAAAAACATTAAATTACAATTAAAAAAATGACACAATTTAACCATTTAAATTAAAATAAAAAAATATGTTCCTCTGAGCTCTTGAGAATGAATTTAGAAGCCTTTATGGTTATGGTCGTTCTTTTTAGATTCTTTTTGTTGAAGATTTCTGCCTCATAATTTAAAAAAAAAAAAACTAATGGGAGGAGTTTAAAAGAGCTGCACAAACATGAACACTTCACACACACACAAACATGGAGGTGAAGCTGCTGTGTCTGACTGTTTTTCTCTCGTCACCCCTCCTCATCCTGTGTGACCCGCTGTGAGTATTAAACACATCGTTTTAATTAATTGTTTACTTATTATTTGGTTAGACAGAGGTTGTTTAGGTTTTGTTAATATTGCCTATACAGTTTTTTTTTTCTGTTGTGACAACTTGCCCCGTCCCACAGCTCTATTGTATTCGGGCATATTGTCGCAAATTATCAACATGTGTTTAATGTATCTTTCTTTGTCTGCATAGCAGAACTATTTTAAGCTATCCTACTGATAATAATATGTATATATTTAAATAAACCTACCACACATTCACTGGAATTAAGTGACAACTAGACCAGTGCCCTCATGTGTTCAGGATTTACACCTATTTCATTCTCATTAGGTTTGTTCTGTCAGCTCCTAATTTGCTGAGAGTGGGTTCCTCAGAGAACGTGTTTGTGGAGGCTCAGGATTACAATGGAGGAAACCTGAACGTGAGGATCTCAGTGAAGAACTTCCCAAAGAAAGACAGGGAGATACTGTCCAAAACAGTGACACTGACTGGAGTAAACAATTACCAGATCCTCACAGATATAAAGGTGATGCCACTCTGACATACTTTATCCTGATGTAAGCATGTGTCATTCATCAGAGGGCAAACTTCATATTTGAACAATCTTCTAATTTATTTGCATGTTTTAGATACGTATTTCATTATTATGTTCTGCTGTTCAGATTCCCAGTGATAGGGACTATTTCTCTGATGATCCTCTGGAGAAGCAGTATGTGTATCTACAAGCTCAGTTTCCATCCCACACTCTGGAGAAAGTGGTCATGGTCTCATTCCAGTCTGGATATATATTTGTACAGACAGACAAGCCCATCTACACGCCTGCCAGCACAGGTAAGAAACAGCTTTAGCGTTAGATGCCCCCTGTAATATCATGATGCAAAGCACAAAATAAACAACTTTTGGGTAATAAAATATCCTTTCTGCAGTTCAGTACAGGATCTTCTCGCTGACGCCTGGTCTGAAACCACTTGAACATGCTGGAATAGCAGTGGAAATCATGGTAATCTTAATAAATAAATAAAACTGCACTAAAACTTTCCTAAAAATGATTCATGCACATTAAAAGTCATCAAAACAACATAAAACTTAATCTAAAAGTGTTTTTTATTATAGCATTTACTGTTAAATTAATATGTCATGTGGTTTACCATGACTTGCATTTGTTACACTTTATGTTATTATTTATTTGTTTGTGGAAAAACACAATAATCAAATTATGTTTTTTTTTGTTTTTTTTGTTAGTTAGTTTTTTACTGTACATTTAAATTATATCTGTAATACCTAAATTATTTTATGGTGCACAATCTGTTCTGGCTGTTGATAATTAGCTGAAACAAAAATATTATAATTAAATTCATATAAATTATATATAATCATTAATCTTTTTTTTTTCTTCCTTTTTTAAAGGATCCTGAAGGCATCACAACTATGAGAGAAACCATATTTCCACAACAAGGGATTCGATCAGGAAAATATGCCGTACCTCAGCCCGCCAGGTGTGTTCATGCTGAAACGTGAGACTGTGGAGAGGAGAAGGATATTAATCCGCAGGTCTGTAATCATCTGTTTTTGATCTGCTTATATTTATAGGCCTGGGATCTGGAAAGTGGTCACGAGATTCGCAAACACGCCGCAAAAGAATTACACTGCTGACTTCGAAGTCAAAGAATATGGTAGAAGCTTTATCTATTTTTATTCAATTTGTGTTGTTTTATAACTAATGTCATACCTCATATAGTTGGACTTGTGGAAATATATATCTTTCACATTTCATTTTTTCTTATTATTTAATAGATCATCAACACATGCATTTGAGAATGTCTTTGTATTTGGCAAGTGTCTCTTTTGCTTTAATGACGGCAGCACTTGATCAGTGATATTTCATTACTATTTATATACTAGTGTAGTATTTGTAAATCATTTTTACTTTATATTGCATTTTACAGTAATTTTGTAATATGCTTTTGCCATTTAGCTTTATATTTATTTCAGTTTTAGTCAAGTTTTTTCCATCTAATTTGATCAGCTTTATTTCAGTTAGCCGAAAATGCTTTTAATAATTATAGTTTTAGTTAACAATGGTACTGATATCCATTTCTCAGATATTTCTTATTCCTCCTACATAAACAATTTACGCCAGATTTCGCAGTGTGACATTTGCCTTTTGTAACCAACAGCATGAACATGGTCATCTTTCTAGTGCTCATTATTGTTATGTGGGTTTATTGTTATAGTGCTTCCCACTTATGAAGTCACATTATCACCCAGTCAGTCGTTCTTCTCTGTGAAAGATGCTAGTTTGACGGTTAGCATTGAAGCCAAGTAAGGTTTTAATAGTTTTTTTTCTCTTAAACTACTATATTTTATTATTCTCTCCAAGGATTGATATACATTTCATTTCATATTCTCGTGTTTACTCCATAAAGTTGTGTATTTACCAAAGCACTTCAATCCTAATGTCACACATGAAGTCTGTTTGTCTAGGTACTTGCACGGAAACAACGTGAACGGACACGCGTTTGTGGTGTTTGGTGTGATGGAATTTGAGAGGAAAACTAGTATTCCTTCCTCTCTTCAAAGAGTTCAGGTGAGCTTCCCAGATAAAAACACACCTGACGTGTTAAAGTGACGCAGCCAAAGTGATGGCATTTACATAAAACACAGATATCAGATGGAGAAGGTACTGCCAAGCTGACTAAGGAGACGATACTTCAGACCTTCCCAGATATCGGCCAACTGGTTGGACAATCAATCTACATTTCGGCCAGCGTTTTAACTGACACTGGTAAGTGTAATTAAAAGTGCTGTGCCAATCTAAAGTAATTTATGCATTTCTGAGCCATGTCACAAACAATAGAGCATGAATTTAGCCCTAAAAAGTGGCATTTCATGTGAAGAAAAAAAAGTAAAATATGCATTTATTTAGTGAATATGTAAAAAAAAATTAAGCTATTTTTAAATAAACATATATTTTTGACTAAATAATGCAATACACTCTTTAAGCTGTAGATAAAATCTGTATATAGTGCACAGAAGAACGCTCAGGGTAATTCTACTGCAACTATTTTTAATTTTACACACCGACAAGTCTTGCAAAAAATGGCACTAATGGCGTGAGATTCTGAAAAAACAACCCCAACTTTCAGACTACCATGTTTAAAAAAGATCAAATAAAATAAATATATGTTTTCATTTTATTGTATATTGATTTTAAATATATGATATAATATTATACAATTTTAGTCACAACTTGGTGTGTGTTTCAGGCAGTGAAATGGTGGAAGCTCAGAGGAAAGGCATTCAGATCGTGACGTCACCGTACACCATACACTTTGAAAGAACACCACAATTCTTCAAACCTGGGATGCCCTTCAGTGTCTCCGTATGAAATATTTCAGTTCTTGCAAAAAGAATAAGAAGACTATATTCATAAACAATTTGGAAAAATACACTATTACTGTAAAAATACACATGGTTATGAGGTGAAGCAACTGCATCCATTGTCCGCCATGTTGTTGTTTTTTCTTCTATTGTCGGCCATGTTACCATCATCGCCTCCAACTTATTTTCCCCACTTGTTATTACAATTTCTATGGTGCCAATCATGTACTTTAAACTCATTAATACCATCTATCCAACATGAACACACCATTAAATGGCATTTAGAAACATCAATCAGGTCTAGCAAAAACATAATTGGTGTTTTGATAGGTTTATCTAACAGACCCTGACAAGATGCCCGCTGAAAATGTGGAAGTGGAGGTCAATCCTGGAGCGGTCAGAGGCCGAACGAAAGCCAACGGCATTGCGAAGCTTACAGTCAATTCTCACGAAGGATCTTCCGCACTAGAGATCACTGTAAGACCTGATGTTTGGTTCATTTCTGAGATACTGAGTTTGAATTGTCTCAGGCTTACTGAAAAAAATAAACCTAATCCTGAAACCAGCCTAAGATTGCATGTGGGTTTTATGTGGTTTGAGCTAGTCTAGCTTGTCTTATAGTCTGGTCACACTGGTCTTGACTGCTTTAAGCTGGTCTTTAACACTATAATCAATAGACCAGCCCTGGACACAAGCTTAGGCTGTTTTAATTTGTCATTTTTCTTGTCATTTTATGTTTGTTTTTTAGCTTAGAATAGCATCAAATCATCTCTTCACTTTCAGGTACAAACCAAAGATCCAAAATTAGATGACGACCAGCAGGCAGTGAAGAAGATGACGGCGCAGGCCTACGAGACCAAAGGCGGCTCCAAGAACTACCTGCACGTCGGCATCGATACTCCAGTGTTTGAGATTGGTGATCAAATGAAAGTCAATCTGAACCTGGGCAGAAGTCCAGGAGTCAGAGATCAAGATTTCACCTACATGGTGAGAGACAGACCTGTTTCAGTCTGTGGCCTAATTGAAATTAATTATAAAGCATCAATATCATGCTACCAATGATACATGCTAGCAAAGTAGCAATTCTGTTGATTAATCGATCACAAAAAAAAAATTTATGCATTTTTGAACCAAATCTCACATGAATCTTCTCTGAAAAGTGGTTTGAGTCCGAGTCGAGACCGAGACCAAAGAGAGTCGAGTCCGAGTCGAGACCGAGACCAAAGAGGATTGAGTCCGAGTCGAGACCGAGACCAAAGAGAGTCGAGACCGAGATCATAGAGGTTTGAGTCCAAGTCGAGACCGAGACCAAAGAGGATTGAGTCCGAGTCGAGACAGAGACCATAGAGGATTGAGTCCGAGTTAAGACCGAGACCAAAGAGAGTCGAGATCGAGACCAAAGAGAGTCGAGTCTGAGTCGAGACCGAGACCATAGAGGATTGAGTCCGAGTCGAGACCGAGACCAAAGAGGATTGAGTCTGAGTCGAGACCGAGATCATAGAGGTTTGAGTCCAAGTCTAGACCGAGACCAAAGAGGATTGAGTACAAGTCGAGTCCGAGACCATAGAGTATTGAGTCCGAGTCGAGACCGAGACCAAAGAGAGTCAAAACCGAGATCATAGAGGTTTGAGTCCAAGTCTAGACCGAGACCAAAGAGGATTGAGTCCGAGTCGAGACCGAGACCAAAGAGAGTCGAGTCCGAGACCATAGAGGATTGAGTCCAAGTCGAGTCCGAGACCATAGAGGATTGAGTCCGAGTCGAGACCGAGACCAAAGAGGATTGAGTCAGAGTCGAGACCGAGACCAAATAGAGTCGAGACCGAGACCAAAGAGGATTGAGTCAGAGTCGAGACCGAGACCAAAGAGAGTCGAGTCCGAGACCATAGAGGATTGAGTCCGAGTCGAGACCGAGACCAAAGAGAGTCGAGTCCGAGTCGAGACCGAGAAAGGATTGAGTCAGAGTCGAGACCGAGACCATAGAGGATTGACTCAGAGTCGAGACCGAGACCAAAGAGGATTGAGTCCGAGTCGAGACCGAGGCCAAAGAGAGTCGAGTCTGAGTCAAGACCGAGACCAAAGAGAGGAGTCGAGACCAGAGTGGTTGGATAACTTAAGGTTGGGTCACAAACCAGACTTAAAGATATCTTCAAGAATATGTAAAATATTTGGTGGTAACAATAAAATTGGCACCAAGTCAGTATCAAGTCATTGCGCAGTTGCGCACAAGAAAGTCAGCAATCATTGGATGTTTCAATCAAACAATTTAAAGAAATATTAACATACAGTTATAATCATGACATATTTTGAATGGGACTCGAGTGGACTTGGGAACAAGTCCGAGTCCCAATATGTTCGAGTACGAGTCAATTCCGAGTCAAAATGCACACAAGTCCATGACAAGACAGAGACCATTAAAATATGGACTTGAGACCGAGTCCGAGTCTCGAGTACACAACACTGCTCAAAAGGTCCTACCTTCTTTCCTCCAACACTGGCCCTGACTCCACCCATTTGAAGAACATGGACGTGTCGTGCAATCATGCATCTGCAAAACTGAGATGCGCGAGATCGCACTTACTCTTTCTCTCTCTGGACTGGGGCGATTTGCACGACTGGGTCACAAACTTTGAGTATGAGCACGAGGGGGATGGTACGACCGTTTGATTGACGCACTGCCTGTCCAGTGATTCCAGGTGGTCTTGGACATGATTGGCTGGAGTTTTTCGAGTCCTGCCCGTTCCACAGATTATTAAATTGCTTAATTTTCATTTCAACGCTTCCAACTCAGTGGCTGTAAGTGGGTTAGGAATAGGATTTCAAGTAATTTTGAAAAAAAAAATGTCAAAAAAGAAAATCACATACCCCACCTTTAATTGGCATATCAATTCATAAAAATAAATATGAATTTACTAGAAGAATAAAACCTACTGCATGAATGTCAAGGTTCAATGTAAAATTTCCCTCTCATTTCCAGATCTTGAGTAAAGGTCAGATTGTTCAAGCAAACAGGTTCAAGAGGAGTGGACACTCTCTGGTGACTCTGTCTCTACCTGTAACCAAAGACATGGTGCCGTCCTTCCGCTTTGTGGCTTATTATCACGTGGGCCCGTCTGAGGTGGTGTCTGATTCAGTCTGGGTCGACGTGAAGGACACGTGCATGGGAACGGTGGGTCAACAACCATTATCAGTTGGAATAGATACTACTAGGGCCCAGTAGGGTCCTCATATCAGTGTTTCTTGTGTTTCACAGCTGAAGGTTCAGGTGAAGGAGCCTCGACCGATCTACGAGCCAGGAGAAGAGTTCAGCTTGCTGATAACTGGAGATCCTGGAGCTAAAGTTGGGCTGGTGGCGGTGGATAAAGCTGTCCATGGACTGAACCAGAACAGACTCACTCAGAAAAAGGTGGAGGTCCTACTTCAACATTTCAACAGGCACTGAATGCTTGTGAATGTCTTACATAAAATCTGTTTGCTGCTTTAGATTTACGACATTGTAGAGAAGCATGACACCGGCTGTACGGCAGGAGGTGGAAGGGACAGTATGGGGGTTTTCAGTGATTCGGGTCTGATGTTTGAGTCACACACTGCAGGAGGAACCAACACCAGAACTGGTATATATAAATAATGTTCTGTCAGTTTTCTAAAGCTGTACAAATCTCTTATACCTGTTATTTATACATCCTCTAGTGCCAGAGTGTCCCGTCCCCTCAAAGAGAAGAAGAAGAGCTGAGAGTGCTCAGCGGGTCACCACTATACTGGGTGAGAAGAAGCTGGAGCTTCTCTTTTTACTTGACAGACCGAATGATTTTGAGCGAGAGGATGAATGAATAGCTCCAGTTGCTCGTTCTCCAGCAGTTCTTTGTCTTCTCAGCTGGTCAGTACTCTGGTGATCTGAGAAAGTGTTGTGTGGATGGCATGAGGGATAATAAACTCGGCTACACCTGTGAACGAAGGGCCATGTACATCGTGGATGGAGAGGAATGTGTCCGGGCCTTCCTGCACTGCTGTAATGACGTGGTGGCTCGCAGTATGGAGGCTGGAGAGGAGGAGATGATTCTGGCTCGGAGTACGTTGTTAAATATTGTTCAGTTGATTGTCAAACTCATGATCTTAACACTGTGTCATGTTTCCACAATACTCTATGCATCCCTTTAGGGAATTATTCAAACAACACATAACAATTACAGACAATAGAAACAAACTACCACAACAACCAAATTGCCTCCCTTTTTTAAAGATTCCTAATGTTGTTTTTGAGGTCTGCTACAAAATGTTTACATGCAACCAAGGTCAAAAATACTGATTGGTCAGATGGCCCAGTCTGTTGTGATTGGTCTACTCTGCTCTGATTGGTCAGATGGCCCAGTCTGTTGTGATTGGTCTGCTCTGCTCTGATTGGTCAGATGGCCCAGTCTGTTGTGATTGGTCTACTCTGCTCTGATTGGTCAGATGGCCCAGTCTGTTGTGATCGGTCTACTCTGCTCTGATTGGTCAGATGGCCCAGTTTGTTGTGATTGGTCTGCTCTGCTCTGATTGGTCAGATGGCCCAGTCTGTTGTGATTGGTCTACTCTGCTTTGATTGGTCAGATGGCCCAGTTTGTTGTGATTGGTCTGCTCTGCTCGGATTGGTCAGATGGCCCAGTCTGTTGTGATTGGTCTACTCTGCTCTGATTGGTCAGATGGCCAGTCTGTTGTGATTGGTCTACTCTGATTGGTCTACTCTGCTCTGATTGGTCAGATGACCCAGTCTGTTGTGATTGGTCTACTCTGCTCTGATTGGTCAGATGGCCCAGTTTGTTGTGATTGGTCTACTCTGCTCTGATTGGTCAGATGGCCCAGTCTGTTGTGATTGGTCTACTCTGATTGGTCTACTCTGCTCTGATTGGTCAGATGACCCAGTCTGTTGTGATTGGTCTACTCTGCTCTGATTGGTCAGATGGCCCAGTTTGTTGTGATTGGTCTGCTCTGCTCTGATTGGTCAGATGGCCCAGTCTGTTGTGATTGGTCTACTCTGCTCTGATTGGTCAGATGGCCCAGTTTGTTGTGATTGGTCTACTCTGCTCTGATTGGTCAGATGGCCCAGTCTGTTGTGATTGGTCTACTCTGATTGGTCTACTCTGCTCTGATTGGTCAGATGACCCAGTCTGTTGTGATTGGTCTACTCTGCTCTGATTGGTCAGATGGCCCAGTCTGTTGTGATTGGTCTACTCTGATTGGTCTACTCTGCTCTGATTGGTCAGATGACCCAGTCTGTTGTGATTGGTCTACTCTGCTCTGATTGGTCAGATGGCCCAGTCTGTTGTTATTGGTCTACTCTGCTCTGATTGGTCAGATTGCCCAGTCTATTGTGATTGGTCTACTCTGCTCTGATTGGTCAGATGGCCCAGTCTGTTGTGATTGGTCTACTCTGCTCTGATTGGTCAGATGACCCAGTCTGTTGTGATTGGTCTACTCTGCTCTGATTGGTCAGATGACCCAGTCTGTTGTGATTGGTCTACTCTGCTCTGATTGGTCAGATGGCCCAGTTTGTTGTGATTGGTCTGCTCTGCTCTGATTGGTCAGATGGCCCAGTCTGTTGTGATTGGTCTACTCTGCTCTGATTGGTCAGATGGCCCAGTTTGTTGTGATTGGTCTACTCTGCTCTGATTGGTCAGATGGCCCAGTCTGTTGTGATTGGTCTACTCTGATTGGTCTACTCTGCTCTGATTGGTCAGATGACCCAGTCTGTTGTGATTGGTCTACTCTGCTCTGATTGGTCAGATGGCCCAGTCTGTTGTGATTGGTCTACTCTGATTGGTCTACTCTGCTCTGATTGGTCAGATGACCCAGTCTGTTGTGATTGGTCTACTCTGCTCTGATTGGTCAGATGGCCCAGTCTGTTGTTATTGGTCTACTCTGCTCTGATTGGTCAGATTGCCCAGTCTGTTGTGATTGGTCTACTCTGCTCTGATTGGTCAGATGGCCCAGTCTTTTGTGATTGGTCTACTCTGCTCTGATTGGTCAGATGGCCCAGTCTGTTGTGATTGGTCTACTCTGCTCTGATTGGTCAGATGGCCCAGGCTGTTGTGATTGATCTACTCTGGTCTGATTGGTCAGATGATCCAGTCTGTTGTGATTGGTCTACTCTGCTCTGATTGGTCAGATGACCCAGTCTGTTATGATTGGTCTACTCTGCTCTGATTGGTCAGATGGCCCAGTCTGTTGTGATTGGTCTACTCTGCTCTGATTGGTCAGATGGCCCAGGCTGTTGTGATTGGTCTACTCTGCTCTGATTGGTCAGATGGCCCAGTCTGTTGTGATTGGTCTACTCTGCTCTGATTGGTCAGATGGCCCAGGCTGTTGTGATTGGTCTACTCTGCTCTGATTGGTCAGATGGCCAGATGGCCCAGTCTGATGGCCCAATCAGACCAATCTCTGATTGGTCTGATGGCCCAGTCTGTTGTATTTGGTCTACTCTGTTCTGATTGGTCAACCACTTACAACATGTGTCGGAAACCATATCAATCATATCATATCAGTTATCATTTGGCAGGGCAAAGACAGCGTCTTGTTGAAGCTTTTCGACAACACAAACCAAACTCTTCCAGTCTCAGCTATAACTACAGTAGTGTTTGTGTTTAGTTTAGCTTTCATGGACTTTTAGTATGTTTTCATTAATCACGTGTTCCTTTGATTGATTTTCCCTCCAGTCATCAGCTTCCATGGACGCTAGTCCTTATCACAGCTGTTCGTCAATGAGTTAATTCTCCCTGCGTATTTTAGTTGTTAACCTTCAGTGTAGTCTCGTTTGCGTTAGCATTCTGTTGGAGCAACTTCTGTTTTGCCCTGTGGATCATTGTTATTAAAACTTCACATTTTTAACTTTACCCTGATCTTCATCTGTCTGTCTGCAGACTTGCTAACATAGATGTTGTTCGCAGCCAATTAGTGGTGTTATGCAAATGTGTTGCTAACTTACGTATCTAGGTTCAAGCAGGAAGTACTGTTCATTTGAGTTTACAGATTTCCTAAAGAAACACCAGGATCGGTCATGGTTCAAATGAGTGAAGTGAATTCCTAGTTGCTCACAGTATATATATATTTCTGTTAACCTGGACAGGTGAGGACAGCGACTATTATGAGAGTTTTGATGAAATCACATCACGTACACAGTTTCCAGAGAGCTGGCTTTGGACAGAGGAGATTCTGCCGTTCTGTCCAAATAATAAGTCATGGTGAGTACGAGACAAAAAAAAAAAAAGATGGGAAACGTTTTTTCGTTACAAGTTACTTAGTATGTTAGTAATTTCTTTCTTTATCTGTTTTAACCTTTTTCTATTTCCTCCCGTCCCAGTCCAACAACATCGATCACAAGAGACCGAATCTACCTGAAAGAATCCATCACTACTTGGCAAATCTTCGCTTTTAGCCTGTCAAAATCTCACGGTATGTTATGTTAGGATAAAGTACACTTATATAACACACTTTTTTTTCACCTCGTTTTAGACCTGTATACTCCATTGCTGTCTTTTTCTCCAAAGGCATTTGTGTGGCAGATCCATACGAGATGATAGTTTATAAGAGGTTCTTCATTGACCTGAAGGTGCCGTTCTCAGCTGTGCGCAATGAGCAACTACAAATCAGGGTCATCCTTCACAACTACACCAAGAAGAAAATTAGGGTACAGTAACACAGTCATTTTGGTCCTTGATAATCACCCAGTTGGTGTCAGATTAAGTAACGTGAGGATAGATGTGCCAATGAGGCAAATTAGAGTTGTTTTAATCATGCATTATGTCGTCTCGGAGTCCAAGTTCACAGGTTTTACATGGTTTTTTCCAAGAACCAGGCTAGAACAGCAAGAACTAGATGCTGTCTTTTCCCAAAGTTATCTTTAACCACAACTACGGCACCATTTTATTTGTTCAAGTCCCCCTCTAGTGAAATTCAAGTTTTTATGTTGTTTGTATGTCTATGTGGTGTTTTTAATATGCTTTAAGACAAACCTGGTGTAAAATCATGAGTCAACACCATCGCTGAGAATTTTTTCCTTAAAACTGCAGTGAGTGCATTCGTCCAACTGTTGACTTCTCCTTCAGGCACGGCTTGAGTTCACGGACACTGAACACATTTGCAGCTCCGCCAGCACAAAGGGCTCCTACCAAACAGAAGTGGAGGTCGAGTCCATGTCCTCCAGGTCCGTCCCGTATGTGATTATTCCTCTGGAGTTGGGCAGTCACTGGATCGAAGTGAAGGCAGCAGCGTATGACTCGGTCTACAGTGATGGAGTGAGGAAGATCCTGAGGGTGGTGGTGAGTGAACTTCCCTTCTGCCTTCCAGAAATATGCTAATTTACAGCATTTAAAACAACAATAACCATTCTACTTTATATTGCTGTAATTTATAATTCATACCCAAAATGTCAGTTTTTAAATGCTTTAAAAATATCATTTTTTTTGTCTTGGTTACAGTATGTGATTATTAAGGAAACTTTATTTTGCAAACATTATGGAAACGTTACTTTTGAACGATCTCTGTCGTAACGTTAAAACCCTCTGATGCTCTTCGGTCATTTTTGACCCAAAAGTTGAATTTTTTTACTTTATCGGAATAGTACGGAACTTGGTAAAGGTTTTGCCACTTGCTATGTGAACACACAAAAAAATCGTGGACATTATTCGAAAAGGTTAAATGGTGCTTAATATGACCCTTTGGAAATGAATGGGAGGCGAATTTCATCTAGTGAAAACCTAGTGTGGCCAAACTAAATATATCAAGAAATATAACAAGATATCAAGCTAAAATTTGGAAAACAACTTGTTTTATATTTTATTTAATTTTTTTCAGTTTTAGAGTTAAACATTTTTTTGACATATGTATTTCATATAAATATTTAAAATTGTATTTTTGTGCATTTTTATCACAATAAACATAAAATACTGGGCTTAGATTTTTATTTTATTTTTTTCAGTTTTAGAGTTAAACGTGTTTTTGACATATGTATTTCATATAAATATTTAAAATAGTATTTTTGTGCATTTTTCATCACAATAAACATAAAATACTGGGCTTAGATTTTTATTTTATTTTTTTCAGTTTTAGAGTTAAACGTGTTTTTGACATATGTATTTCATATAAATATTTAAAATTGTATTTTTGTGCATTTTTCATCACAATAAACATAAAATACTGGGCTTAGATTTTTATTTTATTTTTTTCAGTTTTAGAGTTAAACATTTTTTTGACATGTATTTCATATAAATATTTAAAATTGTATTTTTATGCATTTTTCATCACAATAAACATAAAATACTGGCCTTAGATTTTATTTTTTATTTTTTTTTTCAGTTTTAGAGTTAAACGTGTTTTTGACATATGTATTTCATATAAATATTTAAAATTGTATTTTTGTGCATTTTTCATCACAATAAACATAAAATACTTGGCTTAGATTTTTATTTTATTTTTTTTCCAGTTTGAGTTAAACGTGTTTTTGACATATGTATTTCATATAAATATTTAAAATTGTATTTTTGTGCATTTTTCATCACAATAAACATAAAATACTGGAAGTTTTATAAAAGTTGACAAATGGATTAGAAATACAGTGTAAATATAATTTAGTACCATTGCAAAATATGAAATAAAAAATATTATCGAACTAAAATATAGTACATTCATTTCATAAAAAAAATAAAAATAAAACTGTCATATTTGACGGACATGCGAATAGCACCAGAGAGTTCAAAAGCATTAGGCCAACGTCAAACTAAATCGTTTCAGAATAAAACTTTCCCTGATTGATGTAAACATCTTTCTACTAACATTTTGAAAATATTATTAAAGACCAGATACAATAAGATAATTGCTTTAATTTAAGATATATGCATTGTTTGGTTTTCAATACACTTTCAATACAACAATTAATTTACTGTCTGTCATTATAGAAGCTTGATTTTATTATGTGACTCAAACCCAATCTCTGTTTCAGTCTGAGGGTGTGCTCACTATGATACAGGAGAAAAATGTGGAGCTCAATCCTACCAAGATGGGTGAGTTTATGGAGTCTTTCCTCCATAATATTTAAAAATTCCCCTCCAAAATATCCCAAAATCCCAATCTGAGCCTATGTGACAGGTGGAGTACAACAAGTGTCTGTCAGGAGTCTCAAACCAGACACTCAGGTCCCCAACACACCCGCTAACACGTACATCACAGTCAAGAGTAAGGAGGAATCTGAACGCTTATTTATTCTGCTAATCCATCCGCTCATCCAGTCCTGACCCGCTGTGTGTTACTCAAGGCCAGGAGTTCAGTAAGATGATCGAGAAGGCCATCAGTGGAGACTTCATGGGCCGGTTTATTGTCCAGCCCCGTGGGAATGGAGAGGAGAACATGATCTACATGACTCTACCTGTCATTGCCACTCATTATCTGGACAGCACTAAGCAGTGGGAGACTGTTGGCATGAACCGCCGTAATGAAGCCATTAACCACATCAACACAGGTCAGCTGACCACTCTCACTGAAGGGCGGGGCATAGCTTTATCCTATGGAAGCCTATTTACATAATAAATATTTAAAATTAAAAACATAATAAATATCATGCTTAAGCAAATCCCAATTATGTCCAAAAAAAGTCAAAATTATGATATACTAAGTCATAATTAATTTAAATTATGATTTAAAAAGTTGAAATTGATTGAAAAAAACTTTGACTTTTTGTCAATTTTGTAAATTTCGACATGCCATGACTAATTTTTATAATATTATGACTAATAAAAGTGACTTAGTATTCCATAATTTCGACTTTTTATTCATAATTATTACTATTAAACGTGATATTTAATGATTGTAAATGAAGGGCGGGGCATTGATTAATGCTATGGAAGCCTATTTACACATACTAAATAAATCATGCTTCGGTAAATCCTAATTATGACAAAAAAAGTCAAAATTATGTCATACTTAAGTCATAATTATTTTAAATTATGATTTAAAAAGTTGAAATTGTGACTTTTTGTCAATTTCGTCAATTTCGACATGCCATGACTAATTATTATAATATTTTGAATAATTTCGACTCTAATTCTCAAGTGACTTAGTCATTTGAGAAGCCGAAATTATGACAAAGTAATAATTATAAATAAAAAGTCGAAATTATGGAATACTGTTATAATTTTAACCTTTTGTCATTTCAACTTTTTAATGTCGTAATTTTGACTTCAGGAGACAAAAAATAAAATTTAGCATAAAAGGTCACCATTAATAAATCCCTTAGAAAATGCTAACAATAGCTATAAAGTCGTAAGTTATTTACTGTATCATTCTTGTCAAGGTTATCAGCGAGAGCTAACTTTCCGTAAACCAGACGGTTCGTTCGCTGCCTCGATAAGAACGACTAGCAGCACATGGTGAGACGAGCGCTCCTGCCGTATTTATCTGATCAATTATTTACATGGCGTTTCTGACCTCTTCTTGTCTGGTCATTACAGGCTGACGGCATATGTGGCGAAAGTGTTTACGATGGCCAGCGATCTGATCATCATCGAGGAGAATGTGATCTGCAGCGCCCTCAAGTGGCTGGCCGTAAACAAACAGCTGCCAGACGGCACGTTTAAAGAAGACGCGCCCGTTATACACGAAGAGATGCTTGTACGTTACATGTGGATTAAAGGGTTAGTTCACCCAAAAATGAAAATGATGTCATTAATGACTCGTCCCAAGCCTGTCAGACCTCCGTTCATCTTCAGAACACAGGTTAAGATATTTTAGATTTAGTCCGAGAGTTTTCTGTCCCTCCATTGGAAATGTGTGTACGGTATACTGTCTTTGTCCAGAAAGGAAATAAAGACATCATTAAAGTAGTCATGTGACATCAGTGGGTTAGTTACAATGTTTTGAATAGGGTTGGGTATCGTTTGAATTTGAACGATTCTGATTCCGATTCCTTGTTTCGATTCCGGTTCCTAACGATTCTCGATTCCGATTCTTTTAAGAGGCAGGGTCAAAAAAGTTTAGCTAACCTTGCTAACCAACGGCCTTTCTGAAGGAAATAATCCTTTCTGAAGGAAATACTCCTTCTGTAAAAATACTCCTTTTGTCACAAATTTTGCATTTTGCCGAGATTTCGTTATTTTTAGAAAAGTGAAGCCACACTTTGGATCGCCGACGTAAGGTACTCATGTTCGACTCGCGCGGTTATGCCAACACTTCCGGTAGACGCTTCTTCGTTGGTGTTGTTCAGCGGTTTCTTCTTCCGCTCGGCGGACTGTGAATATCGAAACTAGGAATCGAAATTTTAACTTTTGAACGATTCCGGGAAAAACGAAAAGTTAGTCTCGGTTCCAATCGATACTCGATTCTCGATACCCAACCCTAGTTTTGAAGCATCGAAAATACATTTTGGTCCAAAAATAACAAAAACTACGACTTTGTTCAGCATTGTATTGTCTTCCGGTTCTGGATCCGCCTTCAGTGCTGCTGCTGACATAAGACGCGGCTGACGTGTGTGTGGTGCGGCTGAACTTCGGTTGCAGTCTGAGGGAGACGCACGCTGTACAAAACAATCTTCACAAACATGGAAGGATTTCCACACAGAGGAAGACTTGCATTTTTTGCCCAGCCATATTTATTTGAACCCGAATCACGTCGGCAGCGTCTCTGAATGCGGATATACAAAAGGGCTGCAGCTATCAATTCTTTTTGAAATCGATTAATCGACCGATTAATCGAGTAATCGGATAATTTGTTTGTGTGTGTTTTTAAACAACCAAAACAAATAATGTATAACGAAAATGATAAGGTGTTTGGCTTTTATTTCTTTAAAAAACTAGAGGGATTTATTACAACTCCAAAACTGAGCCTATTTATTGCAATCTTTACCCATTTAGTGTTTATAAGTGCCAGTGCCAACAATTTTATAACAATACAGTTAAATCAATTTACTGTAAAACATGTTAAATGTAGTCCATAACATGTAAAACTTTGAATACAAACTTAAATGGTAAAGGCCATTTGGCCTTAGTTTTGTACCTGAAAACAAAAATAAATTAATATAAAATATCAAGCCAAACAGGTACACAATTGTACACAATTTATAAAAATAAATAAATGTAAATAGAACTATTATAAATAAGAATCAGACTCCGTCACGTCCCGATGTATACAGTCAATGTATGCTGAAATTTTTGTTGCATGGCTACATAAAAGTTTTTTAAGGCAAATTTTGTAATTGAGTAACTCGAGGAATAGTTTCAGCCCTTATATACAACAGAACCGGAACACAATACAATGCTGAATAAAGTCGTAGTTTTTGTTATTTTTGGACTGAAATGTATTTTCGATGCTTCAAAACATTGTAACTAACCCACTGATGTCACATGGACTACTTTGATGATGTCTTTATTAACTTTCTGGACAAGGACAGTATACCGTACACACATTTCCAATGGAGGGACAGAAAGCTCTCGGACTAAATCTAAAATATCTTAAACTGTGTTCTGGAGATGAACGGAGGTCTGACGGGCTTGGGACGAGTCATTAATGACATCATTTTCATTTTTGGGTGAACTAACCCTTCAAGAATGCAATTTCCACCAGAGAAGGCTGTCAAACATAATAAAGCACTTGAAATTGCAGTGAAATGTTCTTTAGGTTTCAGATAATTCATTTAAATGATTTGGAGAAAAGGCTTAAAGACAGACATCAATATGCTGTTAAATCCTGCAGTGTGCACACTAATGTTTGAGTTTCATCCTAACAGTTGCTTGGGATCTGGTTTATTTGAGTGTATGTTAATTCCAGGGTGACGTACAGGGGAAAGACGGCGACGCCTCTCTAACTGCATTCGTTCTGGTTGCCATGCAAGAGGGCAGTAAGATCTGCACTGAATCTGTAAGTAACAAACAGCGCTATATTACATCACAACAGTCTCACTGAGTCTCTCTTTCTCCACGCTAGAGTCTTCAGGGCAGTATAAACAGAGCCGTTAATTACCTGACGCTGAGAGTTCACAGTCTGACCAGCGGTTATGCTGTCGCTATGACTTCTTACGCTTTGGCCCATGCTGGAAAACTCAATAAAGACATCCTGATGAGTCATTCCAGTCAGAACGAAGGTCAGTGACGATACAGTCAAACCAACAGTGCCCTACACACACCAATGACATAATAAATTACCCCACAACCCTACATAGGACTTGTAGTTTGGAGAATGGATGGACAATAGACCAAAAATACTAATAAAATTCTGAGTAAATCACCTTTTGTATTTTCAGTTGCTCCCTCAATCCTTTAGACTATCAGTGAGTTGCAGAAATCAGCAAACAGCCAGTTCACTTCCTGCATTTTCTGATTAAGTGTCTTATGTTTTTATAACTATATGGTTTTGAGCTATAAAAGAAGAAAAACGAATACTAGAAATACAAGTTACAGCGAGATAAGCGATTGATTATTGTAAATGAAATAACAATAAAAACGATAGTCGGCATGAGACAAATATTTGGAGGTTTTAAAATCCGATATTCCTTTATATCGGCCGATATTTTATTTATTTATTTATTTTAAACTGGACATGATAGTCACAAATTTTGTCATGCTTATTTGAGTTAAGAGAACTGATGGGGAAGTTCTTGTTATTCAACCAATGTATGTCTTGTGACCAACTCAACGAGTGTTGCCAACAGGAACGGTGTAGAGTGCCCTCTGGTGGACAAACTATACAACTCCAACACTCATGACATGGTTCAAGTGTGTTTCGTCCGTTTTTATTTTATTGTTGAAATATTCATTTATCGGCCATTATAACAGTTATAATGGCCGATAAATGAATATTTCAACAATAAAATAAAAACGGACAATGCCTAATATCGGCCGATAATATCGGTCTGCCGATATATCGGTCTGGCTCTAAAAGAATTCTTCATTTTCATTAACCAGAAATGGCAAACAAATTACTAACTGATTTGAAAATAACAAATTGTAAATTTTTTAAAACTATAACAACACTGTGTCCATGTCAACCTTTTCCATTTGTGTCTTCTGAACAGTCGGTAGGTTTTGGCAAGTTCCTGGCCAGCGTGAGCTCTCTCTGGAGGCCACAGGTTATGCTCTACTCGCGCTGGTGAAGGTGAAGGACTTCGAGCGGGCCGGACCGGCCGTACGCTGGCTGAGAGCACAGATACCCAACTATGGAGCCAGCGGTACCACACAGGTACAGAGCTGATCATTACTGATTAAAAATAACGTTTGGTGATGCAGATCAAGTGATTATTATGTCAAAACATAGCCAAACAAAATCTAATGTTAATCGTTTAAGGGTCACGAGCCCAACTAAAGCAAACACTGATCACCACAATGGTGACCACAATGTGATTTTTTTTTTCTGCTTGTTAAAGGAGTAGTTCACTTTTTAAAAAAAAAACTTTTGCTGATAATTGACTCACCCCCATGTCATCCAAGATGTTCATGTCTTTCTTTCTTCAGTTGAAAAGAAATTAAGGTTTTTGAGGAAAACATTCCAGGATTTTCTCCATATAATGGACTTCAATGGGAACCAAACGGTTCAAGGTCCAAAAGACCGTTTCAGTGCAAACTGCAAACCACTCAAAGGGCTTTAAACGATTCCAGACGATGAATAAGGGTCTTATCAAGTGAAATGATCGCTCATTTAATAAATAAATAACACAGTTTAAGTTTTATAAGCTCAAATGCTCGTCTTGCTCTGTTCTGTGATGCGCATTCGTGAATCTCCTGTTTGAACTCGTTCATCAAAATGAACGAATCTTTTTCCGAGTCAATTTGTTCGTTTCGTTCATTGAATGAACCAAATGACTTTGTTCATTTTGATGAACGAGTTTGAACAGGAGAGTCACACAGAACAGAGCAAGGCGAGCTTTTGAGCTTATAAAACTTAAACTTAGTTATTTTTTTATTAAATGAGCGATGGTTTCGCTTGATAAGACCCTTATTCATCGTCTGGAATCATTTAAAGCCCTTTGAACAGTTTGCACTGAAACTCTCTTTTGGACCTTGAACCGTTATTTGGTTCCCATTGAAGTCCATTATATGGAGAAAAATCCTGGAATAATTTCATCAAACACCATAATTTCTTTCGAATGAAGAAATAAAGACGTGGACATCTTGGATGACATGGCGGTGAGTAAATTATCAGCAAATGTTTTTTCTTCAATATTGGTCAATCATCACTCAACGAATCACTTGATTATCTCATTAACTTTAATTTGCTCATATTTTAGCACTTTAACACTAGTCTGGGCATATAAACTCCCAGGAGAGTTCATTTAACACTGGAGTTTTTGCTGTGTATTTGGTCTAAAACACTTGAGCATTTGCTTCATGAATAAGGGAATGCTGTATGTCTCTTAGGCGAACATCGTGGTTTTCCAGGCCGTGGCTCAATATCGTACAGAAGCGAAGAAGCAGGACGTGAATCTGAACATTGAACTCTCTGTGGAGGGAAGAACCACACACAACAGATGGACTTTCACTCGTTCCAACATGCATGTGACGCGATCGGACAAGGTGACTGAATAAATATGAGTGAACAGACTTTTGCCCTTCAATTCTTATCTGATTTCAAATCATGCAACATGTCAAATGTAATCACGACAGGTGAAACTGACACAGAAATTCAACCTCACTGCTCATGGGAACGGGATGGCCACTCTCTCGGTGAGCATTCGTGAGCGCCCACGACTTCAGTCACATGGGTATTTAAACAGATTTACAGCTTGATCTGTCCTCAGGTGTATTCTCTGTATTATGCCCTGCCTGAAGAGAGAGAAAATGACTGTAATGCGTTTGATCTCAGTGTGAAGATGGAGAAACAGCTTGACGGTCAGTTCATGTCTTCTTCATTGATTAGTAACATTTAACAGTGTTATATCTTCTCAATCTGCATTGCATGCAGTTTCACATCCAGGAGCCATTGAAAGCTATCTGCTCACCATTGAAACCTAGTGAGTAAAAGCAGATCCGTCCATCGTGTTAGATTTGCATATTCAGCTGAAAGCATGGAAAGTTGGATCACATGTTGTTTTAATCCATCTGTGCAGTTTCAAGAACCCAGCGAGAGATGCTGCCATGTCCGTTTTGGATATTGGCCTGTTAACGGGATTTAAAGTAGATGATACTGATCTGTCGAAGGTAAAAATGATTCAAAAATTGAATATTACCACATGTCACTTCATAAAGAAACACTACACGCATATAGACTGAACACGCACACGCAAGACATCTCCGAAAATGTGTTTTCGGACCCCCAAAATGCCATTTTCATATAAATAAATGGCCATTTTCTGTGAAAGTGCTTTCATGTAAACGCCCCCTTAATGGGAACGTTAGCAACGAGTTCTATGAACTTATTTATGTTAGCTGGATGCTACCTGAAACTCTCTTAGCCACGATCAAATGTCATTCATCCACACATTTATATTTTTGACTGTTAATATTATGGATGGATAATCTTCTCAGTGTTTGAACTTTTAGTTATCTAAAGGGAAAGAGAAGTACATTGAGAGATTTGAGATGAACATGGAGCTTTCAGAGCGTGGATCGCTAATCATCTTCTTGAATAAGGTACTGAAAACTTTAACACCAACGAGAGACTCTGAACACTGTGAACATTCAGTCAAATTAATGTGTAGCCAGAATGAAATGATGAAATGATGTGTATGACTTCATAATTAACATCACATAAACACAGTTTGGCTGAATTAAAAGTGATCAATGCAAAATTATATGCATTGAATTTAGAGCCAGACCGATATTATCGGCCGATATTAGGCATTTTCAAAACTATCGGTATCGGCAGTTATAATGGCCGATAAATGAATATTTCAAAAATAAAAAAATAAAAACGGACGAAACACGCTTCAACCATGTCATGAGTGTTGGAGTTGTATAGTTTGTCCACCAGAGGGCGCTCTACACCGTTCCTGTTGGCAACACTCGTTGAGTTGGTCACGATACACACATTGCTTGAATAACAATTAAAAGATCATCCCCATCAGTTCTCTTAACTCAAATAAGCATGACAACATTTGTGACTATCATGTCCAGTTTTGCTGTTAAATAAGCCGAGAGTGAAGCGGAATTAGCTAGTAATAGTTACGTTACGTTACAGTGTAGTTGACTGACTGTCCTTTTAACTTTTGACGATGTGACCGAAGTATTTCTTTAATAACGCGTGACAGTTATAGAAATGAGATGCATCATCTCTCCTTGGCCTGTTATATTGAAAATGTATGTTTTACAATTTGCAGTATGACGTCATCCATTGCTAAATTATGGCTCATCATAGACTAGCTAACCACAAAGCTAAGCTAATGCCACTATCATCAGTCTGTTCTGTCGTGACAATAAAAGAAACAAGTTTCTTTTTAAAATGCATGATCATAATATTTTAGTTAAAACTCATAAATAACTACAAATAACTAATGTTAGGGAAATCTGTTAATGTTTTGTTGCGCATTTCGAAAAAAAATACAAAAAATATCGGCCGATATATCGGATTTTAAAACCAAAAAATATTTGTATCACTATCGGCCGGTCGGGCTCTAATTTAATTTCTACCCATTAAATGTGTTAGTATTTTCTTTATAACATTCACTTGTGTGGTTGTACAGTATGAATCTCCCTTTAAAATGATGGCTGACAAAGTTATTACCCGTTTATGGAAACACTTGGATTGCTTAAATGCAAAAGTGTGTGAATGTTAAGTCATAATAATTTTCAGTGTGTGTGTCTCATTAGGTTTCTCATAAAGTGAGGGAAAGGATTGCTTTCAGAATGCACAAGATCAATGAAGTGGGAATGCTGCAGCCCGCCGGTGTCACTGTGTACGAGTACAACGCTCCAGGTACAACACACACACACACGACACACAGCTTACAGTGAAAACAGTGGAAGGAAGTGGAAAAGGCATATTGTAGACACATCATTAAACAGAAGTTGCATTAGTCTTGTGACGTAGAATCGTAGATCCAAGTGAAACAGCTTTTGGAACAGGATAACATGTGGGCGGGACTTGGTCCATAGGCAATTGATTGAATGGTTGTGGTTTGCTATTGGTCGATCTCATGTGAGTGACAGGTGGCCCCGCCCTCGTCCCAGTAAACATATTATTAGAGAAGAGATGACGTTGCGGGAAAAGGTATTCTAAAAGTTATTCTCTAAATCAGTGTCAGTGTTTCTGAACTTCTGAAACGCCTCCATTGTAATCTTGAGTTTTATTCACAATATTCCTCATTTAAATAATGAATATGCAGATTAAAGGGGTGGGGCCTGGTTGAGTTAGTTAGAAGTGTTTTAAACTGGGGGTTATGGAAAGGGGCGGGGGATTTCCCAAACACTCTCGAAGCGCTCAACCAATTACAACACACTGCTCAGCCGACCAATCAGAGCACAGTGTGCTTTTCAGAAGGAGGGGCTTCAGGAACTAAACAGAGCGTTACTGACAGACTGGAAAGAGAGGAGCCGCAACAATGGAGAATATGAGGAAAATGTGTTTTTTTAACATTCAAGCATTAAAACCATAGACTGTAAAAAAAGATGGACGACGCCCCTTCGCTCTTTTCCATCAGAGTGAACTGAAGCCGCCAGTGTCTCGATATGACGCTGACATCATGGACTTGAGTCTGCGCACTTGCGTGTTTCGGGACCAGTCATGCGCAGTCGTGAGCAGGAAGTAAAGACGTGAAATCAAGGCCCCGCCCTCATTCACGCCCCTCACTTTTATTAAGTTTCCTCTGTCTGCTTCGTTCTTCTCCAATGATGTCTGCTGATTGCAGAACCTCGTTAAAATAAGGTAAATACAACTACTAACCACATAATCAACATTATTAAAAAAAGTCCGCTGTTGCTTCAGTGACTACCTCGCTCAGAGAACCTGTCAATCATGATGTCAGAGCACCGTTTTTATCATCACATAACAAACTAAAAACAAACTTATTTTAAAAACGAACACTTGAAATTACATCAACGTGATAGAAACTGCAATAAATGACAGAAACTATCTTTGGAAAAAGGATATGTGAAGTGTAATTTAATTGTTTAGTTGGTCTCGCGTCCCATTGAACAACATGGGGAGGCGGGGGTTATGAGCTATACTAGGACCGGTCACAGGGGGGCGATCAAGACGTTTTGGCTTCACTTTTGAGGGCTTGTGCGGCACGCTTGATTAAAACCTATTCTAGTAGAGCCTAAAAACAATCAAATCTTTGTTAAAGGGCATAATAGGTAATTGCAATATTCCATTAAAAAAGTCAAGTCAAATATATTTATATAGCGCTTTTCACAATACAGATTGTATCAAAGCTGCTTCACAATATCAATCAAGACAACTTAACAGTGTTTGTTTATTCATGGAAAAAAAAGACAATCAAGTTTGGTAGAGCTGATCAATGATGGGTCATTTAATTTTAATTTTAATATCCCCAACTGAGCAAGCCAAATGCAACAGTGGCAAGGAACCGAAAAACTCCATCAAGTGACCCGACGGTGTCCTAAAACTCCATCAGATGACCCGATGGAGAAAAAAAAAACCTTGGGAGAACCCAGGCTCAGTCTCCTCTGGCGTTTATGAACTAGAGGCCAAATTTACAGTAACTGTAAGATAAAAAATGTATATGAATGCTAAAAAACAAGATTGGCCGGTTTCATGGTGTCTTGAATCTAACACCCAGATGATCGTTGTGTGAAGTTCTTCCATCCTCATAAGAGAGACGGTGCGCTGAACCGACTCTGCCATGAAGACCTGTGCGAGTGTGCCGAAGGTGCGTCCGTCTATGAACTCAATACACACTGTTTGAGGCTGGTGTGTGTCTGTGTGCATGTTTGTAGATACACATGTCTGTGTTTTCAGAGAACTGCAGTCTCCAAAAGAAGCATCACATTGCTGAGTCTCAGCGTGCTGACAAGGCCTGTGCGCACGGAGTTGACTACGGTAAACACACACCGCTTTCTGCTTTTGTAAATGTGTTTGTCTGTGTGAAGAGCTGGGATTTATAAGCTGTTACACACTTCTCTTATAGTTTATAAAACCAGGGTGGTGGGAAAGCAGCTTTCACTGCAGGCAGACATCTACAACATGACCATTGAACAAGTGCTGAAGGAAGGTATTTATTTCATGTTTTATTTGTATAGGGACAGATTCAATAAGCTTAGAAAACACAGTGACTATAGCCATCCAATGCGTGTATCATAGTGCTTGTAGCTAAAGCTAATTTGCAACACTTGTCCATAGAAGGTGTGATGTCTTATGAAGTGCACTGTACACAGCAAAATCCCCAGTGTTAAATTAAGACTGAGACGGTGAATTATATAAACCCTGAGCAGAGTGTTAAATGAACACTGAAGAGTGTTAAAGTTAATGAGATAATTAAGTGAATAATTGAGTGATGATTGAGCATTATTGAAGACACCTGATGTTAACAAGCAGAATCACTGAAGGAGAAAACCGTAATTGATATGTTACCATTATGGAGATCAGTGTTTGCTTTAGTTGGGCTCTTGACCCTTAAATCATTAACTTTAGATTTTGTTTGGCTGCAGGACTTGAGTTATAACAGCCAAATACAAATATAAAGGTGATCTGATGGTGTTGGTTGTGTTTTAACATAATCATTAATTGACATGAATCGCTGAACATATCAAGAGCATAAATTCTGAGTTAAATTTTCCTTATGATTTTAGAAGCACGGTCATTCTAGAACATACCATTTTAGCATTTTCAATGAAATCCAAATAATCAAATAAATTCAAAAAACATTTGTATGCATGCACACACAGACAGCAAGAATTAGCGTATGAATCTCAGCAATGGTGACAAACAGATCACCTCTGAACATAAGCTCATTATTTATTCATGCAGCAATGCATGATGGGAAAAAATGTAAAGTTAATGAAGTAAGGGTCAAGAGCCCAACTAAAGCAAACACTGATCTCCATAATGGTGACTTAAAAATTACGGTTTCCTCCTTCAGTGATTCTGCTTGTTATCATCAGGTGTCTTCAATAATGCTCAATCATCACTCAATTATTCACTTAAATATCTCATTAACTTTAACACTGCTTCAGTGTTCATTTAACACTCTACGCAGAGTGTTAATTTAACGCTGGGGATTTTGCTGTAATCTGCAGAAAACAAGTCACAGTAAAATCAACTATGGTGGATTAGAAATATAGTTTCAGTTCTGAGAGTATGGATATGCAAATATAGGGTGAAGGAAAATGCATGAATTTGTAAATAATGCCTCTTTTTTAATATTTCTCATATTTTTATTAGCAATTGTATTGATTCAGCCACTAGTCGCATTTCCATTACCCTTCAAATTGTGCACATTGAAACAAGTCAATTTCGCAAAAAAACTTCAATTTATCGCAAAAAAGTTTTTACGCTTGCATGAGGTGGTTTTTTCAGGCAATTCGAAAAACAAATATTTCACAAAACTGAAAAAGAAACAGTTTTTGCGCATTTACAGGTCACCTGACGTAAATCACACGGTGTGCTTGGACAGAATACGAGACACAGTTATTTATTAAATTCACAAAAGCCAGTGCGGTGGCTGGGAAATACGTAAACCTGCCAACATCCGTCGCCCTGATTTTTGGAATGACTTTTTGCCAGAGGAAAACACATAACATTTTAGTCGCATATCATCAGTTAATGGAAACGGCATCATTTCGCAATCATTTTTTGTCGACATTTAGAAAAAAATCGCAAAACTTTTGCCCAAATCTGTAATGGAAACACGCTTAATGTTGCCATTAACCTCTATAATTTTATATTTATAATAATTGAACAGAATGCAAAATTGCTTGGCATGTAAAAACATAAATAACTTTTTTTGATGGCACAACTCTCCGTTGTTACAATTAAGAAAAATGTTAACGTCAGTTATATGATGATAATGATTGATGAAAATAATTGTGGATAATGAATTAGCATATAGATTTATGCATTTCTGACTTTATAACACGCAATTCTGACTTTATATCTCGCAATTCTGACTTTCTATCTCGCAATTCTGACTTTATATCTCGCAATTCTGACTTTCTATCTCGCAATTCTGACTTTCTATCTCGCAATTCTGACTTTATATCTCGCAATTCTGACTTTCTATCTCGCAATTCTGACTTTCTATCTCGCAATTCTGACTTTATATCTCGCAATTCTGACTTTCTATCTCGCAATTCTGACTTTATATCACGCAATTCTGACTTTCTATCTCGCAATTGTGAGAAAAAAAGTCAGACTTGTGAGATTAAAAAGTCGCAATTACCTTTTATATTTTCATTCTATATCGCGGAAACAAGCTTCCCTAGTTTTCTTTTCTCTTTTACTATAAAATAAATCTCCAACACATTTGAGAGTGTATGTTTTTCAGGCACCGATCCAGCTGTGGAAGGGAAGACCAGGTCTTTCTTGGCTCATCCTTACTGTAGAGAGTTTCTTGAATTTGAAGAAGGCAAAACCTACCTGATCATGGGCCAAACCACATCACTTCCTAGGATAGGTGGAAGGTAGGAGCTTTATGAACAATCTCTCTCTCGCTGGTTTTGGTCTGAACTCGATGCTCAAACGCTCTATGAGACTAGAGTTGACACACTCAGTATGGTTCGATCTTGATGTGTGTATGTGTGTGTTTTTAGACTGAGGTATAACCTGGGTGAGCAGACCTGGGTTGAGTACTGGCCGACACAAGAGGAGGCCCAAACTGAAAAATACAAAGACAAGTACGCCGACATCGTTGCATTCGCTGAGCAGCTCTTCAACCTCGGATGCACAACATAAAGACAATCTGTGAACTTTGCTTTATTTTATTTCTTTTCCAGATTCACTGTAAGAAATTATCAATTTACTGACGTCTAACTTTCTGTAGTAGGGACAACTGGGACAAGGCATTTTACATTTGAGTTAATTTCACAGATTTTACTTTTGTGACAACATGCCCCAATTGCAGGGTATGTGCATTGAATTATTGAATTAGTGTTTTAATCTGCAACCACTGCTATAGTAAAAACGCATTAGTGTAACGGGACTGTGATCTAGTCATAATGACAGCTTTCATCATGTGACAACTTGCCCCAGTCTATTTGAGTCATTTGTACTTTCTGAAGTTAATTGAGCTTTAAAGAAATAAGACAAATAAAATGAATTTGTTCTCATCTCTTTGGCTTCAAAACTAGGCATTATGTATTTACTCACACACACACACAACAGATAAAACAACTCATTTTCTCATCAGTTTGATGAAGGTGAAAGACACACAAGTCCTTTAGAGCTATAATACAGATTTATAAAAACATTGAATATAAAATAGAGCAGTAGTGTTACAAACACTAACGGCAACTTAATCTGTTGAGCAATTGTGGTTTTTATTTCACATTCACTGTGAGTTTGCATGTGTAGGCTGATAACGACAGATGACTCGATGTTTAACACATAAACCCCATAAGTCTCCTGTGCAGTGCACGCAATGCTCCTTTGGGCTCAGTATGGCCTTACAAAACAAAATATACATTTTAATATTAAAACATCATTTTCATTTACTTCTCATCTATACGTTTATGCTGTGTTTTTGGGGGATATGACATACTTTGTTTTCCTATTTACTGCGAAATTCCTCAAGTACACCATTAGCATGCATATAAATGTAACGTTTTAATGAAAAAAAAACAAAACACATTAATGAAGAGAAAACTTGAGTTTCTGGATATTGATCTAGGTGTTAGATGCATAATTCTGCCATCTGCTGGTTAGATTTAATTTTGTGCAGATAATATAGTTTCAGCCAGACAAAGTAATTGCCATATACTTCAAGCAGAGGCCCGGCGGCCCCATAGAGATCCATTCGTTTTCCTAAATATGACTTACTGCTCTTATTACAGCTTTTGTCATGAATATATACAGGTGAAACTGGAAAAGCATATTGTATAAAAGTTATAATTTTTATAACAGCTTGTGAAAAGCCCAAATTCAAAATCTCAGAAAATAAGAATATAACATGAAATGGATAATATAAAATAAAAAGGTTTTAAATACAGAAATGTCGGCCCTCTGAAAAGTATAATCATGCATATGTTACACTAAACATATTAGTTTCACCTTTTTAATTTGATTTACTGAAATACATTTTTGCACAATATTTACATTTGACATTTTAAAATGTACATTTAAACTTTAATAGATAATGTAGAAAAAGTCACAACGTTTTATGAAGGGAAACCATGTTTAATAACTACAGAAAAGTCGATTTGGGGTCATATAGCCCAAGTCAGTGGGAACAAACCTGCTTTCTTTACATAATATAAACTCAGATTGATTGATTTAAAGGCACATCATTCAATGGCAGCGATGCTGCAGTGATGGTCTGAACCAGAGGAGAGGAAAGCGACGATGTCACAACTTTAATCGCACAGGATGATCATGTTGAATCATGGTCCAGGTCCCTCCACCCATGTTACTCAATAACTGACAGTGAGGATGATGATGATGCTGTTTTACTGAGGGAGGGCCTGAAGTGAGGATGATTATATTGAGAATAAGCATCTGATGTAGTTCAGATACAGGCATGATGCGCGTGGGCTCGGTGTGGCTGGCGGCTGTAGTCGTCTCATTACCCCTCCTCTCCCTCTGCGACCCTCTGTGAGTATAAACACACAACTAATGCTGGTTGAGTTGTGATGAAATGGATTGAAAACACTATTTAAAATTGCTGCGTCTCCGTCCTTAAGAAATCAGATCCCAGCTACAGGATTGTTTTGCAAAGAGCTTCTGATTGGTCCAACCAAATCACTCAGAACAGAATCAGATCATTGTGGGTGTAAATTTAACTGTTAAATTGTGTTAAAGAAATATAAAAATTTGGTCATCACTTACTCATACTCAAGTTGTTTCAAACCTGTATGCATTTCTTTCTTCTGCTGAACACAAAAAAAAGATGTTTTGAAGATTGTCAGTATCCAGATGGACCCACTGACTTCTATAGTAGGAAAAATAATAATACTATGGAAGTCAGTGTGGTCCATCAACTGTTTGGTTACGACATTCTTCAAAATATCTTCCTTTGTGTTCAGCTGAAGAAAAAAATTCATACCGGTTTGAAACAGCTTGAGGGTGTATGGAAGCGTATTGCATTCAATTGAGGGAAAAAAAGTTAATTTTCTCAGAATTACGAGATATTATTTCATAAAAAAGTTTTGCTCCGTTTTTCTGAGTTAATATATGAGAATTATGATCAAATTAAATCAGTTTCTGATGATTAAATGAATCTCCTTCATTGTATTAACTCACTTTTTCCAGTTCAATCAACTTAAAATTTTAAGGCAACCAAGGTTGCTTACCTTTTTTAAGTTAAACCAACAATATTTTATTACAGTTTAGTAATCGCAACATTTTTTCTTTTGTCAAATCAACTTAAATAATTTATTTAGTTCAGATAACATATAATTTTGAGTTTCTGATGATTAAATCATTCTCCTTAATTGTATTAACTCACTTTTTCCAGTTCAATCAACTTAAAATTTTAAGGCAACCAGGTTACTTACTTTTTTTAAGTTAACCCATCAATATTTTATTACAGTTTAGTAATCGCAACATTTTTTCTTTTGTCAAATCAACTTAAATAATTTATTTAGTTCAGATAACATATAATTTTGAGTTTCTGATGATTAAATCATTCTCCTTCATTGTATTAACTCACTTTTTCCAGTTCAATCAACTTAAAATTTTAAGGCAACCAGGTTACTTACTTTTTTTAAGTTAAACCATCAATATTTTTTTACAGTGAATTAATGAGTTACTCATAATTTTGAGATAATTGAGTCATTAATTCAGAAAAACTGAATCTTATCTTGTAATTCTGAGATAATTAACTCGTTAATTCAATTACTGAATTATTAAAAAAATTTTCTCAAGTGAATGCAATACGCTTCCATAAGGATGAGCACGTAATGACAGAATTTGCATTTTTTTAAGTGAACTATTAATTTAAAAATACAGCACTGTATTTAATTAATCTCATAATAACTTTGGAAGCCCTAATTGTCTGTAAATAATACATTAATTAGTGCAGTATCCTTTGTGAGTGCTGTGAAATGAGATTAAGATATATTGGTAACGTTTTATTTTAGGGTCCAATTCTCACTATTAACAGCTTGCTCATTAGCATGTATTTTAGTATTTATTAGTACTTATTCTGCAGGACCATTCTACATCCACCCAATACCTAAACTTAACACCTTACTAACTATTAATAAGATGTAATCAGGAGTTTATTGAGGTAAAAGTAGTAGAGATTAGCCCCTAAAATAAAGTGTGAGCGATATATATTCTTCTGTATTCCCACCTGTATTGTTCAGCTACATTCTCTCGGCCCCGAACCTGCTGAGAGTCGGGTCCCCGGAGAGAGTGTTTGTGGAGGCGCAGGACTATTCTGGAGCCAGTCTGCATGTTAAAATCTCAGTGAGAAACTCTAAAGACAAGCGTGAAGTGACGAGTACATCAGTTGCTCTGACATCTGCCGTGAACTACCAGGCTCTGGTTGAGATAGTGGTAAGAAGTTTGTCTATGTGTCAAAAATCAGGCAGGATGTGTTTTACAGACTTAAACCGATGGATGGTTTGCTATGTTGGGCTTTGTGTGAATGCTGTTGTCCGTGTATCGTGTGCCTGTAGGTACCTGGTAATGCATATTCCTTTGAGAAGGGAGTGGAGCAATATGTGATCCTGCAAGCTCAGTTTCCACACAAGCTGCTGGAGAAACAGGTCATGGTGATTTTTCAATCTGGACACATAGTTTTACAGACTGATAAGACCATCTACACTCCAAACAGCACAGGTGGACATATTTGCTGTTCTACATTTGTTTGTTGTGGAGCCAGTCTTAAGATCTTGCAATGACACAGATGTTTGTCTTCTCCTAGTGTTTTACAGGTTGTTTTCACTGAGTCCAGGCATGACACGGGCCGTAGAAAGTGGAGTCCGAGTGGAGATCTTGGTAAATGTACCCTCCGTCTGTGTATTAAAGTACAGTGGTCACCGCCATTTTTTTTTTACTTTAGTACTCGACAGTGAATGTGAGCTGATTTGTGTGTTTATATTGGTCAATTTCGATGCAACTAGAGAATAAATATAAATCTTCAATGTTGACAGACACCTGATGGCATCAGCCTTCAGAGCAAATCCGTTTATCCCAATGGAGGACTGGTGTCAGGAACATTCAGCCTGACTGATCCGGCCAGGTGAGTATCCTGTTTACATCAATGTATTGAAGATACTTAAAAACCAATATTGCTGAGTCAGTTTTTTAACACTTTTCCAAAGATAAAGTACTTGGTGTCCCATCTTTGTGCATTTTTTATTTTTTTTGCTTTTGCTTGTACTTAGGAATTAGAAGTGTTCATTATGTTGAATATTTATTTTGAAAGTAGCCAAAATAAATTGCAAACCTCATTAAAAAAACGTGTAAATTCCAGGTTGTTCAATATAATCTACATTATTTCTTGTTCAGTTTTTTGTTCAGGCACAATCAGACATATAGATCCAGTGTATGAATCTCAACAATGGTGACAAAAAGAATATATTAGGAAAAGGAGATTCCCAAGACAATTCATATTTTAATTTATTCATACTGCATGAATGAGTTTTGATTGGTGGCGCCCCGAATGGACTGCGACATGCTTGATTATTGTCACCATTGTTGAGAATCACACGCTTATTATTGATGTCTGTGTGTCCAAAACTAAATCCTAATTTTTGATCTTTTGACTTTTGATCAGAACAACTTTTAAGAAACCTTTTGGATTATATTGAAAAAATCAGGATTTTAAGACGTTAAATCACTTTGATACGATAATGCTCGATATATATCTATGTCAGAGATTAGGACTAAATGAGTTCAGTGATTCAGGTCATATGATTCCAAAATAATTATTATGTTAAAACATAATCAACACAATGAGATCACATTTTCTCTTTGTTCATCTGGCTGTCATAACTCATGTACAGTAGACAAATAAAATCTAAAGTTAAACATGTAAAGGTCAACTGCCCAACTAAACCAAACACTGATCTCCATAATGGTGACTAAAATTTGAGTTTTCTTCTTCAGTGATTCTGCTTGTTATCATCAGGTGTCTTCAATAATGCTCAATCGTCACTTAATCAATTACTTAAATAGCACATTAACTTTAAGACTCTTTAGTGTTCATTTAACACTCAAATTTTAACACTTTAACCCTCTTTAGTTTTTGCTACCTAGTATCATTCAAGAAACTGGACATTTTTATGTACTTGGAATGTTTGAAATCAACATTACTATCATGTTGAATTTTTAATCGAAAATTACGTTTAAAGAACGTTTGAGGAACATTATAACTTTTAAAACGTGTTTCTCTAACGTCAAGAAATATTTAGAGAACACTTTTTGAAAAATGTTGTTCCCTTTTTGTGGAAAGTACCTGTTATTGTTTAATAAGATTGTGACCTTTATTAGCCCCGGGATATGGAAACTTACAGCGTGGCACCAGAACAGCCCACAGACAAACTTCTCCAGTGAGTTTGAAGTCAAGGAATACGGTAGGTGTCTCTGGATGGGTCTTCGTGAGCTGTTACGAAACTGCATTACACAATACACCCATGATATTTGCAATCCAGTGTTATCAACTCAGGTTCTTCCCTTTTCTCTTGCAGTCTTGCCCAGCTTCGAGGTCTCTTTGAGACCACAGAAAGCCTTCTTCTATTTGAACGATGAGAGTCTATCAGTCGATATTGAAGCCAAGTACAGCACCTTTTTAAAAATGAATATTTTGGCCATATGCATGTTTTCTAATTAAATGGCTAGCAGTTGCAATAGTGTTTTAGAATATATTAGCTATTAAAGTAAATGTGTGTTTGTGTACTCTAAAGGTATTTGTTTGGGGAGAAAGTCAATGGTCATGGATTTGTTGTATTTGGAGTGATTACTGAAAATAAAGGGAAGATAAGTATACCAGGCTCCTTACAGAAAGTGAAGGTATTACACACACACACACCAGAGATTTATATTAAACTTAGATTTTAGGATTATTTGCTCCATATATGAATAATTTCTGTTGGGGGTTTTCTATATACAAAAAATGGCACGTTTGTGGTCATAAATTCTACTTAGACACACAAAGTATAATGAGTCCATTTGATAGTTGACAAATGCAGGAGAAATTGCACAGATCTGATCAGATCAAAATTGTTGAATGTCAGATCTCTGACGGAAGTGGAACTGCAGAACTGAGGAGAAAACACATCCAAGAGACCTTCCCAAACATCACGCAGCTTGTTGGCCAATCACTGTACATTACAGTGAGTCTGCTGACCGACTCTGGTAAGAACTGCACCATTTCTGACATACATTTTTCTTGGACAACAACGTGGACGTGTTCATTTCCGTTTCTTATCGAACGCATGTGTGTTTCAGGCAGTGAAATGGTGGAAGCTCACAGGAAAGGCATTCAGATCGTGACGTCACCGTACACCATACACTTTAAAAGAACACCTCAATTCTTCAAACCTGGGATGCCCTTCGATGTCTCGGTAAAAGCAAAAACATGATTTGATAACCTCAAGAGCAATCTTTAAGTAAGTATTACTGTGTACCTTATTTTTTTGTTCTGGGTTTTGCGTAAAGGTCTATGTAACAAATCCTGACCAAACGCCTGCTCAAAATGTGGAAGTGGAGGTCAATCCTGGAGGGGTCAGAGGTCAAACAAGAGCCAATGGCATTGCGAAGGTTACCATAAACACTCCAGGACGCACTTCTACACTGGAGATCACCGTAAGATCTTCCATCTCAACTGCACTGATGTTCAGTCAGATCAATGGGGTATATTTCAGCACATCAGATAACAATGTATTGATTCGTTTCAGGCAAAGACCAAAGATCCACAATTAAAAGACATACAGCAGGCAGAGAAGAAGATGACGGCTCTCGCTTACATTCCCAAAGGCGGCTCAAACAACTACCTGCATATCGGCATTGATTCTGCAGAGCTTCAGATCGGTGATCAAATGAAAGTCAATCTCAACACTGGACAAAGTCCAGGAGCCAGAGATCAAGATTACACATACATGGTGCGTGACAGACCTGTCGTGATTCAAGCAGTGAAAATGTTTCCAAAAATGTATTCATTGTCTTTTATCTGCCTCTTTTCCAGATCTTGAGTAAAGGTCAGATTGTTAAAGCAGACAGGTTTAAGAGGAGAGGACAATCTCTAGTGTCTCTGTCTCTACCTGTAACCAAAGACATGGTGCCGTCCTTCCGCTTTGTGGCTTATTATCACGTGGGCTCGTCTGAGGTGGTGTCTGATTCAGTCTGGGTCGACGTGAAGGACACGTGCATGGGAACGGTATTTTTTTGCCCTGGTCATACAGCACTGTGAATCAATCTACATTTTTCTGATATATGTTCTTTGCTCTGCCAGCTTAAAGTGGAAGTCCACGATCCTGAGAATGTCTATGAGCCTGGTGAACAATTCGGCCTGAGAGTAACAGGAGACCCTGGGGCCAAAGTTGGGTTGGTTGCTGTGGATAAAGGCGTTTATGTTCTCAACAACAAGAACAGACTAACTCAAACAAAGGTTGGTAGATCAGAACTGAATCATTGCATTGTAACTGGGATGCGGCCACATTTTCCAACCTAAACATATTGATTCCTCCAACAGATCTGGGATGTTGTTGAGTCGCATGACACTGGCTGCACAGCAGGAAGTGGAAAAGAAAGCATGCAAGTTTTTAGCGATGCCGGCCTGCTGTTTGAGTCCAGCTCAGCTGGAGGCACTAGCGTCAGAAAAAGTACTTGCATTTACTTGACCTATTCAAGTACAGACTTCACTATTATCAGTGAATCCATCTGACTAATTACATTTTCAAAACTGGTCTGTTCCAGATGCCGCATGCCTTTCTTCATCTCGAAGGAAAAAACGAGAAGTGACCATAACACAACTCTGGGAGACTCTAGGTAAGAAAGCTGCATTCCTCCATTTACACCCACAAATACCAAACCACAAATTTTACACTCAGGGAATGATCCCAAGTTTAGGTACTAAGTTTCATTTGAATCCAAATAATTGCCAAGAAACTACTTCTACTACAGGGCGTTTTCACTCCGGAAAGTTCGCACCAAGGTCCGAGCCAAAGTTCACGTTTTGATACGTTTTATTAGCCCGGATGCCAGCCCAAACTCCGCCCACAACATTTTTTGGACGGGAAGTTCGGTCCGGACTCGATCCATTGAGGAGTAATTATGATCAGTCAAAAAATGAACGGGCCAATCGGATTGCCAGGGCGGGCTTTATACGATGATGGACAGATGATCTGCAGGGACGTAATCATCACGTTATCAAAGAGCGCTTGGTTTCCCTCAGAGATGACTGCAGCTGGAGAATTGAGATGTATAGATTCCGCTGTCGCATCTGTTGTAAAATAAATTCACAACTGCAATCAAGGCATTTGTCGATAGGAAAGATATTTTTGCCATCCTTCCTACATGATTTGGCAAAAGTGTAACTTATCAGCTGGCTCTGACGGTCGCTAAGAAGATGGGACGTAATGAAAAGCCTGTGGTCGTTGTGGTTTCTCCTTTGGTTGCACTCATGGAGAAGTTAGTAAACACTCGTTATTTAACTTCTAAAATAAGTAAGTTCTAGTTGAAAACTGCGCTATGCAAAGGAGTTGACTTACTGCGTTGCTCTGATTGGTTGTAGGTTTACCGACTATCCAATTGAGTGCAGAGGATTTTTTTTCCTGGTTCGGTTAAGACATGCCTCATAATCAAAGCACTACGGAGGAGTTTCAGACTCATGTTCTCACTAGAATATGAGTATGACGAAGTCAGGCTAACGTTTTATACTTTCAGAAAGTTTTGGTTTGGTTTCACACTGCAATTATGCGAGCGCACTAAAGAACTTTACGCGACATACTTGCGTCCGGTCGTTATCATCTATGTGGGCTACATCTAGATTGGTTTAGTAAACGGAGGTGCGTCTGACGTCTGTGTGTTGTCAATTCGGCGGGTAACTTTAACAACATGAACGAACAGATGCATATCGTTGCAACTATATTGTTATTTTTATGGCATAATTACCTGCAGCGCCATCTATACACAACGCTAGTTCAAATTCGCCAAATGCACGTCCTCGTCGTGCGAACATTTTATTGTCGCCGGCAGGAAAGGAGATGAAGCCTGCAATGTCATCAGACCATACTTCAATTAAAATCCTCATCTCCTCATCTCCTCATGTGCTACACGGCTCCTTTTTTCTTACACCTTCTGTTTTTCGGCTTTTTGGGAACCACCAGAACTTACTGTAAAAGGTCTGAAAGTCCGAACCATACAGAAATGCTTTCACACTAGAAACGAACCAAACCTTTTTTCAGTTTGATCCGGATCGAGTCTACCTCTTTTCGTCGGATCGTTTTGGTCCGGACCGTGGTCCGGGGGAGGTTTCACACCTGTAATTTTGATTCGGACCAATATCCGAAAGTCCGGACCAAACAAGGTAGGAGTGAAAGGGCCCTTAGATGCATCATAGATGAATGGTTTGGTATGTAGAGTATGTGAATAGCATTTGACCTGCACTGCATCAAGTATTTTGTACTTGACACAAATTGGAGAATGGAATGAAGAAAGTGGGTTTGAGAAAGTACATTTGAGAGAGAGACTTTAAATTTGGCCTGAAAAACTTTGTAACTCCCCACAATCAGTGTGTCATTTATCACAACTTCTTACCATACAGTTCTAGGGTTCATGCAGTACATGGACGCCCAGCCAGAGATGAGGGTGATGGCAAGAAAACGAACAGAAACGATATGTGCCTATGTACCCTTGGTGATGGCCCCAAACTGAATAGAGTGCCGAAGTTACGACGTCACTCTGTACGCGGAAGTGAGTTAGCATTTTAGCACTCCCGGTTCCCTCGCCCTAAAGTCTATGGGATTTTTGAATGGGTTTTTGCTAAATCACCTGAAATAAGGTCTGTGGTGAACAAAGCCTCTAAATATTTTCACGTTTTGATATATGACATAGAACATACAGTTATAACCTGCTTAAACTTTATTGTGTCTGTTTGTGTTTTTAACAACTTTATATAGGCTTCAAAATGTATACATTTTGAAGATTAGCTTGATGGACAAAACGTGTAAGGGTCACAACTCTTTGTTAAACACAGATCTTATTTTTTGCAATTTTCCAAAAGTCTATGGGGAAAATGCATTGCTTTTCGATCGAGGGAACCCATGCGCCGCTAGCTTCCGAGTCGTCCTACAAAGTGACGTCATCACTTCGGCACTCTATAGACATTTAATCAGTAGATGTAAAAGATAAGTCAAAACAAAGAAAAAAGACTAATCAAATAATATCAGCCTCTTTCCATTTCTCTTTTCTTATCCACCTTTAGTGAGCAAGTACTCTGGCCTTGGGAAGGAATGCTGTATGGATGGAATGAAGAGTATGGTTGATTTGACATACACTTGTGAGTATCGGGCAAGCTTTATCGTGGACGGAGAGGAGTGCAGACAGGCTTTCCTACACTGCTGCAATGAGATGACCGGCCGCAACAGAGAGTCGGATAAACAGGGCGAACAGACTCTATCCCGCAGTAAGAGCACTCTCAAAAACAGTGTACATTTTCCAATTGAAACACTCGAGCGAATACACCTGGACTTCAGGTGTGTCTTGAGTAGGCAGAGCTCTTAATTACAGGAATTGATCCAATTGGAAAAAAGACCATTTTTTTAAGGGTTGCTTCTGTTTTGTCTAAAATAAATCAACCACCCTTTCACCCACAGGTGAAGCCGATGAATTCGTGAACTCAGATGACATTGTGTCACGCACGCTCTTCCCTGAAAGCTGGCTTTGGGAGGAAGTGGTGTTGCCTAACTGTCCCTCAACCAACCATCAGTGGTGAGTGTGACTTGCAGTTTTCAACAGTCAGTGTTTAAGATCCTGTTTAAGTAAAAGATGATCTCTCTTTTAGTCAAACAACCACCAGACTTAGAGATGGCCTCCAGTTGAAAGACTCCATAACCACCTGGGAGATCACAGCCATCAGCTTGTCCAAGACTCATGGTACGGACTGATCTTGGAAACACACAAACCACTTGTCCATTTAAAAGGAAATTCCTGGGAATTGTCCACACTTATGCATTGCATTTGATTACCCCAGACAATAATTTCAATGCATCGGTCTATGTCCTGGGCTGAAAATGTTCTAGGCCTACAAAACATCTAATGCTTTCTGTGACGGCTTGCTCTCTTTTTTTCTCTACAAAGGTATCTGTGTGGCAGATGTTCATGAGATGATAGTGATGAAGAACTTCTTTATTGACCTAAAGATTCCCTATTCAGCCGTACGCAACGAGCAAATTGAAATCAAGGCTGTTATCCACAACTTTTACAGCAGAAAAGTAAAGGTCAGATTGGAAGAATGTTTTACCTTGGCAAACCTCAGTTTGATGACCGAAAATGCTTTGGCTATTACCAGCCCTACTGTACTTTCTTCTGAAGTAGTGTGTGATTTTCATTTCTTGAATTAGGTACGTGTGGAACTGAAGGAAACCAAGGACATCTGCAGCCCGGCCAGTAATAGAGGAAAGTACCAAATCGTAGTGGCGGTCAATGCTAAATCATCGTATTCAGTACCTTTTGTCATTGTCCCAATGGCTTTGGGACGCCACGCAATTGAGGTCAAGGCGTCCGCCTCGGGACGTGGAAGCGATGGCGTGAAGAAAGATCTCCTAGTGGTGGTAACACAAAATACATCTCGATCAGAAAACAAAAAGACAAACGGTGACTCCCGAGAATTTGTTCTTTCACTCGCTCACTCTTCTCTTCATTTCTTTAGGCTGAAGGCGTGTTGACTAAACTTAATGAAAATCTACAGTTAAGTCCTTCTAAGAAAGGTAAGATGATTCCAACAAAACAAAGAAATGCACTCAACATTTTTTTTGACTGAATGTTCATTTTTGGATAGACCAATACCTGAAGGGGACATGTGTAGCCTCTGGGGCCAGTTGTTCAAAACATTTAATCTGGATCAAAATGATCCGGATTTGGATATCCCTTTTTTTCCTATCTAGGATCAGGTAATCCGTCTTACTTTTATGCCGGTTTTTTAAAGCAACATTGGACTGGATCACCCTGATCCAGATTCACAGTTTTCAAGATTACCAAATCTGGATTACCAGTGCTCTAAATGGGACAACATATCACAATGTGGGCTAAGAACAGGTAGAAGAGCCAACATGGGCTCACTGTAAGTGTTTTTTTATTTTGAGACAAAACACAAATGGGGACAAGATAATTTTTATTTTATTTTTACTTTACTATACTGAATAGCTTAATTGTTAGCCTATGTCTACTTTATCACTGTTACAACGGTAACACAAGTCAAGTGCAAAATATAAATAAAAGTATATACACGACTAAATGATACAAATTTGACCAATTTTAAAGTTTTACTACATTTTCTTCCTGAAATCCACCTTGAAATCCTACAGGATAATCCTGTTTTTTTGGATCAAAGTTATCCAAATCCCACTGACAAGTTTTGAACAACACAAACTGAAGGTTTGATCCAGATTAAAACTAGGATTGGATTCCCTGATCTAATCTAATTTCAGATTTCAAACCCATTTTCAAGATTTGATCCAATCCGATAACCAAAATCCGATCAGCTTACCTTTGAACAACTGGCCCCTGGAAATGATTGTCAAGGATATATATTTTTTTTACCTTTACATGGGCATTTCATGAGTTGTTGGGAGTGTTTTCTTCACATTCATTGTTTTGCGAATGTTTCAAGTTTTATGATTTTTGTCTCGAGCCCTGAACGATTTCTTTGTAAATAATGAAGGCCACACTTTAGTCATTCAAATGTACAAATAAGAGTAAAGCATGACTACACAGTTGCCATTTTTCTGGAGCAGGTGGTGAACATGTGGAGGTTATCAGGAGCCTTATACTGAGGGACCAGGCGCCAAACACACCTGCGAGCACATATATATCCGCAATAGGTGACTCTTCTAACATCTGCTGTAAGTAAAACAAACTATGGCTTGTTTTTTCTTACCAGTATGCCAATCTCTTTGTGCACAGGAGACACGATCAGCATAACAATAGAGGCGGCTATAAGTGGTCATGCCATGGGTTCGCTGGTTGTCCTGCCGGGTGGCTGTGGGGAGCAGAACATGATGGGCCTAACGATGCCTGTCATTGCAACACATTACTTGGATAAAACCAATCAGTGGCACACCGTGAAGGCTGGGCTTAGACAGACAGCTGTTTCCTATATTACAAGAGGTAAACTAAACATAAGACTGGAGTGCAAACTTCGAACCTTTCACATTCTTGTATAGAGTCGGGCCTTCTGATTGTGTTGATGTACAGGTTATAATCAGGAGCTGGCGTATCGTAAAGCCGACGGGTCGTATGGCGCATGGATTACTCACCCAAGCAGCACCTGGTAACCGATCTGCTTGTTTGATAAGAACTATTAATCAAGCATCTTGCCATGATTAAGGCTTAATATCAGTTTCGTTTCTCCTAAAGGTTGACCGCGTATGTTGCTAAAGTATTCGCCATGGCCAGTAACATCATACACATAGACCAGAATGTGATCTGCTCTGCTCTCAAGTGGCTCATCCTGAACAAGCAGTTACCTGATGGTGCTTTCAGAGAAGATGCCCCTGTAATTCATGGAGAAATGACTGTGAGTGAGACACACCATAACACTTCATGTCGTTCCAAACCTGTGTGACTTTCTTTCTTCAGTGGCCCATAAACGGAAAAATGTAAGCCATCCTCAAAAAGTGGTCCATACAACTTATGTGCTATGGTTTTAGCACATTACCCAGATAGCAAACTGACATTGAATCAACGTGGAAACATGACATCGAAATAATGTTGATCTGACAATGTTTTGCTCATCGAATTAACGTTGAACCAACGTCAGACGCGTCATTCTTTCAAAACTAACGGAAAATCAACTTGAAATCAACGTTGTTTCAACGTTATGAAAGCAAACCAATTTTCGATTTTCATTTAGCTTTGAAGAATGCCGCGTCTGGCGTTGGTTCAACGTTAATTCGATGAGCAAAATCAACGTTGTTTCGATGTCATGAGAGACGTCGTTTCCACGTTGATTCAATGTCAGTTTGCTGTCTGGGTAAGGTCTACAATGCAATTGCAATTGCAAATAAAAAAAAAATGACAAAAGAAACAAAAAAGCTTTTCCCAAGACTTCAATTGTCATTAGTTGAGTCAGAAGTGGACATTTTGAACTCTTCAAACAAACTGAGTGTTTTCTCAGCTGATTAAGTACGTATTTAAACATTGAAAACATTAAACTGCACCGCATTTATTTCACAATGTATCTTCTCAGTTTTAAGGGTGTGCTTACTGTTTCTCAGTGAAATACCACGAATGAATGAAACCTAACCCTTTGCAGGCGAAAGAAAGTGGCATCTGATGCTTCAGAATACCATGAATGAAGGCAAAATAAACATCCAAGGATAATTCCACCAGCTATCAAACAGACCATCCCCAATTAACTGCTTTAAAAACACTCTCTTTTATTATTATACTAATATTTAAGTGTAGTGTTGTACAAATGCAGCTTGTCCATTGTGCTTCTTTTGTTCTGCTTTGTTGCTAAGTCATGAGTCGAAATCGCTGTCGAACATCAACCAACAATCAAATCCAACAATGCCATTTTTTTTTTTTTTTTTTATCTGGCGAAGTGAAGATTCCCATTTAAATGACTGGATTTCACATGCAGAATTTCATGGTAATTGTGACCACACCTTTACTTATGGATTATTTCTGTCATCACTGTGACACAGGGGAACGTACGTGGGGCAAACTCACAAGCATCCATGACGGCCTTTGTGCTCATCGCCCTACAGGAGGGGAGAAACCATTGTGCTGGCCGGATCGCAGTGAGTGAATAAGTTTGCTCTGTTAAACATGTCAAGCATGTCATTTATTCTCATTATCGTATTGTTTTCATTCCTCTTTAGAGTCTCGACAGTAGCATTTCTAAAGCCATCGCATACCTTAAATCTCAGTTCCATGGTCTGACGAACCCATACTCAGTGGCTATGACATCTTATGCTCTAGCCAATGGAAACGCACTTCACAAACAAGTCCTCTTGAGCAAAGCCTCTGCAGGTAAAGACACTGAAATGTTCAGGTGTCAATCAATGGTGCACCCATATCATCCTATCAGAATTAACATTTCTTGTTGTACGTGATTAAGATGCAGAACAACCAGGGCTTGACATTAGCACCCGCGAACCCGCCAAATGCGAGTAGATCTCTCATCTCTCAGACAAACCCACGTCCCTTTACTCACTCGTTTAATTTGCTCCGGATGAATATTGTTGGTGAATTTTGGTGAGGGATTGCGCATATTAAAGGAGTAGTTCACTTTAAAAAAAAACTTTACTCACCCCCATGTTATTCAAGATGTCCATGTCTTTCTTTCTTCAGTCAAAAAGAAATTAAGGTTTTTGATGAAAACTTTCCAGGATTTTTCTCCATATAATGGACTTCAATGGGAACCAAACGGTTCTAGGTCCAAAAGAGAGTTTCAGTGCAACCCGTTCAAATGGCTTTAAACGACACCAGACGAAACGAAAGCGAAGCGATCGCTCATTTAAAAAAAAAAGTTTAAGCTTTCATTCGTGAGTCTCCTGTTCGAACTCGTTCATCAAAATGAATGAATCTTTTTCCGATTAGTTCATTTCGTTTGTTGGATGAACCAAATGAAAAATGGTCTGACGAACCCATACTCAGTGGCTATGACATCTTATGCTCTAGCCAATGGAAACGCACTTCGTTTAAGTTCGTCAGACCATTTTTTTTCTTTTTTTTTTTTTTAAATGAGCGATCGTTTCGCTTCGTTTCGTCTGGTGTTGTTTAAAGCCCTTTGAACGGTTTGCACTGAATCTGTCTTTTGGACCTTAAACTATTTGGTTCCCATTGAAGTTCATTATATGGAGAAAAATCCTGGAATGTTTTCATCAAAAACCTTAATTTCTTTTCGACTGAAGAAATAAAGATGTGGACATCTTGGATGACATGAGGGTGAGTAAATTATCAGCAAAAATTTTTTTTTAAAGTGAACAACTCCTTTAAGCATAGTTTTACTTATTCACGCCCAAAGTGTGTGCACATAAATACACTATATTGGCCATATAAAATTGTATAATGGGTTTATGCATCATGTCTTAAAGTGACAGCATCCTAATTTACATTTAAAAAATTATATACGGCAGTTTTCCCCCATGATATCAATGTCAAGAGTGGCTAGTAACTTTGTAAGGGCAAAAAAAATGTCAAGCCCTGAGAACAAAAAACATTTGTTCAAAGCAATGAAGACAAAGACTCAAAAATTACTTTTGACTGGTAGTGTGTAATGATAACAAACATAGACAAAGCATCAATGATGACACACTATAAAACTAAAAGTCATGAAGTATAAAATGTGCTTGATGTCTTGTATTTGGTATCTACTCCATTTCAACAATCAAGCACAGCTGCTTTGGAACAATACGTATGGCGAAAAGTGCTATAGAAATAAAATGATGCTGAATTGACCCCATACAGATGGAAGTCACTGGGACGTGTCTGGAAGCCATAGCTTTACTTTGGAGGCTTCGGCTTATGCGCTCCTGGCTCTTGTTAAAGTGGAAGACTATCAGCGCGCAGCTCCCATCGTAAACTGGCTCAGCAAGCAGACGCAGTCCGGTGGAGGATACGGCACGACTCAGGTCTGTAGTGTACATTAAACATTACACGTCTGTCCATACAGTCTTGCATCGTGCAAGATACTTTTATTTTTTACAATAGCTAGGACACATTTCTCAATACTCCATATACACATGTCTCAAAACACATCAGTTCTCATTACCGGCTTTCACTTACCAGTCAATTTTACATTTAGGGCCATAGCTGGGAAAAATGGATTCATGTTATTTGAACGATGTAGTCATTGGATGCAAGCAAAGATAATTGAACCACACGTGTGGTTCTCACTGTGTGGAAAGTTTTGAAAAAGTGTCTTTAAGTATTGAGAAAGAGGCCAATGTTTAAAAAAAAAAAAAAAAAAAAACAGACAGGCTATAAACCTATATAATTTTTAATGCACATTTTTTTGGGAGATTTTTATATATATATATCTTTAATTTACTAGATTTGGTCAATAATTAATAAACAAATAGTAATTAAAGCAATTTCCTCACATTCTTACGGAGGCGTATTGCATTCACTTGAAGAAAAAAAAAATCTACTCTTTTTTTCTGAATTAACGAGTTAATTTTTCATGAGAAAATTTTTTTTTTTGCTCTGTTTTTCTCAATTAACGAGTTAATTTTTCATGAGAATTTTTTTGCTCTGTTTTTCTGAATTAATGAGTTAATTTTTAATGAGAAAAAAAGTTTTTCTCTGTTTTTCTGAATTAATGAGTTAATTTTTCATGGAATTTTTTTTTGCTCTGTTTTTCTGAATTAACGAGTTAATTCAGAAAAAACAGAGCAAAAACTTTTTTTCTCACGAAAAATTAACTCATTAATTCAGAAAAACAGAGAAAAAAATATTTTCTCATTAAAAATTAACTCATTAATTCAGAAAAACAGAGAAAAAAATATTTTCTCATGAAAAATTAACTAATTAATTCAGAAAAACAGAAAAACTTTTTTTCTCATGAAAAATTAACTCATTAATTCAGAAAAACAGAGCAAAAAAATGTCTCGTGAAAAATTAACTCGTTAATTCAGAAAAACAGAGCAAAAAAAAATTTCTCATGAAAAATTAACTCATTCATTCAGAAAAACAGAGAATTTTTTTTTTCTCATGAAAAATTAACTCATTAATTCAGAAAAACAGGGTAGATTTTTTTTCTTCAAGTGAATGCAATACGCCTCCGTACATTCTATCCTAACTTTCTTTTAATCCAGCTCATAATATCTTGCATTGGGTGTTTTTGTCGACCTCTTGTGGGGGAAAAAATATTATAGCATGATATATTGCGTAGATCAGATGTGCCATAGATATCCACAATAAAGGCTAGATGTCTTACGGCGGAGTTTCTATCGTCATCACCGGCGGCCATCTTGTCACAGGCAAGCTGATGTAAGACGAGTGATCAGCACGAACACACTCTTATCTCGTTGAAATCTTGACGGATTTACAAACGGTTTGGTTTCTTACAAACGTTATTAACGTGGCTATAATTCTAGATGATAATTTATTTATACACTTATTATTCATAAGTATGCAGTGTCATAACTACATTTGTCACTCAACTACAAAATTGAAAGCAAGTTATGGTTATTTAAAAAGTACATGCACCATTAAAACAAGATGGCCGCCAGGTGTGGACGTCAACCTCCATTGGCCAGCAGTGTGGACGAGATATCTAGCCTTTATTGTGGATATCTATGACTCTAGATCTATATGGAGCAAATTGAGCTATTTCCCCTGGGCCCTAAAGACAATTAGTTTGCATTCAGACACATGTAGACATTATAATATAATTTTGTGGTAAAATTTTAGCATTTTTAGTTTGAATTTTGAGCATTTTTTGTTTTTTCTATGTGTACTGAAGCATTCCTGGCTCTCCATTCATTCCAAAGGGGTCAAATTGACCCGTGACGGTCGGATTTGAGACTTTTTTAAATCACCACAAAACTCCTCAAATCCATTTATATATATATATTGTAAAAAATATTGATGGTTTAACTTAAAAAAGTAAGTAACCTGGTTGCCTTAAAATTTTAAGTTGATTGAACTGGAAAAAGTGAGTTAATACAATGAAGGAGAATGATTTAACCATCAGAAACTCAAAATGATATGTTATCTGAACTAAATAAAATATTTAAGTTGATTTGACAAAAGAAAAGATGTTGTGATTACTACACTGAAAAAAAATAAAAAATAGTGTTGGTTTAACTTAAAAAAGTAAGTAACCTGGGTTGCCTTAAAAATTTCAGTTGATTGAACTGGAAAAAGTGAGTTAATACAATGAAGGAGATTAATTTATTCATCAGAAACTCTCAACTAAATAAATTATTATAAAGTTGATTTGACAAAAGAAAATATGTTGCGATAACAAATCTTGAAAATATTTTGACAGTGTTTATATATATATATATATATATATATATATATATATATATATATATATATATATATATATATATATTATTTTTTTTTGGTGTGTATTCATGGTTCAAGTGCAACAAACATCCTTGGGTCTTGGACCCCTCTGATGAACATTCATTTTAAAAAATGTTTTAATGTGTTTCGGGTCAAAATGACCCGAGCGAAGGATGAGGGACCAAAAGGCAAAACCTAAAGACGAGAAACAGTTGAAACGTGTCTCTCTTCCCTGCCAGGCCACCATCATGGTGTTCCAGGCTGTAGCCGAGTACAGGATTAAAGCGAAGGTCGTAGAGCTGTTAGACCTGCAGATGACCATCCAAGTGGACGGCAGCCCGCAGCCGATTGTGTTTAGGTTCAACAAGGAGAACGCTCATCTTACACAAACAACCACGGTGAGTTTGTGCTGAAAGTGCTAGCATTTCAATGTCATTCAGCTAATAAAGTCCTAAGATATGTATCGTACAGTCAGATATAAATGACCCTTTATGTCACACAAGTCATATTGTATGAACAACTGTACCTGGTTTGAGATGAAACCTCTATTTGTAATTCTTATATTGATCAGCTGCATTTGATGTATTTTCTCAAGTGTACATTACTATTTTTGTCCATCAACAGCTTCCATCTAGCCGGCAGATCACCATCAGCGCCAGGGGTTCTGGAGAGCCCGCTGTAACTGTGAGTGACTGAAGAAGGCAAAAGCTGAACATGCACCGATACGCCAGACCTTCAACACTGTGTGTTTTCTCCTCGGCAGGTTGTGACTGAGTACTATGCTAAACCAAAAGAGAGCAGCGGCACCTGCAAGAACTTCGAGCTTGATTTGACTTTTGAAAGGGATGATCAAGGTCAGATTTTTGTGTCTTTAATTTTCAGAGGAGGACATTATCATAAATACAATATACTTCAAAATGTAAAAACAATATGTATGATCGTGCTGTCAAACGATTAATCGCGATTAATCGCATCCAAAATAAAAGTTTGTGTTTACATAGTATATGTGGGTGCACTATGTATAATTATTTTGTGTGTGTATATATATATATATATATATATATATATATATACAAATACACACACATGCATGTATATTTAAGAAAAAAATATTATTTATATATAAAATATATAATATAAATTATATATAAATCTATATACAGTATACACATGAAATTTTTTCCAAAATATATATAAACATGTGCCTGTATTTATATATATATATATATATATATATATATATTATATACATATATATATGTATATATATATATATATATATATATTATATACATATATGTCGTGATTAATCGCATCCATAATAAAAGTTTGTGTTTTCATGATAAATGTGAGTGCACTGTTTATAATTATTTTTATATATATGTATATTTAAGAAAAAATTATTATTATTATATTATTTATATATATTATTTATATATAAAATATATAATATATATTATATATAAATCTATATACAGTATAGCTACACATGAAAATCTTTCCAAAATATATACAAGCATGTGCGTGTATTTTTATATATATATATATATATATATATATAAATACACGCACATGCTCGATTTTAAAATCCAAAATAAAAGTTTGTTTTTACATAATATATGTGTGTGTGTGTAGTGTGTATGATTATTTTGTATATATAAATACACACACATGCATGTAAACATTTAAGAAATATTTGCATGTATATATATTTATACAAAATTAATATTATACATAAATATAAATATTTGATATATTAATAACACATTTTTCTTAAATATATACATGCATATGTGTGTATTTATATATACAAAATAATTATACACACTACACACACATATATTATGTAAACAAAAACTTTTATTTTGGATGCGATTAATCGCGATTAATCGTTTGACAGCCGTAGTAGATACAATGTTTTGCCCTTGTCGTTATATTTACTTTTGCTTACAATTAAAAAAAAATATTACAATATTTTGTATTGTAACCAAAATTAAATTTTATTTGTCATGAAAGTAATATTAATGCTCATAAAATAGGCTTTGTTTTCTTGATGCAAAATTAAATATAGAATAAGATTAAAATGTAATAATAAAAAATGCATATTTAGTGATATTCACCTCTTGTGTATCTTTACAATCAGCAGTTACTTATCCAAAGTGACTTAGAAATGAGGAAAATCACTAACGCTTTCTTTCTTTCTTTCTTTTTAGTAACATATCGGGGAGCAACTGAGAGTTATAAACTCACTATACACACCAGGTGTGCAAATAAATCATCACAATATTCAATTTTAATCAACTGAGGATTAAAAGTTGCACTAAACAATATCTAAGTTCAGTGAATAATCCTTGAACATGATCAAATTAATTACTAAGTTTAGTGTAACTAACATTGTGGACAGTTTGGAATTAATAATGGTACTTTATCATGGCATTTATTATATTCTGTTGAAGCTGATGTGTGGGTGTTTTTAGATGTTAATATATAAAATATCCCATGTTCACATGAGCTGCAGAAAACCGAACCTCATATTTGAGTGCAATTGAAAGTTCACATATACTTGACTCCACAGATATCTGTCCGCGAACAGGGACGCCACCATGTCTATACTGGACATCTCATTACTGACGGGATTTGTTGTGGATGAGAACGATCTGAAGGCGGTACGGATCACTTTTTCATTATTATCACATTTGCTGAATGTTAAAAATGTGAAATGTTCACTGCGTTTTTTAAACTTTGGAAGTACAGTAGCAAACTCTGTCTGTTATATTTCTATTAACTTTTAATCACAAGTAATTATAATATAGTATATTTTATTAAGCATAACATTTTTGCATATTATATTTAAACATATCTTTAGTGTGAAGGTAAATCCTATAAATATTGATTAGTTGTGTTGTGGGAAATTTCCAAAATGTAGTTTTATGCTTAATTTTCTCACAATTTCCGTACACCGAGTGGCGGTGGCCACTGAGGCTAATTGCTGTCGCGATTGGCATTAAAGCTCATAATCCCAGCTAACATAATTTTGTTATAAGATCATTTTAAAAGGTATAATGTTCCTCAAACGTTCTTTAAATGTAATTTTCAATTAAAAATTCAACATGATAGTAATGTTGATTTCTTACATTCCAAGAACATAAAAATGTCCAGTTTCCTGAATGATACTAGACAGCAAAAACTCAAGAGTGTTAAAGACTCAAAAGTGTTAAAGTGTTAAAATTTGAGTGTTAATTAAACAGTGAAGAGTGTTAAAGTTAATGTGCTATTTAAGTTATTGATTGAGTGATGATTGAGCATTATTGAAGACACCTGATGATAACAAGCAGAATCACTGAAGAAGAAAAATCTAATTTTATTGTCACCATTATGGAGATCAGTGTTTGCTTTAGTTGGGCAGTCGATCTTTACATGTTTTACCCTTTGATGGTCCTCGAATAATTTTCTGTTTTGAATTTTTAAAAATCACAACTTCATCAAGAGGTTATGATACTTGGTGACATTTCTGGCATTAGGGATGTGAACACACAAAAAAATTGAGTTCATGATCTGAGCATGCTAAGTGGTCGTAAAAAAAATTAGTCACAATTTTGGTCTTCGGTCAAAAATGAACCCCCATAGGAAATGAATGGGAAATTGACAAAAAAAAATAAAAAAATCACCAAATTTTTTTCACAATTTTTTTTTAATAGAAATCGTTTTTTGAGATTGTTTCAAATATATATTCAAATCCACCAAAAAAAAATGTAAATGTGTGCATACACTGCTGGGGAATTCACATGACTCTCCATAGAGAGCTGTACATGCCATCTAGTGGTTACACCATGATTCTACGTTTTTTTCTCTATACTGTAACCAGATGGTGCTAATTTTCTTCAAAAATATATATATATTTTTTTTCTGAAGGCCTAGACTCTATATTAAACTAAAATACTGCATTATTAATTTTTGGGAAAAAAATGTATATATAGAACAATATATATATATTTTTCCACGGCAATAATTAGACCATAAATATTACATAAATATTAATAAATTCAATCACATTGTCTCAAAATACTAAATTAAAAAGAATAAATATTATAGAAAACAAATAAATTTAATTGGTTTTTACTGGGATGGACGAAGTTTCATTTTTAGGTGTCCGGTCACTTCTGACCGCCGGGAAGGCCCGGGACGTGACTCCTAAACGAAGACCATCAGAGGGATAACTTTAGATTTTGTTTGGCTGCTGTACATGAGTTAGAACAGCCAGATGAACAAATAGAAAAGGTGATCTGATGGCGTTGGTTATGTTATAATAATCATTATTTCACAATCATATGACCTGAATCACTAAACTCAAATAGTCCTAATCTCTGATTAGAATGTATATTGGTCATTACAGATTCAAAGTGATTAAACCGTATAAGTTCCAGGTTGTTCAATATAATCTAAATGATTTCTTAAAAGTTAAGCAGAAAAGTTGTCAAACTCTCCAAAAATAACTTTCTGTTCTTGTTTGTAGCTGTCAACTGGACGGGACAGGCTGATTCAGAAATTTGAGATGGACAAGCAGCTTTCAGAGCGAGGATCCCTCATCCTCTACCTGGACAAGGTCTCTGTGGCAGTTTTACTCGGGAAACACTGATATAAAGGGCTTGTGATGTTCGATGATATACTATAAATAATACTTTCAAGCTTTTTAAAGTGATTACACTATGCTGTGTCTTTTCAATAACATCTAGTCAATGCATTTTAAATACTGCAATCAGAATACCAACAGTGATTTTGGATTTAGCACATCTCAAAGTGCACGAAAGAGGACAGAATAAGTATTTGCATTTATAACGTTTATTAATGCAACTTCAAAATCCCTCCCGCATCCCTTCTCTAAAGTGTCTGCTGTACACTTGCAGATTTCTCATGACAGGAGAGATAGGATCGCCTTCAGAATGCACAGGATTATGAATGGAGGCTTTGTTCAACCAGCAGGGGTCACTGTATATGAATACTACTCCATAGGTATGAAACTGATGTGACTCTGACATTAATTGCAATTGCAAATTTGATCAGTTCACCAGGAAACAAAGCCTGGTTTGCCAGACACAACCATAAATGTGTCTCAAATAAGCGGTCATGCAAACGAAACGATATGGAGCGCGCTGAAAATACTTCGAAACGAAACAAGAACAAAACATACGGTTTAAACGGTCTTTGCCGAGTTTGTTTGTGTGTGTGTGTACCCAGAACTGAATTAACCTGACAAAAACTCTTAAAACCTGCGTTTACGGACGTCTTCATTTGTAATATTGGTAAAATAAGGTAAATTATTATTTTTATTGTAAAAATGCTGAAGGTTTTCTGTTAGGTTACAGTTTGTAGCTGTAAAAAAACAAGTAGGCTAAGCACTTTTTTTTAAAATTTTGATTAACTTTGCATGTTAAAGGGATACTCCACTTTTTTTTAGAAATAGGCTCATTTTACAACTTACAACAAGTTTTACCGTTTTCGAATCCATTCAGCTGATTTTCTGATATTTAGAAGAACATCGGTAACCAGAGAGTTTCTGGTCTCATTGACTTCCATAGTAGGAAAAAAATATACATGGAAGTCAATGAGACCAGAAACTGTCTGTATACTGATAAATATCAGAAAATCGGCTGAATTGATTTGAAAACGGTAAAACTCAGCTTTTTAACTTTGGGGGAGTTGTAAAATGAGCCTATTTCCAAAAAAAAAAAAGTGGCGCATCTCTTTAAAGTCCCATTCAAATCATGATTACAGTAAAAGATGGTGTAAGTTTATTAATTATATTTGGACATTATGTTCGTGGCTGACTGCTATATCTCAGATTGAACACTGTATACCTGTGTGACCCAATGTTTATTTCTCAATGTATAGAAAATCGCTGTGTGAAGTTTTATCATCTGACCAGGAAGGAAGGGGCTCTTCAAAAAATCTGTAAGAATGACGTCTGTCAGTGTGCCGAAGGTAATGTGCATTTTGTTTTTCTGAAAATGTAAGCGTCATGCTGTTAATCTACAGCAGGTTCATTTATCTGTCTATTGCGGATACAGAAAACTGCAGTCTTCAACGGAAGGAGAAAATTCACGAGGCTCAGCGTAATAAGAAAGCATGCGAGACAAAAATAAATTACGGTAATAAATGTTGTATTTTGTAGAGACAACACACTGCAGTTCATGAGAATGTCTTCAGCATTTATACTTGTCATTTTTTTTTACAGTTTATAAGGCTGTCCTGGTGAGTGAAGATGAGGACGCTTTAGCAGTTTATTACAAAATGAAGATTGGAGTTGCTCTCAAAAAAGGTATAATTCCTCACTCCGACCTTCAACTCAAACCGTTCGAGGAAACCGATTGCCTTAAATCAATTACGTGTATTAACTCAAACAATTTAAGCATAAAAAATATTTGATTTGTTTCCAATTAATTCATTAACTTATTGGTAAGATAACTTGGGTAAATAAAGTTAATTGTACTAATTAGTTACTATAACTTAAATCTATGAAGTGCACTGTAAATCCAAACAAGTTGGCAAAACTCAAATCACTTTTAATAGCATAAGCTTACTTAGCTTTAAATGCTAATGTGCTGATGTAGTAAATGCTTATGTATTAGAAAGAGTATGTTATAAGCACTTACAAGCACAGAAGTATTTGTTGCATGAGCATAACAATATAAAGGGATAATTTGCACTCAAAACCATGTACCACTTGTCACCATGATGGTAACTATCCTAAAGCCAACATTAACAGAAATTCTTCTAAATTAGCATAACAAAACATTAATCAGTACTAATCTAACATTAATCTTACACACACAAAAAAAACAAACATTATATTGCACTTAATTTTAGCATTTACACTCTCTTTCGAGTGCATGCTGGGAAATAGATATCCCAGCCGTTTCAGTTAAACTTAAGTTGATCTAAATTAAAATATATAATTTCATCAAACTCAAAACAATGAAACAGTTCAGTTTACTTAAAATATATCAGTTCTGTGAACTTGAAAGAAAAAGAAAGTGCTAAATACTCATCAAAATTCATTTGACTGAACTAATTCGTTGAACTTAAGTTTGTCCTACTCAAACCAATTCATTATTTTGACCGTTCTGTCAATGTAATGATTAAGTTTCAGTGTAAGATTTAATGTGAAATACATTAATATGATATCTTAATAACCCACTACACATTATTTTGGGAGAAACAAATTAAATTTTGTTTAGTTAAGTTGTGCCAGTACAAACTCAGTGCCTGAAACACCATACTTGTGCATTTGCGTTAAAGGGATACTTCACTTTTTTTGGAAATAGGCTCATTTTAGAGTTCTCCCCCAGAGTTTCACCGTTTTCAAATGAATTTTCTGATATTTAGAAGAACATCAGTAACCAGACAGTCTCTGGTCTCATTGACTTCCATAGTAGGAAAAAAATATACTATAGAAGTCAATGAGACCAGAAACTGTCTGGTTACTGATATTCTTCTAAATATCAGAAAATCGACTGAATGCATTTGAAAACGGTGAAACTCAACCGTTTAACTCTGGGGGAGTGTTAAAATGAGCATATTTCCAAAAAAAAAGTGGAGTATCCCTTTAACGTACAGTATTTAAATGTTGCTTATCTGTGTAGAGCTGGAGAACGACGTGGAGGGGAAGCTGCGCACTTTCACCGTACACATCTCATGCAAAGATGCGTTGGATTTGAAGCAGGGTGAGAGCTATCTGATCATGGGCCAGTCTGAGGATGTACAACTGGAGGGTGGAAAGTAAGTGCACTTGACCTGTGGTCCAAAGCGTGCAAGTCCTGATCTGTGAGTGTGAAACTTGAAACACTCTCTGAATGGTTAGTGTGTAATCACATAATTTGTAGACAATAACTACAATTAAACATTATTTGGGTATTTAATTGTGCCTGTTTGTCATTTTTAAAGAACGTAAGACTTACTGAAGGAAGTATGGAAGCCTGGTTATGTTGCAAGCATGGCCAAAAATGTGCATAGTGTAGTTCCCATATTGTGCATTGACCCTGCGGTCAAAAAAAAAGCATGTATTGTAGCTGAAATGACACATTTCGTTTTTTCCTCGAAACAAATGTCTTGATGCCATAAAATATATTGAATAACTCAACACCCTTGCCTTATTAAGTATAAGCTGTTCTATGAATATGCAAATGAGCCCCGCCTCCACTCACTCACTCAGCTCAGAGATCCACTCGTCGACGATTACACGTTGATCTGATCAAGGTAGTTTGTGATAACAGCAATTTCCAACCATGTTTTTGGGACGGTCTTTGGTTCACTGCACTTTTAAAGAGAAAATACTCGACTGTCGACTTGTGAATTTACACATGGTTTGACTTAAAGCAGATTAAAACACCACATAGACATATAAACAACTTTAAAAGCTGGATTTTCACCACAGGGGGACTTTTACAATTAAATCATGCTAGACACGTGCTTAGACATACAAACAAAACAAAATTTCTAAAATGATAATGTGGTGTTTTCAATATGCTTTAACACTAATCAACACTAATGTTGAGTAGTTGTTTTACCACTAGTCGATTCTACTGTAAGAAGAATGAAAGAAATGTTGGACATTTTGATTTTGAAGAATAATGAACATTTTGAATTGAATTGTTTTGGTTTGTCATGTAAGAGTTTAAATTTTTAAGGTGTTTTAACATGCTCTTCCTCTGCTTCCTCCTCAGAGGTCAGTACGCTCTGGGCGAGAGGACCTGGGTCGAGCTTTGGCCCAGTTTGGAGCAGAGCAAGACGAGCGCTGAACTCAAAGAAAAATATGACGGCATGTTGAGTCTCCAGCAGGATCTGCGCTTCGGCTGCAGATAATCCGTCAAAACGGCCCTAATGCCAGACTATATTACAACACTGGATAGCTTAACTTTCAATGTATGTTAAACATGAGTTAATTTTGACTGTTTCTTTGTTTAATAACTATCCTGTTACTCAGCAAATTAAATGTATTGACCAGCTTGATGTACAATGTTTATGCAAATTTCCATAATAAAATAATTCTAGCAAAGTCATCTATTCTGATTACCGTCCCAAAACAATAAACATTTAGAGTGTACTGATTCAATATTGATGCCGAAATGCACATATTATATTATTTATAATCTTCAACATGTAACCTTATGTTGTGTGTTGTGTAATTTTCCAATAATTCAAGCTCAGCGGGATGTAAAAGAAAGTTTCTTTAGAAGGAAATGTGCATTTGTGTTTAACTCAGCACATCAGTCTGAAGTTCATCACCTCATAGTGACACTGAGCGCAAATAACACTCAATAGAAAGTTCAGGATGGTTGTACAAGTTCATTTTTAATATGTATCTTTGCATGAAACCAACATGTTTGGGTTGGGTTCCCTGCACTCGCCCTCCTAAAGTCCACAGCTCAACTGAAGAGACGCATTAGTAATAATGGAACTGGAAGGCATTTATAACAGTTTTGACAGCGAGAATAGGGGACTGGACAGAGATGAAGATATTTATGCTAATAAGGTCCCAAAATTCAGCCAGAGTGAAGCAACAGCTCAAAAACACAGTAAGGCGTTTAGTGTGATTTTAGTTATGTTTATATTGAAAACCAGTAATTTTCAACATCTCGTTTTGATTTTTAACAGTGCACTTCTTTGTAATTATAAATTCCCAGGAAATAAAAGCAAACAGGAAAAAACAATGAAAATTACAGGGCAATTCATGCTGTAATGCATGATGTGAGCCATGGATACATTCTGATTGGTGGCTCCAATCATGCACTGCAACATGAAGCGTTTGTGTGATTGTCACCATTGTTGAGACTCATATGTAGATTATTGATGTCTGTGTGTGAATTTAAAACCTTCAGATAATTAAAACACTGCTGGAGTTAGCTATTGTAATATGAATGAAACATTTGCTGGTTTAATGTGGCTGGTTTAATGACACTACAGGAATGATTTGATTTCATCTAAACATGACCTTGGATACATTTCCCAAAAGCATTTTAAATCTAACTAGATCATAGAACAATTGGAACAAATGGTCTGTACAACTTGGCCATGCTTGACCAATGCTTTTGGGAAACGCAGCCCTGCAGGTCATAGTTTCTCTTGCCACAACAAATGTGCTTTATGAACACAGAGTTGGAGCAGCCAGATAAAAGCTAACAGTAATACTCTACTTGAAGGAGACTGATATGACATCTTCATAATTGTTAGAGGACATGTGAACTGTTACATACCATTTCAAATATAAAATTTCTAAGAACAACATGTCTGCTTTTATATTTAATAAGTTACATGAAATATTTTTTGAATGGTTTTTCAGCATTTCTTTGATATTTTATCAGATTGGAATGTTTGAAACATAATCTTTAATAATATGGAGTGAATTGTTGTTAACTGATCTTTGTGTGTTTTGTCTCTGTTTGTCAGGAGGAAGCAGGTGTTTGGTGTTGATGACAGTGTGTTGCGGGATCATTTGTGTTCTTCTGCTGGTCTTCATCACACTGTACATCATCATCACAGCAGAGAGAGACCAGTTAAAGAGTTACAAAAACACAGTTGAAGAGTTCAATCAGACTATCATCAGCTTACAGGACAAGAACACTGATCTAATGACTGAAAAAGACCAACTGAAGAACAACTTCAGCTCTTTGAATCAGATGAAACTGCAGCTGGAGACCACAGTCAATGATCTCATTGCTGAGAAAAGTCAGTTAAAGGGAAGTTTTGATGCTTTGAATCAGACGAAACTGCAGCTGGAGACCAGAGTCAATGATCTCACTGCTGGGAAAAGTCAGTTACAGGGAAGTTTTGATGCTTTGAATCAGACGAAACTGGAGCTGGAGACCAGAGTCAATGATCTCACTGCTGAGAAAAATCAATTAAAGGGAAGTTTTGATGCTTTAAATCAGATGAAACTGGAGCTGGAGACCAGAGTCAATGATCTCACTGCAGAGAAAAGTCAGTTACGAGGAAGTTGTGATGCTTTGAATCAGACGAAACTGGAGCTGGAGACCGGAGTCAATGATCTCACTGCTGAGAAAAGTCAATTAAAGGGAAGTTTTGATGCTTTGAATCAGACGAAACTGGAGCTGGAGACCAGAGTCAATGATCTCACTGCTGAGAAGAGTCAGTTACGAGGAAGTTGTGATGCTTTGAATCAGACGAAACTGGAGCTGGAGACCAGAGTCAATGATCTCACTGCTGGGAAAAGTCAGTTAAAGGGAAGTTTTGATGCTTTGAATCAGACGAAACTGCAGCTGGAGACCAGAGTCAATGATCTCACTGCTGAGAAGAGTCAGTTACGAGGAAGTTTTGATGCTTTGAATGAGACGAAACTGGAGCTGGAGACCAGAGTCAATGATCTCACTGCTGAGAAGAGTCAGTTACGAGGAAGTTGTGATGCTTTGAATCAGACGAAACTGGAGCTGGAGACCAGAGTCAATGATCTCACTGCTGAGAAAAGTCAATTAAAGGGAAGTTTTGATGCATTGAATCAGACGAAACTGGAGCTGGAGACCAGAGTCAATGATCTCACTGCTGGGAAAAGTCAATTACAGGAAAGTTTTGATGCATTGAATCAGACGAAACTGGAGCTGGAGACCAGAGTCAATGATCTCACTGCTGGGAAAAGTCAGTTACAGGGAAGTTTTGATGCTTTGAATCAGACGAAACTGGAACTGGAGACCAGAGTCAATGATCTCACTGCTGAGAAAAGTCAGTTACGAGGAAGTTTTGATGCTTTGAATCAGACGAAACTGGAGCTGGAGACCAGAGTCAATGATCTCACTGCTGAGAAAAGTCAATTACAGGAAAGTTTTGATGCTTTGAATCAGACGAAACTGGAGCTGGAGACCAGAGTCAATGATCTCACTGCTGAGAAAAGTCAATTAAAGGGAAGTTTTGATGCTTTGAATCAGACGAAACTGGAACTGGAGACCAGAGTCAATGATCTCACTGCTGAGAAAAGTCAGTTACAGGGAAGTTTTGATGCTTTGAATCAGACGAAACTGGAGCTGGAGACCAGAGTCAATGATCTCACTGCTGGGAAAAGTCAGTTACAGGGAAGTTTTGATGCTTTGAATCAGACGAAAATGGAACTGAAGACCAGAGTCAATGATCTCACTGCTGAGAAAAGTCAATTAAAGGGAAGTTTTGATGCTTTAAATCAGAAGAAACTGGAGCTGGAGACCAGAGTCAATGATCTCACTGCTGAGAAAAGTCAATTAAAGGGAAGTTTTGATGCTTTGAATCAGACGAAACTGGAACTGGAGACCAGAGTCAATGATCTCACTGCTGAGAAAAGTCAGTTACGAGGAAGTTTTGATGCTTTGAATCAGACGAAACTGGAGTTGGAGACCAGAGTCAATGATCTCACTGCCGAGAAAAGTCAATTAAAGGGAAGTTTTGATGCTTTAAATCAGAAGAAACTGGAGCTGGAGACCAGAGTCAATGATCTCACTGCCGAGAAAAGTCAGTTACAGGGAAGTTTTGACTCTTTGAATCAGACGAAACTGGAGTTGGAGACCAGAGTCAATGATCTCACTGCCGAGAAAAGTCAATTACAGGGAAGTTTTGATGCTTTGAATCAGACGAAACTGGAGTTGGAGACCAGAGTCAATGATCTCACTGCTGAGAAAAGTCAATTAAAGGGAAGTTTTGATGCTTTGAATCAGACGAAACTGGAACTGGAGACCAGAGTCAATGATCTCACTGCTGAGAAAAGTCAATTAAAGGGAAGTTTTGATGCTTTAAATCAGAAGAAACTGGAGCTGGAGACCAGAGTCAATGATCTCACTGCCGAGAAAAGTCAGTTACGAGGAAGTTTTGATGCTTTGAATCAGACGAAACTGGAGTTGGAGACCAGAGTCAATGATCTCACTGCCGAGAAAAGTCAATTACAGGGAAGTTTTGATGCTTTGAATCAGACGAAACTGGAGTTGGAGACCAGAGTCAATGATCTCACTGCCAAGAAAAGTCAGTTACAGGGAAGTTTTGATGCTTTGAATCAGACGAAACTGGAGTTGGAGACCAGAGTCAATGATCTCACTGCTGAGAAAAGTCAGTTACAGGGAAGTTTTGATGCTTTGAATCAGACGAAACTGGAACTGGAGACCAGAGTCAATGATCTCACTGCTGAGAAAAGTCAATTACAGGGAAGTTGTGATGCTTTGAATCAGACGAAACTGGAGTTGGAGACCAGAGTCAATGATCTCACTGCTGAGAAAAGTCAGTTACAGGGAAGTTTTGATGCTTTGAATCAGACGAAACTGGAGCTGGAGACCAGAGTCAATGATCTCACTGCTGAGAAAAGTCAGTTACGAGGAAGTTTTGATGCTTTGAATGAGACGAAACTGGAGTTGGAGACCAGAGTCAATGATCTCACTGCCAAGAAAAGTCAGTTACAGGGAAGTTTTGATGCTTTGAATCAGACGAAACTGGAGTTGGAGACCAGAGTCAATGATCTCACTGCTGAGAAAAGTCAGTTAGGAGGAAGTTTTGATGCTTTGAATCAGACGAAACTGGAACTGGAGACCAGAGTCAATGATCTCACTGCTGAGAAAAGTCAGTTACAGGGAAGTTGTGATGCTTTGAATCAGACGAAACTGGAGTTGGAGACCAGAGTCAATGATCTCACTGCTGAGAAAAGTCAGTTACAGGGAAGTTTTGATGCTTTGAATCAGAAGAAACTGGAGCTGGAGACCAGAGTCAATGATCTCACTGCTGAGAAGAGTCAGTTACAGAGAAGGTTTGATGCTTTGAATCAGAAGAAACTGGAGTTGGAGACCAGAGTCAATGATCTCACTGCTGAGAAAAGTCAGTTACAGGGAAGTTTTGATGCTTTGAATCAGACGAAACTGGAGTTGGAGACCAGGGTCAATGATCTCACTGCTGAGAAAAGTCAGTTAGGAGGAAGTTTTGATGCTTTGAATCAGACGAAACTGGAGCTGGAGACCAGAGTCAATGATCTCACTGCTGAGAAAAGTCAGTTACAGAGAAGTTTTGACTCTTTGAATCAGACGAAACTGGAGCTGGAGACCAGAGTCAATAATCTCACTGCTGAGAAAAGTCAGTTACGAGGAAGTTTTGATGCTTTGAATCAGACGAAACTGGAGCTGGAGACCAGAGTCAATGATCTCACTGCTGAGAAAAGTCAGTTACAGGAAAGTTTTGATGCTTTGAATCAGAAGAAACTAGAGTTAGAGACCAGAGTTAATGATCTCACTGCTGAGAAAAGTCAGTTACAGGGAAGTTTTGACTCTTTGAATCAGAAGAAACTGGAGTTAGAGACCAGAGTCAATGATCTCACTGCTGAGAAAAGTCAGTTAGGAGGAAGTTTTGATGCTTTGAATCAGACGAAACTGGAACTGGAGACCAGAGTCAATGATCTCACTGCTGAGAAAAGTCAGTTACAGGGAAGTTGTGATGCTTTGAATCAGACGAAACTGGAGTTGGAGACCAGAGTCAATGATCTCACTGCTGAGAAAAGTCAGTTACAGGGAAGTTTTGATGCTTTGAATCAGACGAAACTGGAGCTGGAGACCAGAGTCAATGATCTCACTGCTGAGAAAAGTCAGTTACAGGGAAGTTTTGATGCTTTGAATCAGAAGAAACTGGAGCTGGAGACCAGAGTCAATGATCTCACTGCTGAGAAAAGTCAGTTACAGAGAAGTTTTGACTCTTTGAATCAGACGAAACTGGAGCTGGAGACCAGAGTCAATAATCTCACTGCTGAGAAAAGTCAGTTACGAGGAAGTTTTGATGCTTTGAATCAGAAGAAACTAGAGTTAGAGACCAGAGTCAATGATCTCACTGCTGAGAAAAGTCAGTTAAGAGGAAGTTTTGATGCTTTGAATCAGAAGAAACTAGAGTTAGAGACCAGAGTCAATGATCTCACTGCTGAGAAAAGTCAGTTACAGGGAAGTTTTGACTCTTTGAATCAGAAGAAACTGGAGTTAGAGACCAGAGTCAATGATCTCACTGCTGAGAAAAGTCAGTTAAGAGGAAGTTTTGATGCTTTGAATCAGAAGAAACTAGAGTTAGAGACCAGAGTCAATGATCTCACTGCTGAGAAAAGTCAGTTACAGGGAAGTTTTGACTCTTTGAATCAGAAGAAACTGGAGTTAGAGACCAGAGTCAATGATCTCAGTGAAGAACTAAAGAAGGAAAAATCTAAAAAAGGTAAGTACGAATCTGTTTTGAATCTTTTTTTTCCATATCTTTTTCCATATCTTTATCCATTTTTAAAAAGTTTGTTTCTGTAAGGATTTCTGTGGGGTCGAGATGGCTTGTTTATGTCCAATAAGCCGATGACCTGGTCTGAGAGCAGACAGTTCTGCAGAGATCAAGGAGCTGATCTGGTCATTATCAGCACTGAAGAGAAGCAGGTGAGATTGTGTGAGTGACTGTTTATTAATGAGAGGAATCACACTTAACCCTGTTTATATTCATACAGAGGCACATAACTTCATCAGTCAAGGGGAGAGTGTGGATTGGTTTGTCTGACATTGAGACTGAGGGGATCATGAAATGGGTGGATAATTCACCACTGAAACAAGGGTAAGGGACACCATACTCTCTGTGGACGTATTTTAATGAGGCTTCCTCAAACACCACACCCTAAAGATTTATTTATTTTAGAAAAAAACTGAAATCTTCTCTATCGTATTTAATTTTTTTTGCACTTTTCACTATTATTCAGGTTTTGGAATAAAGGAGAGCCAAATAATGCAGGAAACGAGGACTGTGTTGAACTGACGCCTTCAGACTCCATCCAGAACTGGAATGATCTCCCATGCTCTGAGAAGAGGAAAGCCGTTTGTGAGAAATAGGGTTCATGTTTTTATTTGTATTTTTTTATGGAATCATCACTCTTATTAATTTTTTATTATTAATTTCTTATTAGTTTTTGTAGATAGTAGCTGCTTTCATGACATCAGTTTCATTCTATGCTATTTTGTAACATACAAAACATAAATGGAAATTCACGTAATAGAAAACTGTACAGCAGTACAAAAAAAATTAAAAAAAAGTTTTACTGTAATGAACATATGGAGGGTGAACTGGGTAATATGCAGTGGTGGAGGAAGTACTGAATCTCAGTACTTAAGTAAAAGTACAAATAAACAGATAAATATTTACTTTAGTAAAAGTAGAAGTAACACAATGACAACCATACTTAAGTAAAAAGTAAAAAGTACTTTATTTTAAATGTACTTTAAGTATTAAAAGTAAAAGTACTTGCATAACAATTTATTCTCTTAATGTCTATTTTTTTCTAATGATTAATAAAACATTTAATTCTAACTCGTTCCACCTAATACTGCTATAATGATGTTCAATAATTATGGAAAAAAATTGTTGTCACCATTTCTGAAACAAGCTTGCAATTAGGCAATATGCACATCATGCTTATCCTTAGGCTACTATATATTAATAACTATGTTTGGCAGTAATCGTGATTCATTTATGGTGTAATTCTGAACCTCTTGGCTTGCCATAATCCTAACCAAACGTATATTACACACGGTGCATTTCCTATGCACGTAAAAACAAATTTTCGCGTATAAATCGCACGATAAACACACTGCGAGCGAGACGCATTTAGTGTGACCGGGTTGATATATCTATGGCAACCAAACGTCACTGGTGAGACAAACGTGCAACGAACGGATGGTCAGATTACGTTTTGGCAGGGGAAAAATTGATCAGAAAATGTAATGAAAAAGTAACAGAAGTTGTAGAAATGTAGTGGAGTAGAAAGTAGAATAATTGCTGCAAAATAGTAACGAAGTAAAAGTAAAAAGTATGCACTATTTATTCTACTTAAGTAAAGTAAAGATACGTGAAAAATGTACTTAAGTAAAGTAACAAAGTATTTGTACTTCGTTACATTCCACCACTGGTAATATGGGACTAGTGTGAAGGTGATTTGATGGTGTTTATTGTGTTGTAACATAATCAATAATTGGCCTGAATCACTGAGAGTATAATTTCAGAGTTAAGCTTTGTGTATTATGGATATTACTGCAGCACTGTTGTTGTGGCACACAGACATCAGGAATTAGCCTATGAATCTCAACAATGGTGACAAAAAGATTAACTCTGAACATAAGCTCATTAGTTATTCATACAGCAATGCATGATGGGAGCCATGAATGAGGTTTGATTGGTGGCATCCAGAATACACTGCAAAATGCTTTATAATTGTCACCATTGTTGTGATTCACATGCTGATACTTGATGTCTTTTTAAAATAAAGTTTTAAGAAATTATTTGGATTACATTGTAAACATTAAGAATATTATGATTTTCAAGGACAGTGTTGTAACAATAATCCAGAAAGAAAATTTAACTCAGAAATTGGGCTCTACACAAGTCAAATGATCGTAATATAATGACAATGTTAAAGAGCGAACACCTGGGACCAGATCTGGCGAACAGGAGTGGGCCACCCAAGGGCCGTCATTTATTGCTGCATGTGGGCCAGATCCGTATCCCACAAGTGCCAGATGTCGACCGGAACCTGTTTGTTGAAGTCTGTGAGCTTTCTGTCCCTCCATTGACAGCTACACAACTACCACCTACACAACTACCACCTTGACACCTCAAAAGTTCATAAAGAGATTGTAAGTCTAATCCATATGAATTGAGCGGTTCGGTCCAAATTTTCTGGAGACAGGGTTGCTTTATTGAACAGATTGAATTTAGGATTTGAAGCGTCAAAGAGGTAGTTGCATAACCGTTAATGGGAGGACAGAAACTGTCTCATATTTCATCAAAAAAGATCTTCATTTGTGCTTCGAACATTAAGCAGTACATTTAACACTAGTGTAATTACATATATAATTAGCATTTCATATTCCAGTTATTTTGGCTCAAACTAAAAATCAAGTAAAAACATTGAAGGTCTGATACATTATTTAATATGTGGAATTATTTGAATATAAATGTGCCGTGCTGATTAAATCTGCACTGCTGCCTTTCGCCTGGTTATTATTTACCCTCACCTCATCGGTCAAAATGTCACAAGACTTAAAGACTATAGTTTTGTGAGGTCAGTGGAATGGAGGTCTCCCGCTAAACAAAAAGTGTATAAATGGACATTTTAGTTCGCTTATTTCCAGGCTTTAATGGCTGTTATAAATTCCACGAGCCAATGTCGATGTGCTGTCAATACTCGAAAGTTTTGAATCTTTTCCTGGAAAAAGTCCCAAGAGTCACAGCGTCATTTATCTCAATGCTTTGGAGCTGTGAGGAAAGGAAGAAAAACAATGGGAGAGAATCAATGTAGGAAATGAAAAGCAGTTTATGTGTGAGATATGAAAAATACATTTCAGCTCAAGCTAGAAAGGTTTATACACTAAAAGTAGCTAAAGATCATTATAGAAACGATTTAGCTGTAAATGTATAAATTAGAGTAGTACAAGCAGTGATCTCTTAAAATAAAAAAGACAAGTCAAAATAACAGTAGATAACTAATAATCATTAATTTGTTACATATTTATATAGTGCTTTTCTTGACACACACACACACACACACACACACACACAAACACAAGCCAATCGCCCGTGTTAAACCCATTCTCTTTATCCAAAGGACATTAAAATGGCCAAAGAGAGTCAGGTCTACAGTTTAACCTCTCATCCGAAAGACAATGCTTTTAGACATTTTAGTGTTCCCATCATTATACTGGAGCGTTAAGACAAAGGGTCATTAAATCTTTCTAGCCACAGATCAGACATTTGAATTTTAAGTTCTAGTTTAGTTTTTTTCACTTTCACAAAGGAACATCAAGGATCAGCATATGAATCTCAACAATGGTAACATGCTTCATTCTGCGATGTTGGCTGGCAGAATGCACATTCTCTGAATCTTGCCGGATTGTAATAATTTGTGTTTATATTTTTTTCAACAGCTCAAGCATACAGGCCTATAAAATGGTGCATAAATTTTTTTAATAAGGTGAAAGTAATTCACTGCAGTAATTCAGGCAAAAGGAGCCCCAACTAAGTATTGAGTGCTGTACATGCTCATACTTTTTATGTTCATTCTTTTCAGTTGGCCAATATTCCTAAAAATACTTTTTTTGGTTGTATTGGTCTTAAGTATATGTAATTTTAATATTTTAATGGAAACCAGCATGTTACTATAAATGCTGGCCTTTTTTAAAGCATTTTTTTTACAGTATAGGTTTAAAATAATCCAATTCTATCTCTAGAATAATACACATGCCTTGGCAGAATAATACACATGCCTGGCAATGATAGCAAAATATCTACAGTAAAATATGCAAATATGAACATATTTTGAAAAGTTAAATAAAATAACTTCTTGTTAAGCATACCGGCATATTTTCTTGCGTACTTCTCACATTTTACCGGTATATATACAGCAGTGCAGTGATTGTGATCAAAACACAGATTGACATGAAATTATAATAATCTCACCATAAATGCATTTAATTAAATAAAATGTAGTATATCAAAATAAATGCAGACTTGGAAGAGTTCTGTTTTCACACACACGCAAGCATGTGCGCACGCACACACACAAATTGTTTTAATACATGTGTTGTTAATAAATAACAATTGTTGTTATACCAGCAATATCTCCAGGTTTTGTTTTTCAATGTAGAATTTTAAAGTGTCATGATTTGCCAATGCAAGAGAGTACCCACATCTTTCTTTCCCCACTTCAAGCACTGCTTATACTCATGTTTGTTAAAGTCTTCTTAACTTCTTGTTATAATATTGCTGGATTTCATTCTGCAGTAACACATGGTTTATGATATGTAAAAATATATATTTTATTATATATATACTTTTTATTCAAAGAAGTTATGTCATAATGATTATAAAACCATCAACAGGAAACCATCATCACGTGATGGCGTTTCACTTCAACTTTCTTTGCTACTGCAAATGTGTTTCACAAACACATCGTCACTGCAGTCAGTAATATGTAATAAGAGTTATTAGCCCGACTAATGGAAACACTAATCACTGTTATGGCGACTTCAAATGAAACAGAGTTAAACCTCTGTTAATTCTCAATAAAATCTTCTGTAGAAGTCTGACAGAAATAAAGTCAGTCTGGTTAGTAATAAGTGAAGCTGGTAATGCTGTTTGTGGAGTTGTTTAATCCTCGTCTGCTGAGATCTTCAGATTTAATGTCTTCTTTTCTCTTCAGGGGATTTCATCTATGACTGTGTCTGAAGTCAGTTGCAGTTCTTTTGTTTCACTTTCACTTTATCTCATGAACTTTAACTGTACTTTATTGCAGTTAAAGTTGATGCAGATATGAGTGTTAAATTAACACCCAATAGTGTTAAAGTTAATGAGATCATTTATTGATTAATTGAGTGATGATTTAGCATTATTGAAGACACCTGATGTTAACAAGGAGAATCACTGAAGGAGAAAATCATAAATTGTCATGTTACCATTATGGTGATCAGTGTTTGCTTCTGTTAGACTCTTGACCCTTACACTTTCGCTTTAAATTATGTTTGTCTGCAATGAGATTAATATCCTGCCATGATCAAAAGTGAAATTAAAGATCTAAAAGGTTGAAACTAAATGTTCAAAAACTCCAAATTTTCCAAGAATTTTTTTTTTTTTTTGCAGGATCAAAAAATAAGATTTGCAAGCTTGCAAAATGTAAAAAAATACAAATATTTCTGCAAATGTTGTTTTTGATATTTCCTTCTTCAGAGCTGCAACATTTATTTTTTATTTATTTTTTACGATGTTGCGCAAACACATTTTCAGAGTTTCAAATTTGTCAGTGTTCTCCCACTGTGTTTGTTTTCCAGGTTTGAAACCTTGTAAATGGTGATCTGAAAACTGGTGTGCGAATAGGTGAAAAAAAGTTTTGAAACTCTGAAAACAGAGTTTCGAAAGGCCGAATCTTATTACATTTGCTCTCTTTTTGCAGACTATTTTTTTCAGAGCTGAGTTTACAATAGACACTTTGCGGAGATACGGCCACACATTTGCGAGCTTGCGACTCACGTGATTTGTGGCAGCGTTGTAACGCAGCTCTGCTCTGAACCTCGCAGCTTAAAAAAAAGCCTGTATTTACTTGAAAGGTGGGATTGACCGACTGCTATTGCATTGCATGTCAATAATATGTAATAAGAGTTATTAGAGCGACTAATGGAAACACTCATCACTGTTATGGTGACTTCAAATGAAACACAGAGTTAAACCTCTGATAATTCTCAATAAAATCTTCTGTAGAAGTCTGACAGAAATAAAGTCAGTCTGGTTAGTAATAAGTGAAGCTGGTAATGCAGTTTGTGGAGTTGTTTAATCTTCTTTTCTCTTCGGGGGATTTCATTTATGACTGTGTCTGAAGTCAGTTGCAGTTCTTTTGTTTCACTTTCACTTTATCTCATGAACTTTAACTGTACTTTAACACTCTGAGGAATCGGTGGGGGTTTCCAAAGAATAATTTCCTGGGGGGGGGGGGGGGGGGGGGGGGGTTGTTCTTTTTTTTTTCTTTTTTTAGGGGGAGGGGGAGGGGGGGGGAATAACAGATTGAAGAGAAAGCCACGAATAACAGATTGAAGAGACACCACCCAAAAAAAGTTTTCAATCTTGAACACACTTCATCTGTGAACACATAGGCTACTGTGCAAGTCGGTGAGAGCAAATATGAAATCACGCAAGTATACCGTAAACAAAGTTACTAAAGGAACAACTGGATCAACAGAGAGACTCTTGCAGGATGAAGGAAAAGTTCGAAAGTGCAGTGAGTAGAAATTTTATTCTGATGTAGAGATGGAGTTGGATGGAGCAATAATGTTTGAGTAACTGAAAAATGTTGCTTGAAAACGCTGTAAAATCCAGCAGTTGTTCTAACTAACACTTTTAAGTTAACTTTTAATTATAATAATCTAGTAATCTGTACTATTCACATACTACGGTTATTCAGAAAAAAAAAATAAGTTAAGATTAATTGATTGGTTTGAGGGCAATTTTGTCAAGCAAAAACAAATAAAAAATGCAATTAAATAAATGGCTTTAATAAATATAAAGTGGCGTAGATGGTGTTGTTAAATGTGTCACTGATGTTTGAGGAAATGTCACATGCAAGTTCAAATCATGTTTCTAAGAACAATGTCAATGTTTCTGCTTTTATATTGAATATACTAACACTTATACACAGTACTTTTTCAATATGCTCGTCTTTAGATATTTAGAAACAAGTCTTATAAAATAATATACTGTACTAAAGACAAATGTCGATTAAAGGGGGGGTTGACTGCTATTTTTCTTTGCATGATTGTATTTATGGGGTGGAATATAACATGTATTCGTGGTTTTTCTTTTTTAAAAGTCTTATTTTTCATAAACTTCACGTTTATTGTCAGCCACGCTCTCCTCTGTCCCCTGAACGAGCGGTTCACTTCCTGATTTTATGAAACCACTTCCTCAGAAACACGTAGTGGGTTCAGATTGGTAGTTTGGCCCGGTGTGTTGTGATTGGCTCACGCTGTCCGGAAGATCTACGCCCATTATCTTTACGGGTGAAACGTGCATGTCATGAGCAGTCTATGGTATGAGCTCCGGTCCAGATGTAAATATGCGTCGAACTGCAGTATCAGTTTGAAGCAGAATCAGACAGAGAAAGCCGCGATGAAGAGAGTCAAGCAGAACCTCACCAAACACGGCTCTTGCTAAACGTTTCTGAATGATAATTTGCTACGTTTTTTTAACTTTATACACGTTTGTTTTACACAATAGCATCTGACTGGTAACAATAGCAACTGACTGGGTGGAAAAGTCCAGGGGTCAGAAAGTAAAAGTCCTGCCACATTTTTATTCCACCCAGAGCAAAAACTCCAGTGTTAAATGAACTTTACTGGGAGTTTATTTGGATACAGACTCAAGAGTGTTAAAGTTAATGAGATAATTAAGTGAATAATTGAGTGATGATTGGGCATTAATTGAAGACACCTGATGATAACAAGCAGAATCACTGAAGAAGAATGGCACATTTTTTTAAGTCACCATTATGGAGATCAGTGTTTGCTTTAGTTAGACTCTTGACCCTTAAATCATTAATTTTAGATGTTTTTTGGCTGTACATGAGTTATAACAGCCCGATGAACAACAAAGAAAGCTAATGCGCTGAGGTTATTTATGTTTTGACATTATCTTCATTGGGCACGAAATTCATTTGTAGAGTTTAACCTTTTGATTACACAGTATAACATTTTCAGTAATGTCAATATTATCCAAAAGATTTCTTGAAAGCTGTTTTTATTTTTAATGCTTTATGGGAACACTCAGACATCAAGAATCAGCCTGTGATTCTCAACAATGGTGACAATTATACAGCATGTTGCAGTGCATTCTGGATGCCACCAATCAAAACTCATTCATGGCTCCCATCATGCATTGCGGTATGAATAAATTATGATATGAATTGTCTTAGTAATTTTCTTTCCCTATTTGAATATCTGTTTGTCACCATTGTTGAGATTCATACACTGAATCTTAATGTCTGGGTGTGCCTAAAAGAAAGACTGTTATTTATCAGAACAACATTTAAGATATCATTTGGTTTAATTTGAAAATTCTGGATCTAATGTTATAGAATTACAGCGATGCTGTTATGATCATTATAATTTTATTTTGGAGAGTAGGCTTTGAATGAGTTCATTGATTCAGATCAGCTGATGATTATGTCTAAACATGATCTAGAACATCTGATATGATCTGATTCTCTTTGTTCATCCAGCTGTTAAAACAGCCAAACATAATCTTTAGTAGAGCATTTATAGGTCACCTGTCCAACTAAAGAAAACACTGATCACCATAACGGTGACTAAAAATATAGATTTTCTCCTTCAGTGATTCTGCTAGTTATCATCTGGTGTTTTCAATAATATCTCAATCATCACTCAATTATTCACTTAATTATCTCATTAACTTTAACACTCTTGATTCTGGATCCAAATAAACTCCCAGTAAAGTTCATTTTACACTGGAGTTTTTGCTGTGGGTAGAATAAAAATATGGCATGACTTTTACTTTCTGACCCCTGGACACACAACCAATAATGTGATGTCCATGTATGTGGACAACCAGGTCTTAGGAGGCTAATGTCATACACAAACAGCGTTGGCATGTTTACGTTCTTGATCAAATCGAAAATAACGTCATAAAGCATATGTACATGAAAAATACATTTAAAACATTAGTACTCATAGAAAATTCAGGTCCATAATGTTTGTACACGTTTGTCGTAGACACAAAATAGCATAGGCTAACTAGTAGTGGCTATAAAGCCAGCGCTGGTATTTGAAAAAAATAAAACACAAGGCTACGTCTGGAATTATACATGCAAATACATTTAAAATGATGAAGTCTTAGCCTACTTACAGGTTGTGGTCCAACAACTGCTGCCTCTGGTTTTAAAGTCGGATCTGCTTCATGTTTTAGTAACAGTTTCTTGTTGAATCCGGTGTTGAACTCGTGGAGATTCTGGAAGCTGTCTTCCGTAAAATGCGCAGCACAGAGAGCTAGATTACAATCGTCATTTTCAGGAATATAATCAAACATGCCCGAAACACAGAAGACCTAACAGCTGGTGAACAACACACTCAACGAGTCGACGTGCCTCAGAAATATGCGCATGCCATTTTCTGCATATTCTGAGGGAGGTGTTGATGCAAATGTTTGGGTTAGTGACGTACCATAACCCAGCTGTAGTCCCAATCCAGTCGTTTTTGTAGGCAATATACTTCCTGGTTTTTAAAAGACGATATCTCTGCTTACACTGAACTTTTAGCGCTGCAACTTTGCAGATACTGTTCATGCACCAACAGCAACATTACATACTATTTAAAATCAAAAAAGTGAAATTGCAGTCAACCCCCCCTTTAAAAGGTTGATTTTAATCTCCTTTTTTTATAATTTGAAGGGTATTCACTGATCTTTGTGTGTTTTGTCTCTGTTTGTCAGGAGGAAGCAGGTGTTTGGTGTTGATGACAGTGTGTCTCGGGCTCATTTGTGTTCTTCTGCTGGTCTTCATCACACTGCAGCACATCATCATCACAGCAGAGAGAGACCTGTTAAAGAACACAGTTGAAGAGTTCACTCACACTATCAACAGATTACAGGACAAGAACACTGATCTGATGACTGAAAAAGACCAACTGAAGAACAACTTCAACTCTTTGAGTCAGACGAAACTGGAGCTGGAGACCAGAGTCAATGATCTCAGTGCTGAGAAAAGTCAGTTACAGGGAAGATTTGATGCTTTGAATCAGACGAAACTGGAGCTGGACACCAAAGTCAATGATCTCACTGCTGAGAAAAGTCAGTTACAGAAAAGTTTTGACTCTTGTCAGAAGAAACTGGAACTGGAGACTGAACTAGGGAAGATATCTACACAAGGTTTGTACACAGCATAATCCCCAGTGTTAAATTAATACTCCTCAGTGTACATATGTGTCCACACTGTGTTTACATGGTTCAATCGTAATGAAATCAATCCGATTGATGAATTCGAACACTGTGTTTTCATGAACGATAAATAATCGGGTTGATGTGCACGTTTATACGTCAAAAGATTCGAATCGGAATTTATTTTTTGACATGCGAACACTGCACAAGTATACTGCGGTTCTTTATTTGGTTTAAACAGCACACTTAATATTTATTTGTCTCTGGTCATGATTTGAAGACAATGAGCCTGAACCATTTTGCCGAGCTGCTTATATTTATCACGCAGTAAAACCCTACGCCCAAAACCAGTCGTCTGTGGATGAGAATCTGAAACAAGCACCACTTTCAATCCGATCGAATCTCCAGTCGGATCGATTAAGGTGTTTACATGAAGATTTTTAGTCAGATTGAACCGTCAGTCTGATTTTAAGGGTCCATGTAAACGTAGGGCTGGGCGATATAACGCACGATATTGTTATGCGCATCTAATCAGTAAAGCCGGTTCCTTGATTAGTAGTAAATCACCTTCACCTGCTTTCAGATGGAAGATGTGATGCAGATATGAGTGTTAAATTAACACACAATAGTGTTAAAGTTAATGAGATAATTTATTGATTAATTGAGTGATGATTTAGCATTATTGAAGACACCTGATGTTAACTAGGAGAATCACTGAAGGACAAAATCATAAATTGTCATGTTACCATTATGGTGATCAGTGTTTGCTTCTGTTAGACTCTTGACCCTTACACTTTCACTTTAAATTATGTTTGTCTGCAATGGAATTAATATCCTGCCATGATTCAAAAGTGAAAATAAAGATCTAAAAGGTTGAAATTAAATGTTCAAAAACTCAAAATTTTCCAAAGAAAAAAAAAGTTTTGCAAGATCGAAAAATAAGATTTGCAAGCTTGCAAAATGTAAAAAAGATTACAAATATTTCTGCAAATGTTGTTTTTCATATTTCCTTCTTCAGAGCTGCAACATTTATTTTTTTTTTGATTTTTTACGATGTTGCGCAAACACATTTTCAGAGTTTCAAATTTGTCAGTGTTCTCCCACTGTGTTTGTTTTCCAGGTTTGAAACCTTGTGAATGGTGATCTGAAAACTGGTGTGCGAATAGGTGAAAAAAAGTTTTGAAACTCTGAAAACAGAGTTTCGAAAGGCCGAAACGTATTACATTTGCTCTCCTATTGCAGACTATTTTTTCAGAGCTGAGTTTACAATAGACACTTTGCAGAGATACGCCCACACATTTACGAGCTTGCGAGTGCGACTCACGTGATTTGTGGCAGCGTTGTCACGAAGCTCTGCTCTGAACCTCACAGCTTAAAAAAAGCCTGTATTTACTGGAAAGATGGGATTGACCAACTGCTATTGCATTGCACGTGAACTGCATGGAGCACACCTCATCATAAATTTTTGGAGCCGTTCTCTCACACACACACGACTAAACACCCGCAACCCCCTCTGTTGCTTTTCACTGACCTAACAATTGCAATTCTTTTTCATTTGACCTAAAACTAGTGTGTAATGATCCTGTTTATCGTTACATGACCCCATATTGGCTGTTTTCTATTTCTGTGGATCGTAATTGGTTACCATTATGGAGATCAGTGTTTGCTTTAGTTGGGGTCTTGAGCCTTACATCATTTAAAGTCCTTGAAAGTCAAAATTAAGTATGTGTTCTGAGTCTGTCATACCACAGAAAAATGTGATATTAGTCACCCAGCCAAATTTGAATGATAAAAAAATGCCAGCAAGTACATAAAATAAGCTATCAAAATCTTGAAGAAATTAGCGGTTATCTCTGCTCTCAAACGCTGGGGGCGTGTCTGCTGGCTGTGCTGAAACCACGCCCACTCACGGGAAAGCTGTCGACGGTGATATTAGGTGAAACTGCTCTCGGAACGGAGGATGAACGCTGAGGCAGGAGATAGTCTTTTCGGCCCCGTTCACCAGTAACAGCGGATTATCAGTGAATGCCAGCTGTCTCTGAGGAAAGTTTATAAAACGATCCTGTGTAAAATGATCACTACAGAGGCGGGTGTTGCTGTCGGTGATCCTCAGCTTGTCATCAAGGTTGGCTCTACTCAAAATTAATCCACCTCTTCTTGATGTGATCGCTTTTAGGAAATTTAAATAAAGACTCCGATCTGTTTTGTACATGATCGCATAGCCTATGCATTTCCTTGTCAAAGGCATAGCTAGCTAGCAAACTGCAGACTGTAGTAACTAATAGTACTGACAGTCACTCGCGATTGAGCGGCGAATGCCAATGTGCTCTATTGTTAGGGGAGAGATCAGCCCCTGTCTATATGGATCAGCCAAGGTGCGTCATCAAGTTGGGGCGTGGGCTCCAATTGAGCCCTGTTTTAGCCCTGCCCAAAACATCCATTTTTAATATACACAGATTTTGTGGCTCAGATAAAGTCCAGTTCTGGTTTATTTCTTTGCTCTTGGCTGACATGTGGCATTGCTATGGCCTGCTTGTGGCCCAGATCTGGCAAACAGGAGTGGGCCACCCAAGGGCTATCATTCATTGCTGCATGTGGGCCAGATCCGCATTCGCCAGATGTCGGCCGGATCTGGGCCGAAAACAATGTTGCTATGAGTAGTATGAAGCAGCTGACTCGGAGACCTGCATCTACAGTCCCCCTGCACCCAGAGTCCCGCATTCTCAGACCCCTCGTTTTTCGAGACAGCGCCTCCTATCAAATTGTATCGGATAAAGATGTGAAGAACATGTGAAGAACTTAAGCCAAAACGTGAGTAGGCTATCTTCAATTTTATTTAGCGAATCGTACTAGCCTACTCGTTTGATTTATTTTTTAATAAAACTAATTTAGCTCATCGATAGCCTACAACAGTGTTTCTCAAACTTTTTCAGCCCAAGGACCACTTTATCTTCCATTTTTACCATAATAAAACCATGTCAGTGGGAAGTAGATTATTTGTCAAAATCTCTCCTCATCTCTCATCTCACTCTTTCTTTTTTCCTCAGTCTCTTCATCACTTTCTCTTCCCCTCCGAAGACTTAATTAGCTTTGTACTAAAGGCTACAATTTGTATTATATTCTCAATATGTATACATTCATTATTACTCATTTGCCTAAAATGATGAAAACGGCTTTGTTAATGTTTCTTGTCCCCTCACAATAATGACAGTAAACTAATTATTACATTACATGTCACGTTACTATTTTTTATTTACTAAGTTTCAGTTCAAAATGGCGAAATTAGACAAAACTATATTAGTTTGCCTGATTATTTTTTGTCATTCGTTTAACATTTATGACCTAAAAAATGTCAAATATAAAATGTTAAGTTTAGCTACTTTTATCTTACATCGCACTTGACCGTGCGCGTCGAGATGAACAACACGCACACACACAAACACACACACACACACACTGTCCTCTGTTTCTGACGTGCTCTCTGCTCTGCACCGCTGCGGATTGCGGAAGAACGCGCCGATTCTGATTATAACAACACTGAAGCGAACATGAATTCCTAGCCTACATTGATCACAATTTTTTAGGGGGGCTAGGCAGAAGTTTAGGGGGCCGGCCGACCCCTGCCTAGGGAAATTGCGTCCGTGAATATGACAGCAGCACTGAGTGCGCCCGTCTCTGGCTCAGCGCCAGCCAACGCGGGGAAGCACATTTGAATTTAGCAGTTGATCATGTGATGCACTGATCGTTCTAATCACAGCGGTGTGATCGTACGCTCCAGGGATCAGCCAAGAAGACTGATCACACTGGTACATGCGAAAAAATGACAATTTTGTAAACACTTGCCTAGTTTAGGTCATCTTTTCGCGGACCACTAGGGGGCGATGGCAGAATTACTGGCCTACAACATATGAATAGTCCATTGAATATTTGTAAAGTTCGTTTGTAACAAGACTTGAGCCGTTAATGTATGTTTTTTCGCCCTCTTCCCCCCGAAAATATTTAGATAGCTAACGTTTATAATTTATTTAGCTTTGAAACATCATAAGACATGCTATCGGTCCTACTGTTGTAGGCTATTCCAGGGTACACCATACATCGATGGAGTTGCCCCTGCCGAACCCAGCAACATGATTTTATGATTATGCAAAGCGAGTTTTTTAATGCAATTGAAGACGAAAAGTAAAGTCACGAACACAGTTTTTTCTCCTTTTTTTCTTTACAGCAAGATGATGTTTAGGTGGTCATTAAATAAAGTACAGAATTGTTTATTCTTGGTGTTTTGTCTATTCTGATTTGTTTTGCTTCACATTCAAAATATCAAAAAAACAGATTTTGTAATGTTAGCATCGTAATGTTAATTAGACCATTATAGGTCGAACTGAAAGAAAAATTAGAATTTGAATAAAAAATATATATATAAAAAAAACATTGTAGCAATATAATATGACATAGGCTACTATTTTTCTGAAGATAGTTCAAGATTGAACTATCTTCAGAAAAATAGTAGCCTATGTGATATTATATTCCATCAGTAACAATGAGTTTTTTTGGCACCTGCATTAAGCAGGGAACGCAAAAAATTATTGGATAATTTATTTGAAGACCGTAATATTGCATCCTATTGTTTTTAATTGCATTTGGATAATCGTGCGCTGTACTCTGTGTGCGGGTGTTATACGATCTTTTGAACAGCAGGAGGCGCTGTGTCCGAAAAACGAGGGGTCTGAGAATGCGGGACTCTCGGTGGGGGACTGTAGATGCAGGCTCCGAGTCTGCAGCTTCATAATATTGGTTGCTGTGTGGGACAAATATGTGAAAATTTAAAAATGCAAGAAATTTAGAATAAAAAAAATAGATTTTTTAAATATATTTATATTGAGACTATAATTTTGTACCGGTGTTTTCATAATATAGAATTTAATTATGTATTAAAGATATTATAAATGTATGTATAATACAGTATATATAATATGTTAGACTGTGACTCTATGAAACTTTTCATAAGTGTATCTCTCTACAGACCCCTGCTACAACTACACTGTGCTGGACAATCCATGGAGATCCATCAATAATACAATTCACTACTCCTCCTCCTCCTCCTCCTTCAAGTATGACTCTGACTCTGGCTCCTGGAGCGGCTGGTATCGTCTCTTCATTAACGGCATGAGCGCTCATATCCCAGACACGTGTGTTCCGTGGTACAGTTGTGGCACTCTTCGCACACTGTGGATCCGTGGTGGACACCCAACAGTAACAGATGGAGTCGTCACTCGAGAGCTCTGTGGTCACAGTGGGAGTTTCTGCTGCTCTCACAGGTCTTATCCCATTAAAGTCAAAGCCTGTCCAGGAGATTATTATGTCTATGAGCTGATCAGACCAACTGTGTCCATTTCAGCATACTGTGCAGGTAATTATATTCACATGAGCTCTTTCTACACATTCATGATATTTGTGTTTCTGTTGATTAATCATTATTCATCCAAACTTTCAGACACTGGCAGCATTAACACCAGCCCTACAACTGTCACACCAGTGACCATCTCACCTGGTAATGTAACACACTGTGTCTCTTGGCTTATTTCCTGAATGTTTTCTAATGGCTAGAAATATTATATGATAAAGTTGTACATGGATTTTAATATGAATATTTTCTTTATTTTCTTTGTTCAATTGCCTGCTATTAATCAATACCAACAGAAAAACAAAGTTTAAAGTTAAAGTATAAGGGTCAAGAGTCCAACTAAAGCAAACACTGATCTCCATAACGGTGGCTTACAATATTAGATTTTCTCCTTCAGTGATTCTGCTTGTTATCATCAGGTGTCTTCAATAATGCTCAATCATCACTAAATTAATCCCTTAATTATATATCCCTGAATATATAAAGGACATGTTAAGCCTGCTTCAGTCTCAACGCCATCTACGCTCCTCGCAGAAAATGCTTCTAACTGTCCCTCGGTCTCACCTGAGGCGTAGTGGAGATCGAGCCTTTTCCGTTGCGGCTCCTGCACTCTGGAATGTGCTGCCATTATCTCTCAAATCGTCGCCAAGCACGGACATTTTTAGAAAGGATTTGAAGACTTATTTATTTCATCAAGCTTTTGGCATTTGAGTAGGTCCAAGAACTGTGAGCGATTTGTGGGTTGATTATCTGGGTGTCATGTCTTGATGTAATTTTATTTCTCTGTGTATTATTTATTGCCTGTGGACAGCACTTTGGTCCATTTTAATGGTTTTGAAAGTGCTTTTATAAATAAAGTTGAGTTGAGTTGAGTTGAGTTAATTATCTCATTAACTTTAACACTCTTGAGTGTTAATTTAACACTCATATCTTCCATCTGAAAGCAGGTGAAGGTGATTTACTACTAATCAAGGATCCGGCTTTACTGATTAGATGTGCATAATAATATCGTGTGATATATTGCCCAGCCCTAGTTAAATAACATAAAAAGACGCTGGAAACAAACACATTAATAACCGTCCCGACTTTTACTAATTTTTAGGTATTTGTTCATTTAACAGTTTAATAATTTTAGCTAGCTACGCAGTTTATACATAGGCTAAGTGTAGATTTACGAAGGTAAGACCTTTGGTTTTTTTTTTTTGGTTTTTTTTTATGAAAAGGAGTTAACTTTGTATTATAAAGCTTTGAAAGATATAAAACAAGACAAGCATTGGAGGTTTTCAAAATTATACACAATTCGATAACTCATTTGACCTAGGGCTGGGCGATATATCGCACGATATTATTATGCACATCTAATCAGTAAAGCCGGTTCCTTGATTAGCAGTAAATCTCCTTCACCTGCTTTCAGATGGAAGATATGAGTGTTAAATTAACACTCAAGAGTGTTAAAGTTACTGACATAATTTCATAGAGTCACAGAGATTAATTGAGTGATGATTGAGCATTATTGAAGACACCTGATGATAACAACTGTAATATAATGTGTTAGACTGTGACTCTATGAAACTTTTCATAAGTGTATCTCTCTACAGACCCCTGCTACAACTACACTGTGCTGGACAATCCATGGAGATCCATCAATAATACAATTCACTACTCCTCCTCCTCCTCCTCCTTCAAGGATGACTCTGACTCTGTCTCCTGGAGCGGCTGGTATCGTCTCTTCATTAACGGCATGAGTGCTCATATCCCAGACACGTGTGTTGCGTGGTTCAGCTGTGGAACTATAACTCCACTGTGGATCCGTGGTGGACACCCAACAGTAACAGATGGAGTCGTCACTCGAGAGCTCTGCGGTCACGATTACAAATACTGCTGCTCTTCCGGGTCTTATCCCATTAAAGTCAAAGCCTGTCCAGGAGATTATTATGTCTATGAACTGGTCAGACCAGCTGTGTCCATTTCAGCATACTGTGCAGGTAATTATATTCACATGAGCTCTTTCTACACATTGTGGTACTCTGTACTAATATGCATATGACAATAACTTGAACTGAACTGAACATTCATGATATTTGTGTTTCTGTTCACAGTAAATTCCCTGGTGTTAAATTAACACCGCTCGGTGTTCATATGGGAACCACCAGCAGGGTGTTAAAAGTAACACTGAGGCAGTGTTAGAGTTAATGAGATAATTAAGTGACTAATTGAGTGATGATTGAGCATTATTGAAGACACCTGAAGACAAGCAGAATCTCTGAAGAAGAAAATCTAAAATTGTAAGCCATCGTTATGGAGATCAGTGTTTGCTTTAGTTGGGGTATTGACCTTACACTTTCACTTTAAACTTTGTTTGTCTGCTGTTATTGATTTATAACAGTCAGATGAACAAAGAAAACTGTGACCTGATATTGTTGGTTTTGTTTTGATGTAATCATGTTGTGATCTGAAAAATGAAACTTTACAGATGAATTGGCTTAACTTGTTAGTAACAGTTTAGTGAGTGTGCAGCATATCCATATTTTTCTTATAACCTAAAATATTTCATAAAAACTATTCTAATCAAATCACTTTATTTAGAATTAAAGACATCAATAATCAGCCTGTGTATCTCAACCGTGGTGACATTAATAATCCTTGTTGCCACCAATCACAAATCATTAATGTCTCACAGCATGCATTGCTGTATGAATAAATTATGATCTGAATTGTCTATGTGATTTACTTTTCCTAATTGAATATTCTGCTCGTCACCATCGTTGAGAAGCATTGACTGAATCTTGAGGTTCGTGTGTGCCTATAAGAAGTTTTTTTTAAACAACTTGTTAAAATCCTTTATATTATATCTAAACTTCTGGATATTTATGTAGAATCTCAGTTATGCTGCGACCTACAAAATTAACCACAAATATTTTTTTAAATGATGAATGTCATAAGATAACCAACACCTGTTCATCTGGCAGGTGTAACTCATATGCAACAGCCAATTAAATTATAAAGTTAATAATGAAAGGATCAAGAGCCCAACTAAAGCAAACACTCATCTCCATAACGGTGACCTGAAAGTTAGGTTTTCTCCTTGTAATTCTGCTTCAGGTGTCTTCAATAATGCTCAATCATCACTCAATTAATCACTTAATTATCTCATTAACTCTAACACTGCATCAGTGTTACTTTTAACACCCTGCTGGTGGTTCCCATATGAACACAGAGCGGTGTTAAATTTAACACCGGGGAATTTACTGTGTTGATTAATCATTATTCATCCAAACTTTCAGACACTGGCAGCATTAACACCAGCCCTACAACTGTCACACCAGTGACCATCTCAACTGGTAATGTAACACACTGTGTCTCTATTGGCTTATTTCCTGAATGTTTTCTAATGGCTACAGATATTCTATGGTAAAGTTGAACATGGATTTTAACATGAATATTTGCCTAAAAGTCATGGAAATGTTTTGTTAGAAATATATGAAACCTGTAGACTGTTCTCAGGTGTGTGTGTGTGTGTGTGTGTGTGTGTGTGTGTGTGTGTCATTCACTGTACAGTAGTTCGGAATATGCCACACTTCATAGTCACAAACAGTCCTTGTGTTTTTAATGATAAAGAACTATAAAACTATAAAATATAGAAATTATGCTTCATTTAGAGTGAACAATATATATATTGACACTTATACTTTCACTTTAATATTATGTTTGTCTGCTGTTATTGATTTATAACAGTCAAATGAACAAAGTAAAGTGTGATCTGATAGTGTTGGTTATGTTTTGACATAATCATGCTATGATCTGAAAAATGTAACTTATTCAGAAGATTTAGTTTAACTCGTTAGCAGTAGTTTAGTCATTTTACAACATGTGATAATCCATATTTTTCTTATAATCCAAAACATTTAATAAAAATTGTTCTGATCAAATCACTTTCAAATGCATTTATTTAGAAACACAGAGATCAATAATCAGCCTGTGTATCTCAACCATGGTGACCACAATCCTTGTTGCCACCAATCACAACACATTAATGGCTCCCATCATGCTTTGCGGTAGTGTTAATTTTACCAGCCATTTTTAAATTTAGTTTCAGTTTTAGTCCAGTTTCAGCATCGCTTGTTAGTTTTTATCACATTTAGTCGACATCATCCCATTTTTATTTAGTCTAGTTTTAGTCGACTATAAGTCGAGCATTTTAGTCTTTATTTTAGTCCAAGAAAACATAATTTTATTCGTTTAGTTTTAGTCAAAAAAAAAAACTGTCAACATTTTAGTCTAGTTTTAGTCAGGACATCATTTTAACCTTTTACTTTTTTGTCAGCAGATAATATTTAACATTTCCTAAAATTATTTCACATTTCAACATTTTCTCTCATCTTTTTGATAAAAAAACACAATTTTAAGGAACACATGCAGACATGGAAGATGTTCTGACAATATTTGCATATTTATTTTGAACATTGTTAAGGTTCAAAGACACAAACACAAATGCTTGCATAAAAACAAATAAAATACACCTGACAAAGGAAACAAATAAATAAAATAAAGTGTATTATGAACTTAACACAAGTGCTGGCTGTTTAAAGCTAGTTCACATAGAATAATAAAATAAATAGATTTGAGGTCAATGTTGTAAAAAAAAAAAAAAACTCCAACTGATACAACAAAAGTGCTTTCCTGCCAGCTAGTTCACATGGTATATAAAGGTACAGTATTTAAGGTGAAACAAGGCATAGCTTGCTAGAACGTATGAAATCTTTTTAACTAATCTTTTTAAAGCGTCTGTCTGCTTTAATCAAATTTAACTGAAACTATAGTTGCCCGGCCAGTATAACATATCTAAGTTAGCATAAATTTAACTTCACATACAATTCTATCAACAAGTGGCTACGGTCGCTACGTGCTAAGAAGCTAACGCAACATAGCCAGCCTGGATACTAAATGCTATGAAAGTTAGCCATCATTAGTTAGTTTATCATTGTAACAAAATGTGTCCATATATCACGTCTCTTCTTTCTCCCGAGCCCCGTGCAAAGCATGTTTTATTTTTAACCTGTCGCCGCCGCCTCACCGTGAATCCAGCTCCTGTCTGCTCCGTGTTGTGTAGGCTACTCTGATTGTGCCCGCCCGCTCCAGGTTTGAAAGTGGGTGTGTGGCGGAAGAGCTGACGAGGCGGAGGACGAGACAGGATTTGACAAAACCATATCATATAATAATATGTAATTTTCGTCTCGTCTTTGTTCGTGAACTAAAATGTCCATAGATTTTAGCCCAGTCTTTATTTACCGAACTGCATTTTCGTCTCGTCTTTATTAGTCTACGAAAATTATTTCTGATTTAGTCCCAGTTATTGTTTATTAGTGGGGATTTTAGTCTCGTCTCGTCTAGTTTTCGTTCGGTGAAAAATGTGCGTTGACGAAAATATTTTCGTTTAGTTTTCGTTAACGAAATTAACACTACTTTGCGGTTTGAATAAATTATGATCTGAATTGTCTATGTAATTTACTTTTCCTAATTGAATATTCTGCTCGTCACCATTGTTGAGATTCATTGACTGAATATTGAGGTCTGTGTGTGCCTAAAAGAAAGATTTATTGTAAACAACTTTAAAAAAAAACATTATATTATATCTGAACTTCTGGATATTTCTGCAGTATCACAGTTATGCTGTAACACACAGAATAAATCACAAACATAAATTTCAAATGATAATTGTCATAATATAACCAACACCATTAGATCACTTTTTTTCTTTGTTCATCTGGCAGTTATAAGTCAGATACAACATCCGAACAAAATCTAAAGTTAATAATGTAAGGGTCAAGAGCCCAACTAAAGCAAACACTTTTAGATTTTCTGCTTGTGATTTAGGTGTCTTCAATAATGCTCAATCATCAATAAATTAATCACTTAATTATCTCATTAACTTTAACACTCTTGAGTGTGGACTCATAAACACTCCCAGGAGTTTTTGCTGTGTAAGAAGAGCCGTAGTTTACAGATGACATGCGCATAACAATATCGTGCGATATATCGCTCAGCCCTGGTTTTTATCAAGTATTTTTATAGCTTGCTTGTATAATGATTCTAGAGGTCTAATTGCAGACTCACTGGCTTGTTCCCAACAGGTGATACAATATGAGATATGTGAAAAAATTAAAGCATGCATAAATATTTTGGCTAGATCCATAGGAAAGAAAGATCTAATGAATCACTGATAGTATAATTTCAGAGTTAAGCTTTGTATCTTATGGAGATGATTGCAGCACTGTTGTTGTGGAATATGCCTTTTCTATTAAATACAAATTGGTCATTATCAACACTGTAGAGAAGCAGGTGAGATTGTGTGAGTGAATGTTAATCAGTGAGAGGAATCACACTTATCCCTGTTTATATTCACACACAGATGCACATAACTTCATTAGCCAAGGAGAGAGTGTGGATTGGTTTGACGGGCATTGAGACTGAGGGGATCATGAAATGGGTGGATAATTCAACACTGAAACAAGGGTAAGTGATAAAACACTGTCTGTGGATGTATTTTAAACATGAGACTTTCTCAAACACCACACCCTAAAGATTTAATTATTTACTTACTTATTTATTTATTTATTTTAGTAAAAACTGAAATCTTCTCTATCGTATTTTTTTTTTTTTTGCACTTTTCACTATTAATCAGGTTTTGGTATAAAGGAGAGCCAAATAATGCAGGTGGAGACGAGGACTGTGTTGAACTGACCCCTTCAGACTCCATCCAGAACTGGAATGATCTCCCATGCTTTAAGAAGAGGAAAGCAGTTTGTGAGAAATAGGGTTCATCCCGTCTTCTCATGTTTTTAATTGTATTATATTTTGGAATCGTCACTCTTTTTATTGATTTCTGATTAAGGTAAATGTGTCTTTTACACATTCTGCTACTGTAATGATATCAGTTTCATTCTATACTAGGCGATACAAAACACAAATGGAAATTCACGTAATAGAAAAATGTAAAACTGTCCAAAAAAAAAAAAAATTACTGTAATAAACATCAGGAGGGTGAACTGGGTAATCTGGGACTTTACTCCATCACAAGCAACATAACATCAAAACAACATCTTTTCCAACATAACCTTCTTCTGGCTGTTGTTATGCGTCTCATTTGCTGGTCTGAAGTGTTGAGGTGAAAATCACAGTAAAATATAGAAGTTTAAAGTCTCCCAGATTGCTCTGATTCATCAGTTATTCTGTGAAACTGCTTTTGAGTTGTATTGCTTTCACTTTGAATAAAATGGTCCATAACCATTATCACTAGTGAACTGTATTTTTGTTTCTATTTCATATTTCATTCTTGTGTTTCTGTTTATTGCTCTATGGCTATATTTGCTCCAGTCCAGCAGGGGCAGCAGAGAGTAGGTTTATCAGACTGAAGTGATCAGAAAGGAACAGAAACATCAGGCCGGACAAAACATTGCACAAAGTTTTTTAAACAGAAACGGTAATGCGTTGAATTGCCATATGCTGAATTCCTAAAAGAGTTTGCAGACTTTCTCTCGGATCTATTGGTGGAGTATATATTCCACATTTATATATAAAAAAAAAATTAGATTAGTTTGAGATTAGTCCATGTACACTGCAGACTAAACAGCTATAATAATAGGACTCTATAATAGGACTCTGAATAATAAGTCAGACCAAATAAAGTAGTCATATGTTCAGATTCTTCTTCAGCTTTAATTAGTATAGTACCTGCAAGGTCAGAAAGAGAAGATTTAATAATGAAAATATATTTATCATTATACAGACTGAAAGAGGCTGGAATAGTGGTGTATTTTTGTTGGGTACACTCTAAAAAGAGATGTGTTAAAAAACAACACAGCATGCGTTGATGGCATTTTGACACATGTCGAGTAGATTTTTAACACACAATGTGTGTTAAAATGTAACTGCACAGCAAAATCCCCTGTGTTAATTCAACACTGCTCAGAGTGTATTTGGTCCCACTCTACAGAGTGTTAAAGTAACACTGAAGCAGTTGTAAATTCCACGAGCCAATGTCGATCTGCTGTCGATACTCGAAAGTTTTGAATTAGTGTTTGCTTTAGTTGGGCTCTCCAAGAGTCACAGAGTCATTTCCCTCATGCTTTGGAGCTGTGAGGAAAGGAAGCAAAACAATGGGAGAGAGTCAATGTAGGAAATGATAAGCAGTTTATGTGTGAGATATGAAAAATACATTTCAGCTCAAGCTAGAAAGGTTTATACACTAAAAGGAGCTAAAGATCATTATAGAAACGATTTAGCTGTAAATGTATAAATTAGAGTAGTACAAGCAGTGATCTCTTAAAATAAAAAAGACAAGCCAAAATAACAGTAGATAAATAATAATCATTAATTTGTTACATATTTATATAGTGCTTTTCTTGACACACACACGCACAAACACAAGCCAATCGCCCGTGTTAAACCCATTCTCTTTATCCGAAGGACGTTAAAATGGCCAAAGAGAGTCAGGTCTACAGTTTAACCTCTCATCCGAAAGACAATGCTTTTAGACATTTTAGTGTTCCCATCATTATACTGGAGCGTTAAGACAAAGGGTCATTAAATCTTTCTAGCCACAGATCAGACATTTGAATTTTTAGTTCTAGTTTAGTTTTTTTCTAGCCTGGATGCCAGCCCGAACTCCGCCCACAACATTTTTGGACGGGAAGTTCGGTCTGGACTCGATCCATTGAGGAGTAATTATGATCGGTTCAGAAATCATCGGGCCAATCAAATTGCCAGGGCGGGCTTTATACGATGATTGATAGGTGGTCTTCAGTAATGTAATCCTCACGTCATCAAATGCGCTTGTCAAAGTTGGCTGCGTCCTTCCTACATGATTCGGGAAAAGTGTAACTTATCAGCTGGCTCTGACGGTCGTTAAGAAGATGGGACGTAATGAAAAGCCTGTGTTCGTTGTGTTTTCTCCTTTGGTCGCACTCATGGAGGAGTAAGTAAAAGAAGTAACACTCGTTATTTAAGTTCTAAAATAAATAAAGCAGGCTGCGTTCTTATGGAATTAATATTGAGCCAATAAAAATGAACGTAACTTTTCAAGAAACGAATGAAAATATAAATTGAAACTGAATAAAATATCTTTGAAACTGAAAAAGAATGAACCGCAAGCAATTTTTTGACTTTGTTTTTAACACACTACATGTTTTGCTAACTATTCCTCATATTTCGTTTACTGATCTACACTTACAAATGCGCTTCCAGAGTTTTCATTTACGCTTCTGAAGTTTTCGTTTACACTCCCTGATTTTGCGTTCGCTGTTCTGACACAAATCTCTCGTGGGGGCGGGGCTAGTAGCAGTGTATTCTCATTGGCTACTGAGCTTTTGATTGACAGCTTCTTGACCTGGAAGTGAAGACGTCAGAGTTGTGTTTACACGTGTGGATGTGAGCGTCTGTAAGCGCAGCTTTCTATTTAATTTTAGTGATATTAAGTTATGTTTGTTTTTTAATTTTATCTGTATTTACCTTCTGCTGCGATTACTTTGTCAACAGAAGCTTTTAGGTTCACAAGAGATCAGTCTATTCAGCTGTAATTGTACATCAAAGTACGCCCACTGTATGTGACTACTTAAAATATTGTGTCCAATGTTTTAGGAGAATATTTGTTTATTCTTGATGATTCGTTTGCATGTTAGGCTCTGAATAGGTTGTGCTATTACAAGAGAATAGCCTACTAGTATACGTGTGTGATATATTCAGCAGTCAAGAAAGTTTCACTTCAACCAGGTAATCAAGTTTGGCAACCATGGCCATCAAATTTCTCATTGTTACCATATGCATTTACACCATCAAATGATCATGTATGATCACTTAAATAAGAGGAATTTAAACTATATGAAAATTACAATCGTGGGTTGCTGTCAGATGATACAGACCTCAAAGGGCATTTCATTACATATTTCACACAAAGAATATTTTTGTTGGTATTTTTTTAATCATGCTGATCATTTTATTTATTTCATTTTGTTAATATTATTTTCTCACATTTAAAATAGTAAATGTATTTGAACAATCATCAACAGGTTCAATTATGACTTATAAAATCAGTTAAATGAATTTAAATAAAAAATCTAATAAATGTATTCATTCTTTATTGTCACTACAGCATATACACAAGTATCAAAGTGAAAGTCTTGGATGCAGTTATGACAGGAAAGACCAGAATCCACAAAACATTAACTGCATACTGTAATGCACAGTATTCTCATAATATAGATAATAAAATGTATAATCACAAAGATTTTTAATGAAATAATACATCTATGTGAGTCCACATAACACAAGTGGATTGTACCCATGTATGGCAGTTGGTCGGAAGTTATTTTTAATAGTTAAAACAGTTTACATTATTAGTATTTTCTTATCCTATTGTTTCACTTCAGAAGGTATTGATTCATCCACTGAGGTCACATGGACATCACGGTCACTGTGTGTGGTTTTTAAAGCATCTTTAGGACTTGCAGAGATGGATTACTTTCCTTAAAATCTTAATTTGTATTTATATGTAGAAAGAAAGTAAAATGCATCTGGGACAGCATGAGGGTGAGTAAAATAAGTGATCATTTTATTTTTGGATGAACTATCCCATTCATATGCTGTTGATATGCAAATCCATGATCAGCAGAGACTAATAAGAATAAACTGCAACCACTTGTGTACTGTGATTGTTTTAATCTAGAGCTCCAAAGAAATTAAAATATTTGCTATTTTATCATATTAAAATAAAATACAACAGGTGTCTGAAGATAAGGATCCCAGTCATTCAAAGGTGATATGTCTGAACAAAGTAATATTATTGTCTGATGGAGACAGCTGATCTCTGGTATTATCACTCCATCCTCTGTGTCAGCATCAGAATTTTGTTTATGGAAAAGTGGCTCAAATCCCTGGAAAATGAGAAAGGAAATATATTATAATCTAACAATACAAACTGCTTTGAACTCCCACATGCAGTAACCATTTGCAGACTTAAAATAATTATTTCAAACAAATTATATAAATGTTTTAAGGGATTTTACAGTACTAAATGTTTACCTGACTCACACACCATTTATCATCTGTAATACTATTGTGTAACCAGTAGATGGCTCTATAGCCCAATAAACATTTATCCATGGCTGTGTAGCATCTACTCCCAGTTGCTGGATTTTTTCAGTCATAATTATATATATATATATATATATATATATATATATATATATATATATAATTATTAAAGACTATTAAAAATTCAAAATTTTTCTCCAAAATGTTTTTTTTTTAACATAATTATTACTCAAATATGGATACAGAAAAAGCATTTTGTTGCCTTTTGCAGAATAAATATTGCGCCCAGGGTTATACTTCAAAACAAATGAGTGTTTACATATTATGAATAGAGATGTGGAAAATGGTCAAGTCCTGTCTCTCTTCTTTTAAAAACTCTGCATCACAAATTAATCAGCAATTGGCTTTACATTGCCAAAGTTGAACCGGGCAGTGATTGACAGGCCTCTGGTCCAAATGGCATCGGTCATTGTCTGATACAGTACATTTTGTACTCTAGGCTACAGTACAGATACTGTACAGTACTCTAGCACAATGTTGTTTGGGGTGGCAGAGGGGAAATATGATCTAATTGAAGCAAATATGATCTAATCGAAGACTGTAACCGTATGTAACGTTAGATAAACAAGACATGTAATGATTGGGCTAAAAACTTACAAATTAAATCAAGAAAACACTGCTGTATAATTTTATGGGCTCTAATCACTGAGCTCTAATATGCCTCTCCACCTGAAAAAGCAAGAACTGTATTATAATTAGTATTAGTTTAGTATTAATTAAAAAAATAAAAACAATCAGACTTGCCACGAGTAGCCTATGCTATCCAGTATTCTGATATCGACGATGACAAATTATATCATTTGTCTGTATTCCTTCTTTTAAGAAATCATATCAACAATATAGTGTAGCAGTAAATAAATATAGAAATAAACTTAATATCACCTAAATGAAATAGAAAGCTGCGCTTACAGACGCTCACATCCAAACGTGTAAACACAACACTCACTGACGTCTTCACTTCCAGGTCAAGAAGCTGTCAATCAAAAGCTCAGTAGCCAATGAGAATACACTGCTACTAGCCCCGCCCCCACGAGAGATTTGTGTCAGAACAGCGAACGCAAAATCAGGGAGTGTAAACGAAAACTTCAGAAGCGTAAATGAGAAGTCTGGAAACGCATTTGTAAGTGTAGATCAGTAAACGAAATATGAGGAATAGTTAGCAAAACATGTAGTGTGTTAAAAACAAAGTCAAAAAAATTGCTTGCGGTTCATTCTTTTTCAGTTTCAAAGATATTTTATTCAGTTTCAATTTATATTTTCATTCGTTTCTTGAAAAGTTACGTTCATTTTTATTGGCTCAAAATTAATTCGATACGTTCTGTATTTGAAAACTGCGCTACGCAAAGGAGTTGACTTATGCGTTGCTCTGATTGGTTGGTAGGTCTACCGACTATCCAATTGAGTGCAGAGGGTTTTTTTATTTTTCCTGGTTCGGTTACGACACGCCTCATAATCAAAGCCTAATAGAGCGGTTTCAGACTCATATTCTTTCTTGAATATGAGTATGACGTAGTCAGGCTAGTTTTTTTTTCACTTTCACAAAGGAACATCAAGGATCAGCATATGTATCTCAACAATGGTAACATGCTTCATTCTGCGATGGTGGCTGGCAGAATGCACATTCTCTGAATCTTGCCGGGTTGTAATAATTTGTGTTTATATTTTTTCAACAGCTCAAGCATGCAGGCCTATAAAATGGCGCATAAAATTTTTTAATAAGGTGAAAGTAATTCATTGCAGTAATTCAGGCAAACGGAGCCCCAACTAAGTATTGAGTGCTGTACATGCTCATACTTTTTATGTACATTCTTTTCAGTTGGCCAACATTTCTAAAAATACTTTTTGTATTGGTCTTAAGTATATGTAATTTTAATATTTTAATGGAAACCAGCATGTTACTATAAATGTTGGCCTTTTTTACAGCATTTTTTTACAGTGTAGGTTTAAAATAATCCAATTCTATCTCTAGAATAATACACATGCCTTTTAACGTTTATTCTGTGGCAATGATAGCAAAATATCTACAGTAAAATATGCAAATAAGAACATATTTTGAAAAGTTAAATAAAATAACTTCTTGTTAAGCAAACCTGCATATTTACTTCTTGTTATAATATTGCTGGATTTCATTCTGCAGTAACACATGGTTTATGATATGTAATATCATGATATGTATGATATGTAATGATATGATATGTCTTCTTTTCTCTTCAGGGGATTTCATCTATGACTGTGTCTGAAGTCAGTTGCAGTTCTTGTGTTTCACTTTCACTTTATCTCATGAACTTTAATTTAACTGTACTTTAACACTCTGAGGAATGGGCGGAGGTTTCTTGGTTAAGGATTTTCAAAGAATGGAATGTGGGGGGGTGAATAACAGATTGAAGAGAAAGCCACGAATAACAGATTGAAGAGACACCACCCAAAAAAAGTTTTCAATCTTGAACACACTTCATCTGTGAACACATAGGCTACTGTGCAAGTCGGTGAGAGCAAATATGAAATCAGGCAAATATACTGTCAACAAAGTTACTAAAGGAACAACTGGATCACTAACAGAGAGACTCTGGCAGGATGAAGGAAAAGCTCAAATGTGCAGTAAGTAGAAATTTTATTCTGATGTAGAGATGGAGTTGGATGGAGCAATAATGTTTGAGTAACTGAAAAATGCTGTAAAATCCAGCAGTTGTTCTAAGTTAACTTTTAATTATAATAATCTAGTAATCTGTACTATTCCATACTACGGTTATTCAGAAAAAAATAAGTTAAGATTAATTGATTGGTTTGAGGGCAATTTTGTCAAGCAAAAACAAATAAAAAATGCAATTAAATAAATGGCTTTAATAAATATAAAGTGGCGTAGGTGGTGTTGTTAAATGTGTCACTGATGTTTGAGGAAATGTCACATGCAAGTTCAAATTATGTTTCTAAGAACAATGTCAATGTTTCTGCTTTTATATTGAATATATTAACACTTATACACAGTACTTTTTCAATATCTTTAGATATTTAGAAACAAGTCTTATAAAATAATATACTGTACTAAAGACAAATGTAGATTAAAGGGGGGGTTGACTGTTTTTTTTCTTTGCATGATTGTATTTATGGGGTGCAATATAACATGTATTCGTGGTTTTTCTTTTTAAAAGTCTTATTTTTCATAAACTTCACCTTTATTGTCAGTAGGGTGACCACCTGCTAATAAGCCCAAGGGGGGACATGGGGTATGTTTCTGAGGGACAATGCAGGACACTGTTTGGCGCGGCGTTGCCCCCACCCCACGGGCAGACTCACTGATAGTGGTTTACCCATTTCTAGCACATACCACCTTACATGGCATATTAATAATGCCCTATTCCCTAAACATGTGTAATTGCTGATATATGCTCATGAATAGGACAAACAATGTGTATTTTATTCTAAATAAAGATTAATATTTTGAACATTCAATGAATTGCAGATGCACTTCCACTTACGATTTACTTTAGCTATTTAATTTAATTTATTTTTCATTACAATTTATTCACTTTAAATAAATAATAATTATTATTTAAATTAAAATTATAGGATTAACATGAATTATAGTTGCTCAACACCACAGGAACGGTTAAAACAAAAAGTCGAAAAAAAGTCTAAACTCACAATTTCAGAGGTTCACGGAACGAGAAGGTGCGCTGTCATGACAACAATGAAAAAGTTGACAACAACCTAGTCAGCAGGTCACGTGGGAGTGGCAACCAGTGTTGGGAAAGTTCACTTTCATGAACTAGTTCAAAGTTCAGTTCACACATTTTAAAATGAACTAGTTCAGTTCAAAGTTTGCACAGAAATGTAAGATTTTTCCCATCCTCACCAACCTCGTTATAAAATCCGTTTAAATGATCATACGACGCCTTTGTCGACGGCGGCCGCAGTGCGACACTGGTGGCTTGTGTTGCCAGATTGAGTGTTTTTTCGCTACATATATTAAGCCCTGTTTACGGTGAGTTTTAGCCGGGTTTTCGCCTGGAAGTCTCTATAGAAATCTGGCACCCTATTGAACGAAGTTAAACTGAGAGAGCGTGCGTTCACAGACACCAGAATGAACGAGTTCACAGTAACGTTCATCAGGATAGGCAGTAAAACAGTACGTTCAGTTCACCCAAAATATGAACGAGTTCATTAAAGTGAACGTGTTCAGGCACAACGTTTGGCAGCCTGGGTCTTGAGGGTTTTTTTTTTTTGAGCAAGCATTGATTATGCGTGACATGGTCTCAATTTGCGGGACGCATGAATTGGGCTTCAAACGCTGTGCGCGCACGCGCTACGCGGGACGCGTGGTCACCCTACTTGTCAGCCGCGCTCTCCTCTGTGCCCTGAACGAGCGGTTGACTTCCTGATTCTATGAAACCACTCCCTCAGAAACACGTAGTGGGCTCAGATTGGTTAGTTTGGCCCGGTGTGTTGTGATTGGCTAAACTGTCACTCACGTTGTCCGGTAGATCTACGCCCATTACCTTGTCTTGAGCAGTCTATGGTATGAGAAGAGATGAAGAGAGTCAAGCAGAACCTCACCACACACGGCTCTTACTAAACGTTTCTGAATGATAATTTGCTAAATTTTTTAACTTTATACACGTTTGTTTTACACAATAGCGTCTGACTGGCAACAATAGCAACTGACTGGCTACTAATGTCATACACAAACAGCGTTGGCATGTTTACGTTCTTGATCAAATCGAAAATAATGTCATAAAGCATATATACATGAAAAATATGTTTAAAACATTAGTACTTAGGTCCATAATGTTTGTACACGTTTGTCATAGACACAAAATAGCATAGGCTAACTAGTAGTGGCTATAAAGCCAGCGCTGGTATTTGAAAAAAATAAAACACAAGGCTACGTCTGTAATTATACATGCAAATACATTTAAAATGATGAAGTCTTCTCCTACTTACAGGTTGTGGTCCAAAAACTGCTGCCTCTTGTTTTAAAGTCGGATCTGCTTCATGTTTTAGTAACAGTTTCTTGTTGAATCCGGTGTTGAACTCGTGGAGATTCTGGAAGTCTTCCGTAAATGCGCAGCACAGAGAGCTAGATTACAATCGTCATTTTCAAGAACATAATCAAACATAAACTGTATCCATTGTTGACGAAGTATAGCGTCCATGGGAAGCCCGAAACACAGAAGACCTGACAGCTGCGAGAACAACACACTCAACGAGTCGACGTGCCTCAGAAATATGCGCATGCCATTTTCTGCATATTCTGAGGGAGGTGTTGATGCAAATGTGTGGGTTAGTAACGTACCATAACCCAGCTGTAGTCCCAATCCAGTCGTTTTTGTAGGCAATTATACTTCCTGATTTTTAAAAGACGATATCTCTGCTTACACTAAACTTTCAGTGCTGCAACTTTGCAGATACTGTTCATGCACCAACAGCAACATTACACACTATTTAAAATCAAAAAAGTGAAATCGCAGTCAACCTCCCCTTTAAAAGGTTGATTTTAATCTCCTTTTTTATAATATGAAGGGTATTCACTGATCTTTGTGTGTTTTGTCTCTGTTTCTCAGGAGGAAGCAGGTGTTTGGTGTTGATGACAGTGTGTCTCGGGCTCATTTGTGTTCTTCTGCTGGTCTTCATCACACTGTACATCATCATCACAGCAGAGAGAGACCTGTTAAAGAACACAGTTGAAGAGTTCAATCACACTATCAACAACTTACAGGACAATTACACTGATCTAATGACTGAAAAAGACCAACTGAAGAACAACTTCAACTCTTTGAGTCAGACGAAACTGGAGCTGGTCAATGATCTCACTGCTCAGAAAAGTCAGTTACGAGGAAGTTTTAATGCTTTGAATCAGATGAAACTGGAGTTAGAGACCAGAGTCAATGATCTCACTGCTGAGAAAAGTCAATTAAAGGGAAGTTTTGATGCTTTGAATCAGACGAAACTGGAGCTGGAGACCAGAGTCAATGATCTCACTGCTGAGAAAAGTCAATTAAAGGGAAGTTTTGACTCTTTCAATCAGACGAAACTGGAGCTGGAGACCAGAGTCAATGATCTCACTGTTGAGAAAAGTCAATTACAGAAAAGTTTTAACTCTTTGAATCAGACGAAACTGGAACTGGAGACTGAACTAGGGAGGATATCTACACAAGGTTTGTACACAGCATAATCCCCAGTGTTAAATTAATACTCCTCAGTGTACATATGTGTCCACACTGTGTTTACATGGTTCAATCATAATGAAATCAATCCGATTGATGAATTTGAACACAGTGTTTTCACAAACGATTAATAAAGTAATCGGGTTGATGTGCACGTTTATACGTCAAAAGATTCGAATCGTAATTTATGTTTTGACATGCGAACACTGCACAAGTATACTGCGATTCTTTATTTGTTTTAAACAGCACACTTAATATTTATTTGTCTCTGGTCATGATTTGAAGACAATGAGCCTGAACCATTTTGCCGAGCTGCTTATATTTATCACGCAGTAAAACCCTACGCCCAAAACCAGTCGTCTGTGGATGAGAATCTGAAACAAGCACCACTTTCAATCCGATCGAATCTCCAGTCGGATCGATTAAGGTGTTTACATGAAGATTTTTAGTCTGATTGAACCGTCAGTCTGATTTTAAGGGTCCATGTAAACCATGTTTATGTCCATGATTTTAAAGGTCTATGTTATGCGCATCTAATCAGTAAAGCCGGTTCCTTGATTAGTAGTAAATCAAATTCACCTGCTTTCAGATGGACGATATGATGCAGAGATGAGTGTTAAATTAACATACAATAGTGTTAAAGTTAATGAGATAATTTCTTGATTAATTGAGTGATGATTTAGCATTATTGAAGACACCTGATGATAACAAGCAGAATCATTGAAGGAGAAAATCATAAATTGTCATGTTACCATTATGGGGATCAGTGTTTGCTTCTGTTAGACTCTTGACCCTTACACTTTCGCTTTAAATTATGTTTGTCTGCAATGGGATTAATATCCTGCCATGATTCAAAAGCGAAAATAAAGATCTAAAAGGTTGATGCTAAATGTTCAAAAACTCACAATTTTCAACAAAAAAATTTTTTTGCAAGATCAAAAAATAAGATTTGCAAGTTTGCAAAATGTAAAAAAATACAAATATTTCTGCAAATGTTGTTTTTGATATTTCCTTCTTCAGAGCTGCAACATTTATTTTTTATTTATTTTTTACGATGTTGCACAAACACATTTTCAAAGTTTCAAATGTGTCCGTGTTCTCCCACTGTGTTTGTTTTCCAGGTTTAAAAACCTTGTAAATGGTGATCTGAAAACTGGTGTCCGAATAGGTGAAAAAAAGTTTTGAAACTCTGAAAACAGAGTTTCGAAAGGCCGAAACTTATTACATTTGCTCTCTTTTTGCAGACTATTTTTTCAGAGCTGAGTTTACAATAGACACTTTGCGGAGATACGGCCACACATTTGCGAGCTTGCGATTTGTGGCAGCGTTGTCACGCAGCTCTGCTCTGAACCTCGCAGCTTAAAAAAAAAGCCTGTATTTACTTGAAAGGTGGGATTGACCGACTGCTATTGCATTGCATGTGAACTGCATTGGACGTCTCCAACAGATCTGATTTCTGAACCCAAGATCAGCTAAGGGTGTACTATAGTGCTTTATATCTGCTTGAAATCTCTTGATCTGGCTGCCCCATCTCATTCAGTTCCAGATTAAAGTCCACCTGAAATATCTAGATCTGACCCCAAATCTCAATTAATTCTGGAGAAATCTTGTACCCGCAGCACAGAAATAGACTCACTTAATTTACACCATTCGAAATAAAAATACAAATAAATTTGAGGTCTCTTACCCGAGATGCTTTTACTGCCACTGGATTCATTATGATCTCAGTCGAGACCTCCTGGCCCTGAAAGCAGTTTGACTCTTCTCTCTTCATTTTCGAGAAGCCTAATGCTTCTAGGAGGATCAGTCGTCAAGTCGTCTTCAGGACCAGAAGAAACTGCCGTGCAGATCCCAACTTCTGATACCAATTGTTGTGGCAAAAACAATAATGAAACAAACAGCATTACAGCGTAAGAGACATCAAGATTCCAATGGTGTTTTAAAAGATTTATCCTTGCAAGAATAGTTCCCAGTCCAACCACAGTCCAGCTGCAGGCGGAGTGAGACGATGAGGAGGGGTCTGTCAGCAGTTTTATAGTGGTAGCTATCTCTTGTCATTCACTTGTTTAGACAAGAGGAACAAAGGAACTTTATGGCTACCTCCAAGACCAGGGGGTCTTCTCATCTCTGAGGTCAGAGGTCACTGCCCAACCAGCTCCTGAGTGTCTCACACACACTCTCCAGCTGCATCAACATATCAACAGAAAACAGGGCCCTCTGTTCTCATACGCAGAACACAGATAACGAACACATGATTCAATCAAAAGAAAAAAAACAATGTCTAATAAAAAAAAAAAAAAAAAAAATTCACACAACAAACCTTAAATATTTACACACAAATTCAGGGTGATTTACAAATATGTGACAATTTGCAAATGCAAGAAATTTAGAATAAAAAAAATGACAAGAAAATTTTTCAATTTGGAAATAAAATTTTGTGAATATCAATTCAGTTAATGGCATTTGGGAATTGGATTTTTTATTTATATATTTATATTGAGATTATAATTTTGTACCGGTGTTTTTATAATATAGAATTTAGTTATAAATTAAAGATATTATAAATATATGTATAATATAATGTGTTAGACTGTGACTCTATGAAACTTTTCATAAGTGTATCTCTCTACAGACCCCTGCTACAACTACACTGTGCTGGACAATCCATGGAGATCCATCAATAATAAAGTTAACTCCTCCTCCTCCTCCTCCCACAAGTATGACTCTGTCTCCTGGAGCGGCTGGTATCGTCTCTTCATTAACAGCACTAGCGCTCATATCCCAGACACGTGTGTTGCGAGGTACAGCTGTGGCACTTATATCCCACTGTGGATCCGTGGTGGACACCCAACAGTAACAGATGGAGTCGTCACTCGAGATGTCTGCGGTTACAGTTACAATTACTGCTGCTCTTTCGGGTCTTATCCCATTAAAGTCAAGGCCTGTCCAGGAGATTATTATGTCTATGAACTGGTCAGACCAACTCACTATCCTTCAGCATACTGTGCAGGTAATTATATTCACATGAGCTCTTTCTACACATTCATGATATTTGTGTTTCTGTTGATTAATCATTATTCATCCAAACTTTCAGACACTGGCAGCATTAACACCAGCCCTACAACTGTCACACCAGTGACCATCTCACCTGGTAATGAAACACACTGTGTCTCTATTGGCTTATTTCCTGAATGTTTTCTAATGGTTACAGATATTCTATGGTGAAGTTGAACATGGATTTGTACATGAATATTTGCCTCAAAAGTCATGGAAATGTTTTGTTAGAAATATATGAAACCTGTAGACTGTTCTCAGGTGTGTGTGTGTGTGTGTGTGTGTGTGTGTGTGTGTGTGTGTGTGTGTGTGTGTCATTCACTGTACAGTAGTTCTGAATATGCCACACTTCATAGTCACAAACAGTCCTTGTGTTTTAAATGATAAAGAACTATAAAATATAGAAATTCTGCTTCATTTAGAGTGAACAATATATATATATATATATATATATATATATATATATATATATATATATTACTTTATCTCTCATTCATCCTTCATTCATTCCTCTTTCATCCTTCTTTCATCTCTCATTCATCTCTCATCCCTCATTAATCTGATTCCTACTGGTGACGCATGAGTTCAGGCCTGTTGGTCGGATTAAAAACACAAAATGTGACATCTTTTTTTCTTCTTTTCTAATAACCTTATAGTTACACACAAATGGATGGTAAGGATGATTTACAAATATGTGACAATTTGCATATGAAAGACATTTTGTGAATATCAATTCAGTTATTGGCATTTGGGAATATGATTTTTTTGAATATATTTATATTGAGACTTTAATTTTTTACCGGTGTTTTCATAATATAGAATTTAGTTATAAATTAAATATATTATAAATATATGTATAATATAATGTGTTAGACTGTGACTCTATGAAACTTTTCATAAGTGTATCTCTCTACAGACCCCTGCTACAACTACACTGTGCTGGACAATCCATGGAGATCCATCAATAATAAAGTTAACTCCTCCTCCTCCTCCTCCCACAAGTATGACTCTGTCTCCTGGAGCGGCTGGTATCGTCTCTTCATTAACAACACTAGCGCTCATATCTCAGACACGTGTGTTGCTGAGTTCAGCTGTGGCACTTATATCCCACTGTGGATCCGTGGTGGACACCCAACAGTAACAGATGGAGTCGTCACTCGAGATGTCTGCGGTAACGGTGGGAGTTTCTGCTGCTTTTTCGGGTCTTTTCCCATTAAAGTCAAAGCCTGTCCAGGAGATTATTATGTCTATGAGCTGGTCAGACCAACTCACTATCCTTCAGCATACTGTGCAGGTAATTATATTCACATGAGCTCTTTCTACACATTCATGATATTTGTGTTTCTGTTGATTAATCATTATTCATCCAAACTTTCAGACACTGGCAGCATTAACACCAGCTCTACAACTGTCACACCAGTGACCATCTCACCTGGTAATGAAACACGCTGTGTCTCTATTGGCTTATTTCCTGAATGTTTTCTAATGGCTACAGATATTCTATGGTAAAGTTTAACATGGATTTTAACATGAATATTTTCCTCAAACGTCATGTAAATGTTTTGTTAGAAATATATGACACCTGTAGACTGTTCTCAGGTGTGTGTGTGTGTGTGTGTGTGTGTGTGTGTCATTCACTGTACAGTAGTTCTGAATATGCCACACTTCGTAGTCACAAACAGTCCTTGTGTTTTTAATGATAAAGAACTATAAAATATAGAAATTCTGCTTCATTTAGAGTGAACAATATCTCTCATTCATCCCTCATTCATCTTTTTTTAATTTCTTTTTTATATTAGGGACCATGTACAATTTATAACGTAAATGTGTCCAGTTGATGCATTGTACCAGAGTTAGAGTTAAACATTTTATGAACACCACATCAGCTTCAGTGAGTACGGATTTGAGTAGTGTTCAGAAAGGCTTTTATTTCTGACTTTAAGAAATTTTTTATCTATCTATTTAGAAAATCTAAAATTTTAAGCCACCGTTATGGAGATCAGTGTCTGCTTCAGTTGGGCTCTTGATCCTTATGCCTTAAATTTAAATTTTGTTTGTCTGCTGTTATTGATTTATAACAGTTAAATGGAAATAGACAACTGTGATCTGATAGTGTTGATTATGTTTTGACAATCATGCTGTGATCTGAAAAATGAAACTCATTCAGATGATCTGGTTTAACTTCTTAGAAACAGTTTAGTGATTTTACAGCATGTGATAATTGTATTTTTCTTGTAATCCAAAACATTAAACAAAAATTGTTCTGATCAAAATCACTACCATAGCATTTATTTAGAAACACAGACATCAATAATCAGAATCTCAACCATGGTGACAATAATGATCCTTGTTGCCACCAATCACAACTCATTAATGGCTCCCATCATGCATTGCGGTATGAATAAATTATTATCTGAATCGTCTATGTAATTTACTTTTCCTAATTGAATATTCTGCTCGTCACCGTTGTTGAGATGCATTGATTGAATCTTGAGGTCTGTGTGTGCCTTAAAGAAATATTTATTTTAAACAACTTTTAAAAAATCCTTTATATTATATCTAAACTTCTGGATATTTCTGCAGTATCACAGTTCTGCTGTAACACGCACAATAAATCACAAACATAAATTTCAAATGATGATTGTCATAATATAACCAACACCATTCGATCACTTTTTTTTCTTTGTTCATCTGGCAGTTATAAGTCAGATACAACATCCGAACAAAATCTAAATTTAATAATATAAGTGTCAAGAGCCCAACTAAAGCAAACAATGATCACCATAACGGTGGCTTACAATTTTAGATTTTCTCCTTATGATTCTGCTTTAGGTGTCTTCAAAAATGCTCAATCATCACTCATTTAATCACTTAATTATCTCATTAACTTTAACACTCTTGAGTGTGGACTCATATACACTCCCAGGTGTGTTAATTTAACACTGGAGTTTTTGCTGTGTACGAAGAGCCGTAGTTTACAGACGACATGCGCATAACAATATCGTGCGATATATATGTCGCTCAGCCCTGGTTTTTATCAAGTATTTTTATAGCTTGCTTGTATAATGATTCTAGAGGTCTAATTGCAGACTCACTGGCTTGTCCCCAACAGGTGATACAATATGAGATATGTGAAAAAATAATAACATGCATAAATATTTTGGCTAGATCCATAGGGAGGAACGATCTAATCTGTCTAAAGTTTGCCAAATTGTATTTTATAGTTTTTTTCCTTAATCTGTTTCTTAAAATTAAAATTTGGATCTAAAATGAACCCAAGACATTTAAAATCAGTAACTATGTCAATTGATTATTTTTTAAATAAAATATCTGCAGTTTGAGTCTGCCCCTTATTTTTACTAAAGGACATACCCTTTGTCTTCAAGGTAAGACAAGATTGTTCAAGCCATTCAACAACACTTTGCATGGCATAAGTTAATTTCTCTGCTGCTAGCTTAGCATTTTTTTTGCATGTGTGTGCAAAACAGTGTCATCGGCATATAATTGTATGTCAACCCCATTAGAGTGTTGCGGAAGATCATTAATATAAAGACTAAAAAGTAAAGGACCTAATACAGATCCTTGAGGCAGTCTCATTGTGTTTTTCATATAACTAGAGCCTACATTTTTAATTCTAACACACTGCATCCTATTTGACAGGTAAGTTGAGAGCCATGCTAATGTTTTGGCAGAAAGATTAAATTTAGAGAGCTTAGAAATAAGAACATTGTGATTCACTGTGTCAAAAGCCTTACGCAAATCCAGCAACAACTCCTCCCTTATCAAGTTGTGTTCGCACTTTTTCTGTGAAGTGTAGAACGGCTGTTTCTGTGCAATAATTCTTCCTGAATCCAAATTTCATGTAATTTAAGGCAGAGTTGCAGTTATCTAAATGCATTCTCAACTGCTCTATCTGTGATAGTTTTTTTCCATGACCTTTGATAGTAGAAAATGTGAAATTCTGAGTTAAATTTACCTAATGGCTTTTTCCAGAACATACCATTTTTAGCCTTTTCAATTAAATCTATACGATCAAATAAAAAATAAAAAATCCAAAATATCGTTTGTGTAGACACACACACATATATCAAGAATTAGCGTATGAATCTCAGCAATGGTGACAAACAGATCACCTCTGAACATAAGCTCATTATTTATTCATGCAGCAATGCATGATGGGAGCCATGAATGAGTTTTGATTGGTGGCACCCAGAATGCACTGCAACATGCTTTATAATTGTCACCATTGTTGAGATTCACAGGCTAATTATTAATGTCTGTATGTCTTAAAAAAAGTTTTGAAGAAAAGTAAGAAATTGTGTAAGAGTATCTTTAAAGAAAATATTTTGAATAGGTCGTAAACATTAAAAATATTATGCTGTACAAGGTCACTGCTGCTATAATTAATAATGATGAATGATGATATTAGAATGATGATATTATCTCGGATGTCTCATTTGATCTTCGAACGTACGAAGAACATGCCCCAGGAATGTTAATTTAGCACTGGGGATTTTACTGTTTAACAATTGATTTATATTTTTATTTGCAGTTTTCAACAGAATTTGTAAATGTAAATGTAATTGTATGTTTACTTAAAGGAAAGGACAGGTTTTTCATATCCAGTGAGTGGTTGAGCTGGTCTGGGAGCAGGCAGTTCTGCAGAGATCGAGGAGCTGATCTGGTCATTATCAACACTGAAGAGAAGCAGGTGAGATTGTGTGAGTGTGTGGCTTTAATCAATGAGAGGAATCACACTTATCCCTGTTTATATTCACACAGAGGTACATAACTTCATTAGCCAAGGAGAGTGTGTGGATTGGTTTGACAGACATTGAGACTGAGGGGATCATGAAATGGGTGGATAATTCAACACTGAAACAAGGGTAAGTGATACAATACTCTCTGTGGACGTATTTTAAACACGAGGCTTCCTCAAACACCACACCCTAAATATTTATTTATTTATTTATTTTAGTAAAAACTGAAATCTTCTCTATCATTTTTTTTTGTTGCACTTTTCACTATTAATCAGGTTTTGGTATAAAAGAGAGCCAAATAATGCAGGTGGAGACGAGGACTGTGTTGAACTGACCCCTTCAGACTCCATCCAGAACTGGAATGATCTCCCATGCTTTAAGAAGAGGAAAGCAGTTTGTGAGAAATAGGGTTCATCCTGACTAGTAGTAAACTGTATTTTTGTTTTTATTTCATATTTCATTGTTGTGTATCTGTTTATTGCACTATGGCTATATTTGATTTTCTCCTTCGGTGATTCTGCTTGTTATCATCAAGTGTCTTCAATAATGCTCAATCATCACTCAGTTAATCACTTAATTATCTCATTAACTTTAACACTGCTTCAGTGTTATTTTGACACTCTTGAATATAAACTCATATGAACACTAATGTTCATTTAACACTATAGGGATTTTGCTTTTCCATGTGAAATTTAAACTATTTTCTATGGAAATGATTGTGTAATACCAGTCTATCTCAATATATAATGTTATAATCAGACATTACTGGATGACATTTTCATCTTTTCATTGATTTGTGATTTCGTTTATTTTGCTGGAACTGTGTTTTTACAGATATCATTGTTGTTTAACATCCACAGTAAAGGCGTTCTGATGTTGATTGTAGTTTGTAGTTCTGTTGATGGTGTCCTTCACTGGATCTGAAACTCGTCCTGAACGCCACAGCGTCTCCACAAACCCATCCACTCCACACAGATTAAACCCTTCTGTAAAAAAAAAAAATTACTTCTAAAACATTTTTTCAGAGAATATATCATGTTTGATCTGCTTTTTTGCTTAAATCAAAACTATAACAAAACATTATGTTCATGCCAATGTAATGAGAACAATATCATTAAATATAGAGATATTTCCTCAGGAAACATGTCAATTCTTCTTAAAGATGCCAGTCGTTTTTCTGATTGTTATAAAGATTTTTCTGCAGTTAACATCTGTTTTCCCCATTAAAGTAAATTTCAGTATATTCCCATCAGCAGGCACAGCATGTAAACTCCTACATTGGTCAGAAGTTGGATTTATGTTGAAAATGATATTCAGCTCCAAGCTCCAATATAAGACAGAAGTCAAATTTGGGTTGGATTGAACACCAAACAAAAACAGTAAAATGCATGACAGTAAAGAGTGCCAAACATTTATCATCAATAACAGACGACACCATGAACACTGTGACTGGACAACATGTAAGAATTTTCAACTCAGTTTGCTTTAATTTAAATGAACATGGATTAAAGGTTCATCTGCAGAACAATTAAGAAAATGTCCATATTTTTGGATGCAAAAGTTTTTCAAACAAACAAAGGTTTCTCACCTCTCTTCAGAACGTCCTGCAAACTCTCACATGATACTGCAGTCAATCAAATCAGCACAGCATTGAAGAATATCACAGACCGTTTCAGATTCCACTTCTACCTCTGTTTCACTTTTATGACACGAGCATTTGCACTTGGAATTGCAACGAGCCTTGCATGTCCCACAGGCATGCTTGTGTTTATTAGAATCCATGGCTTTCCGTCAGTGAGCTGATCTGGAAACATCAGATCTTCAGCAGTCTTTATCGTGTGTGATCAGACTGTGATTTGCATGTGTACAGCCCAAAAGGAGCAAACTGGGAACATCCAGCCAATCCACTGCTCTCACACAAGTAAAATTAGCATAAAATGCATCTTCCCTTCTCTGCAGCCAGACAGATATATAAAAAACAAAAATGTAAAAACTTTACCTAAAAATGGTAACATATAAATTTAATGATTTTTTGGATCACCACAACAACCTTGGACATTGCTGTGGATACAAGAGGTAAAAACGGTATAAATATTGTTCGTTTTCTCACACAAACCGCTCGTTTCGTGTCTTTGGCCATCAATGTGTACTTACATGTACGAGTCATTAAATCATGTTTAATTTGGACTTCTCTGTGTATGCTCTTTGAGGTGGACCCCCTAAACCTGCATTATATGACTGACAGACAACAACGGTTTGACCAAAAAATATCAAAATTGAAACTACTGCGGAAACAAAGACACCTACATCTTGGATGCCCTTGAGGTAAGATAAAACATATCAAAAATTAATTTCAAAGTGAACTATCCCTTTAAATTTCTTCAGGACTGATGACCCAACACAGTTTATTGTACAAGCAAAAATCCTGAAAATCATTCATATTAGCATGAACTGCAGAGAAACAAAACATAATTAATAAGTAAATATCGTTTAGCCAATAATTAGCCACACAAATGACAGAAACTAAGGTGGCAGAGCTTAGCAAAGGGTCAATTGATCAAGAAGTTTTATATATTTACTGGTTCATTGAATAATCATGTATTTTTCCAGAATATGTAAACTTACAAGAAATTAGAAAAATGTGTTTTTAAGAAAAGCAGAACTTCCTAAGAAGCTCTTGTTAAGACCGAACAGGTTGAACCGCACGTTGAACACATCGCTTCAGGACAGCATGGTTCTCGTGTTTTCTCAAAAATATTCTAAAACTTTTGACATGAAAATCTTTAAACTCCATAAATTCCCCGGTGTTTATCTGAGAATCGCCAACCAGGTGTTAAAAGTCACACAGAAGCAGTGTTTGGCCTTGTCCACAAAGACACAGGTATTTTTTGACCGTGACTTTTTTATGCGGCTGTTCGTTCACACATACCCCTTTTCCACCAAAGCATTTTGAGAGCCGGTTCGGAGCCGGTGTCTACTCACAAACCACTTCTTTGTATTTTGACGGCCAAAGAACCGGCTCTCGGCCCGGTAAATTGGTTCCAAATGGGGGTGGGAGGTCGGTATTGTGACCAACAACACGACAGGAAACGTTGTGACCATCATTGCTAAAAACACAACGCTAGTATAAAGATAGTACAATGATTGAAGAAAGATGGAGTCTAAAAAATTCTGGGAAAGCTAACACGTATGGTGACGTAGATGTTCGCTGGGCTCTCTAGTCATTGGAAAAACAAACATACAGTCCGCATGTGGAACCAATTTTGAACCAGCACCAGTTCCGAACCAGTTATATTTTGGTTGAAAAGAGGTAACGTAAACGCAGTATCAGGTCACTGAAAGCGAACGTTTTTGAAAACCCCTGCTAGGGTGAGGATTTTCAGAAACGCCGTTTGCAGTGTTGTCGTGTGGACAGTAAAACCTGGGTTTTTGCCTGTGACGTCAGAATGTGTGCCGAAAAAATGATGTGTTGGCTTTACTTAACTTTTTTATGTAAACAGGTTCCACCGGTTCCACATAACTGGGTTTCGTTGAACAAACATAATTTGTTCATGTAACTTCAACATCATGGAAGTCATTTTAAGCCATCCAATCAAACTCTGAGCTGAGTGTTAAATGAACACTGAAACAGTGTTAAAGTTAATGAGATAATTAAGTGAATAAGTGAGTGATGATTGAGCATTATTGAAGACACCTGATGATGACAAGCAGAATCACTGAAGGAGAAAACCGGAAGATGAGTGTTTGTTTTAGTTGGGCTCTTGAACCCCACATTATAAACTTTAGATTATATTTGGCTATGCATGATTTATACCAGCCATATGATCACATAGAAAAGGTGATCTGATGATGTTGGTTGTGTTTTAACACAATCATTATATGTTGAAACACGACATCTCGACACTCTTGGTCAGGTGGAACTGGGGATCAATATTTAGAGTATGAATCTCAACAATGGTGACAAACAGATCACTTCTGAACAGAAGCTCATTATTTATTCATGCAGCAATGCATGATGGGAGCCATAAATGAGGTTTGATTGGTGGCACCCAGAATGCACGGCAACATGCTTTATAATTGTTACCATTGTTGAGATTCACAGGCTGATTCTTGATGTCTGTTTGTGCCTACATAAACTAATTTGTTTCTCCCTTCTCTCTTCTCAGCAACACCGCAACCAGCTCCTCCAAATGATGTCGCCTCAGAACCCCCTCCAGTCAGTGACGAACAACATAAAAGCACAAATCCTTGCAGGCGGGGACGTGGATTTGGGCTCTTTATTGTCTTTGTTTCCCTCATCAGAGTCCAATCACGAGGTGAACTGTGGTGATATATCGGTTACCCTAAAAAACAACACACAGGTGGCATCACGCACATTGTCATTGGCTGAATTTTGTAATGCTTTCAAACGCTATTCTGAAATCGTATGCTCCATTTTTCCCCATAGATGGCGCAAGTTGAATGACTATCTTTCCATCATAGCGGAGCTCGCGCTGTCCTATGGAGGTAGCCACTTTTATACATACCACATACTGTTTTCTGCTAAATGCGCCATATATAGACCATTTCACAAGATGTAAACAACACTGGTCCAGAAGCACTTCCTGTTTCAGTTTTTTAACACTACATAAAAGCTGGGATAAAATACAACCAACAGAACATTTAAAACAGAATCAAAAAGTTAAACCAACATCTTTAAGATGTTTTCTTTACATGGAAATAAAGAAAACAGTTACAAACTGAAACAGGAAGTGTTTCTGGACCAGTGTTGTTTACATCTTGTGAAATGGTCTATATTTCTCAATGGATTCAGTGTCTTTATTGGGGAGCTTTGGATACTGATCTCTACAACAGAGTTTTGAAACATAATCTAAAGTTAATAATGTGGGGGTCAAGAGGCCAACTAAAACTAACATTCATCTCCATAATAGTGACCTGAAATTTCTCCTTCAGTGGGTTCTGCTTGTTATCATCAGGTGTCTTCAATAATACTCAATCATCACTCAATTATTCACTAAATTATTAACTTTAACACTGCTTCAGTGTTCATTTAACACTCAGCTCAGTGTTTGATTGGATGGCTTAAAGCCAACACATCTTTTTTTGAGTGCTGGTACCCATCATGCACTGCAGCGTAACGCATTTCACCATGTTTCACTTGATAAGAAATACATAATACATAAATACACCAGTGCTGAGATCGCCTGCGCTTCAGGAAACTCACATCATTTGACTTACTATTTCAGAAAACTAGCCTTAATATCTTAAGTCACTTTGGTATTCAAGTAAATATGTCTTGATTTAAGAATGTTGAAATATTTCTAACTAGAAAATAAGACAAAAAATAATTGCAAAATATGTATTTATTATAAATTCTAGGGGAAAACATAATGAAATGAAAAGCAATGAACACCCAGAGCTCATCCAGACCAGCTGTTCACAATATCACACACACAGGCGGACAGTGATAGTGGATAACAGACAGAGAGAAAAGTGACAACACTAAATCAAATGAACATCCAAAGCTGGAGACATTTGTTGAATCCCTCAATGCTCAAGAATGTTGTGAGACTTCATTTCCTAAAGCTTAGAAATAAACCTCAAGGCATTTTAGTTCATCACTTTCTCACACACTCTCTATATAAAGTAAGAATAAAGAAATGTATTCAATGTGTTATTTAGTTGTTTTGTTGTTGTTGTCTTTTTGACTTCATGATTGGCATCATTTAAACAATCATTTCGTATCGAAGACGCATCAATGTTAGTTGAATTTCAGTTTTTAAATAACTTATTATTTTTTAGTGTTTGGCTGCAAATTTATTTGTATGAAACTGTAAAACAATGAAGTGTTAAGAGGTAACAAAGGTAAATGTAATTAAAACCAAACAGATGGTCAGTATCAGTGAAGATGATGAAGGATGAAGCATTAAATTGATCCATTTAGTTGGGCTCTTGTGTAATGCACTGTAAAAAAATATTGTTGGTTTAACTTAAAAAAACAAGTAACCTGGTTTTCTCAAAATTTTAAGTTCATTGAAATGGGAAAAAAAGAGTTAATACAATGAAGGAGATTAATTTAATCACCAGAAACTCAAAATATTATGTTATCTGAACTACATAAATTATCTAAGTTGATTTGACAAATGAAAAAATGTTGTTATTACTAACGTCAAGGAAACTGGACATTTTTCACCTTCCCAGAACCAATCCTGAACATTTAGAGAACGTTCTTATAACCCTGATATCCTCTCACCCCAGCTTAAAAACATTATTCATTCCCTTCCAGTTACAGTAATTGCCATCAATACAGATGTCAAGTTGGGCCTGTTTAAAGGTGTTTGAGTCTATGCAGAGTTTCAGAGAGTTTCGTTGTGGGAACGAAAGTCATTTTCTCTGTGTCTGAACTAATAGTTCAAGTTCAAGTTCATTTTATTTGTATAGCACATTTTATAGCAGCCAATGACTGACCAAAGTGCTTTACAGAACCAAAAAAGATTAAAAGACATTAACACCATGCAGCAGCACATCATAGAACAGTACAGCAAAGATAGGAACAGCTTAGAAACAGGAGAGGCCCAAGCAATCTCAGTTATCAACAATAAAATCTATATATATATACATACATATACATGTACACGCACGCACACACATACATATATATGTACATACATATACATACACATACACAAACAACCTATTTATAGGCCAAAGAAAACAAGTGCGTTTTTAAAAGTGACTTAAAAGAGATCACAGAAGGGGCTATCCTAACGTCTATGGGCAAATTGTTCCACAGCCGAGGCCCGACCACAGAAAAAGCTCGATCCCCTCTGCGTTTTAGTCTACAGTGAGGGACTTGTAACAGATTTTGTTCGCCTGATCTCAGACTTCTCGATGGAGTATAAGATTGTAGCAGTTCAGTTAGGTAGCTAGGTGCTTGGTTGCATCGAGCTTTGTAAACAAACAACAGGATTTTAAACTCAATTCTGAAATTAACAGGCAACCAATGAAGAGACCTCAGAATTGGGGTGATATGATCACTTTTACGACAATTAGTGAGGAATCTTGCTGCGGCATTTTGCACCAATTGCAAACGAGCAGTTTGAGTTTTCGATATACCGTAGTAAAGTGAATTGCAGTAATCTACACGTGTGGTGATAAAAGCATGAACAGCCATCTCAAGAGTTTTATGATTAAGAAAAGGTTTGACTTTTGACAAGAGACGCAGGTGATAAAAACTAGAGCTTATTACAGAGGAGATTTGTTTATCAAAGATTAAAGACTCATCCAGTAGAACGCCCAGGTTCCGCACAGTTGAAGATCTAAACGCCGCTAGTCTGCCTAGGTCAAAGGTGGCATCCTGAGGATTAACAGTGGACCCGAAAACAATGATCTCTGTTTTGTTTTCATTTAAAAACAAAAAATTTTGGTCCAGCCAAAATTTTACTTCATCTAGACAACTTAAAAATGATGAGAGGGCAGAGGGATCATTTCTCTTGATTGGGACGTACATTTGGGTGTCGTCAGCATAACAGTGAAAAGATACCCCATGTCTTCTTAAAATGGTGCCCAGTGGTAACATGTAAAGAGAAAAGAGAGAAGGCGATAAGATAGATCCTTGCGGAAGGCCACAGGTGAGATGCGCAACAGACGAAGAGCAATTTCCTAGCTTCACTCTGAAAGTACGACCCGAGAGATAAGACTGGAACCACTGGAGGACGATACCTTTTAGCCCCACATCACATTCTAGTCTGGATATCAGGATCGAGTGGTCGATCGTATCAAAAGCTGCCGACAGGTCCAGAAGAACAAGAGCCACAGAGTCACCAGTGTCAGTGGAACGATAGATGTCATTTAAAACTCTCAGCAGAGCAGATTCAGTACTGTGAGCAGACTTAAAACCAGATTGAAATTTTTCAGAGATATTATTGCATTTTAAAAAGAGCTGGAGTTGGTCAAGAACAACTTTTTCTAACACCTTGGAGACAAAAGGCAAAACAGAGATAGGACGAAAGTTATTTAACACGGTTGGATCTAGTGAGGGCTTCTTGAGTAACGGGGTGACAGTGGCCTCCTTAAGGGCAGCTGGGATAGAGCCGGTAAGGAGGCACTTGTTAACAAAGGAAACCAATCCTAATAAAGCCACTTCCTGTTTAGTGATAGCACTATTTAAAAGAAACCATGATGTTCATTAAACCACAGATCACCTGTGAACACTTGCTGTTAGACATAAGAGCGAATTATGGAATTAGAGGACATTTATGAAAATGCTGAAAATGATGATATTAAGGACACAACTGGAGCTCGGACACAGAATCACAGCCAGGATGAAGGGAAAGATGGAAAGTGCAGTAAGTAGAAAGTTTCATTTGAAGAAGAAATGGGGTTGTTAACTTTTGAGGAAATGAGAAATGTAACTTATGAATTCAATCTTTTTTCAAAGAACAATGTGTTCATGTTTCTGCATTTTGTATGAAGTTATTTTATTTAACTTTTTAACATATGTTCTTATTTGTATATTTTATTCTAGATATACCGCTATCATTATCAAAGAATACACGTTTTTGTTAAAAAGGCCTGTGTATTATCTGAATAAAGGTGGATTTATTTGAACCTATTTTTCTAATATTATGAATTTGTTGTTAAATGATATCTGTGTGTGTTTTGTCTCTGTTTGTCAGGAGGAAGCAGGTGTTTGGTGTTGATGACAGTGTGTCTCGGGCTCATTTGTGTTGTTCTGCTGGTCTTCATCACACTGCAGCACATCATCATCACAGCAGAGAGAGACCTGTTAAAGAACACAGTTGAAGAGTTCAATCACACTATCAACAGCTTACAGGACAATTACACTGATCTAATGACTGAAAAACACCAACTGAAGAACAACTTCAGCTCTTTGAATCAGAAGAAACTGGAGTTAGAGACTGAACTAAAGAAGTTATATGAACTAGGTCAGTTCAAATGGATTTATATGTATCTGTTCACTTTACGACACAATTAATGAATGTAATGTTTTATGTTTTTTGAAAGGAAAGGACAGGTTTTTCATTACCAGTTCGCCGATGAGCTGGTCTGACAGCAGGAAGTTCTGCAGAGATAAAGGAGCTGATCTGATCATTATCAACACTGAAGAGAAGCAGGTGAGATTAGAGGCATATATATATATGGTAATTCTGTTGTGAATGAACATACTTAAATACACTGGAATCATGATTTACTGATAATTGTGCAGTTCTGTAAAATTACAATGTACTAAATTAACTAATTTCACTTGCAAACCGAAACCAACTGCCTTAACTTGACCAGGTGTCGTTTTAAATGTATAAACTAAAATGTATGATGCACTAATAAAGTGACAAAGTATTACCGTGAACTTTCATTTGAGACCACTAAAAACATATCGTAAATATTTGCACTTTTCATGGTATGGCTTGGTTCGGTAAACCGCTTTGGCGTTTTTCCACGGCTTGCTTTAAATGGTATCTGGTCTGATGAGTTTTTGTTGATTGCCGACCCCAGAGGATTAAATAGCCAGTAGACAACATCCAACGCTGTTTTTAAAGTACTTGCTTGAAAAAAGATGAAAACTTCAAAAAAGAAATGGATGAATCATGGTCAGTGGTCAAGGTGCAGACAATCCACTCGTTGGTAGCGCAACTATAACGATCAATCCCATCCATTTTGAAGTGGTGTAATTGCAGTGGATAAGCAACCAAGCTACAGCGAATCGAACCATGTCATACCGAGTTGTACCAAGCAGTGAAAAGGGGATGATACAGGAGAGATCTGTTAGTTTAATTAATGAGTTTTGTTGGTCACCGTTGTGCTAGAGATTAAAGCCTGTGCTTCAGTCAAAGATGAGCAGAGAAACACTGATGTTAAACTGTCTTTTGCTTTATTTAAAAGCAGTGACTTTGTAGTTGCTGACACAGTGACAATCGTCTTGTTAAATACTTTATTATATACTTATAATATATACTTAACGACAAATATACATATTGTTCACTAAATACAGACTGCAAAGAGTTTAGTTGAAGTCGTGTTATTAATTAATTCACTATTATATGTTAGGTTTTTGCAGTTTTATGTTAAGATATATACATTTTCAGTGGACTGAAATGAACTAACTTCACAGTACCATCAGTGTAAATACTAGTTTTTAAACTCAAACTGTTTGAAGCAATTGGTTTCTGGGAACGTTCTGGGAACATACCACAAATTTCTAATAATGTTTTCAGCGGGTAGTTTTATTTTGGTTCCCAGATAATTAAGTGATTAAATGAGTGATGATTGAGCATTATTGAAGACACCTAAAGCAGAATCACCGAAGGAGAAAATCTAAAATTGTAAGCCACTGTTATGGTGATCAGTTTTTGCTTTAGTTGGGCTATTGACCCTTATATCATTAAATTTAGATTTTGTTTGGCTGTTGTTTCTATGTTATAAAAGCCAGTTGAACAAAAGAAAGAAAAAAGATCTAATGGTGTTGGTTATATTATGACATTCATCATTTGAAATGTATGTTTGTGATTTATTATGTTGGTTACTGCATAACTGAGATTCTGCATAAATATCCAGGATTTGAGATATAATATAATATAATATAATGGATTCTTAAAAGTTGTTTTTTTTTAACCCTTAACGTCTGAATTTATATAGCTGTATGTAATAAAATGTTTTATGTGTGTTTTTGCCTTTAAGTAGATGGTAAATAATGTTGAGATTATCAATTTCACTTTTGCACAACAAATAAATCGAAATTTTGGTACGTTGCAAACCTGCAACAGTGGGCATAATGGTCAATTTGGGGTCAATTTGGTATGTTGCCAATCTGCAACAACGGGCATAATGGTCAATTTGGTATGTTTCAAATGTTGCAAATGTTCCTGACCGGAGTAATCCTTGTGCGTAAACAGGAAATAAGTCTGTTACTTTGAAACAAGTGCTTGTCAAAGGTCCTAGCTCCGTAGCGAATATGCACTAACCGGCATTGGGGGAATGCAGACGTTATCTTGGCTGGTTGACTGAGTCAAATGGTTTGTTGCATATTTGCGACAGTGGGCGTTAAGGGGTTAAAAAAATCTTTCTTTTAGGCACACACAGACCTCAAGATTCAGTCAATGCATCTCAACAATGGTGACAAGCAGAATTTTTAATTAGGAAAAGTAAATTACATAGACAATTCAGATCATAATGTATTCATACCGCAATGCATGATGGGAGACATTAATGAGTTGTGATTTGTTGGCAACTAGGATTATTATTGTCACCACGGTTGAGATTCACAGGCTGATTATTGATGTCTGTGTTTCTAAATAAATGCATTTGAAAGTGATTTGAATAGAGCAATTTTATTAAATGTTTTGAATTATAAGACAAATATTGTCATGATGAGTGTGGAGAGAGAGAGGACCCAAAGGCAAAGGCAGGTTAAATGTCTCTATAATAACTCAGATGGCGGTAAGGCAAAATCAGAAATCTGGAGCCGACAGGCGATATTGAACAGAAACAGAAAACTTCTCAGGAAAACTTGAACACAGAAGAGTGTCTGCACGTGGCTCAGGAACAGGTGATCAGTCTTTAACAGTAGTCAGCCTCGACAGCCAGAGACAGGGCAAGCAGAAGATGATCAATGATAGCAATCAGGAAACAGCACATACCATTCGGGAAACGACAGGACTGGAGAACAATAGAGAAACATCAAGTATGTAACACACTTCAGAAAATACTCTGGCGGGGAATAAAGGAAAAGAGGGAGAAGAAATAGGGTGAGAAATCAGAAGGAAGAGAGAACAGGTGTGATCGTTAATGAGATAATGAGATGAGAAACAGCTGAGCGGGAAGGGAGAAAAGGGGAAAAAGAGAAAGGAGGAAAATGACCAGGAGGGGGAGTAAGAGGAAAGAAAAAGAAAATAGAGGAAGGAGGCCGACTCATGACAAATATGGATTATCAAATGTATTATCATTGTCATATGCTGTAGAACCACTAAACTGTTGTTAACAAATTAAACCAAATCATCTGAATAAGTTTACTTCTTCAGATCACAGCATGATTATGTCAAAACATAACCAACACTATCAGATCACAGTTGTCTTTGTTCATTGGACTGTTATAAATCAATAACAGCAGACAAACAAAATTTAAACTTGAAGTTTAAGGATCAAGATCCCAACTAAAGCAAACACTGATCTCCGTAACGGTGGCTTACAATTTGTGATTTTCTCCTTCAGAGATTCTGCTTGTTAACACCAGGTGTCTTTAATAATGCTCAATCATCACTAAATTAATCACTTAATTATCTTATTAACTTTAACACTCTTGAGTGATAATTTAACACTCATATCGTCCATCTGAAAGCAGGTGAAGGTGATTTACTACTAATCAAGGAACCGGGTTTACTGATTAGATGCGCATAACAATATCGTGCGATTAATCGTGCAGCCCTAGTGTGGTCACATCAGCGCTAATCAGCTCGGGTTGGAGAAACTATACATGTCGTTGCTTTTCTATGATTTATTTAAACAGAGAATATTTGTTTTTGATATGATTAAACCATTTAAAAATGGAGACTTCAAGCTTCGTAAAGACATGTTTCTTTATTTTACGAAAACACAACATTTTGTTTTTATTATGAGCATACACAAATAAAAGAAGACATTTAACAGTTTTGAATGATGTGTAGCACTTATATGTAAGATCAAAATCGAGTATACTCAGAGTATTTTGAGTGTGTTTTCATTTCCCCTGCACCAGCGATTACATAGTCCCCACCTGTTAAATACAGCAACATTTAGCGTATAAACAATGTTTGTTGATCTTCTCCTGGACTGAAGCACAGGCTTTACTCTTCAGCACAACGGTGACTAAAAAAACTAAATTTTACAGTAAACTGCTGCCTGTTTTATATCGTACACATTACAGCAGTTAAAATACATTTCGTGGGTGTGTATTTTTATCTTACATTGTTAACCCTTTCAACCCGACATTAAAAGTAATGTTATTACTTTAACTGCGTAATTGTTCCATGTATTTTTTATACGCATTACATTTTTCCATGTATTTTTTGTACAATAACATACTGTAAAAAAGGAGAGCTGTATATTAACTGCAAATGGCTGTGAAAAGAACAGTACATTGCTGACAACCTGCTGCCATTAGATTACCGTTATTTTACAGCGTAATTTTTTTAACAGTTTTGTCTTACGTATAAACAAACAACAGTAATTTAAAAAGTCACATTAGAGTCTCATGTTTTAATACGGCTTGCAAAATAAATGCTACAATGATATAACAATTGTCTTTCATATTTTATATATATAACGTCTTACATATTTTATCTTGCTATTGAATTTTCATTTTGAATGCTGGTAATCGTCTTTGTCTTCTGTCCGAGAAGTAATCCCAGATGAAGATCTAAAATGTAATATTTCTTACTGTTTAATTTTTTATTTTATTTTTTCACACAGAGGTTCATATCTTCATTTGTAAAGGAGAGAGTGTGGATTGGTTTGTCTGACATTGAGACTGAGGGGATCATGAAATGGGTGGATAATTCAACACTGAAACAAGGGTAAGTGCTAAAACACTCACATAAATCATGATGTTTTAAACATGATGCTTCCTCAAACACCTCAGGCAGAATAAATAAAACTAGCTTATGTAATAAGGTTTTACTGTTATTCAGGTTTTGGTATGAAGAAGAGCCAAATAATGCAGGTGAAGGTGAGGACTGTGTTGAACTAATGCCTTCAGACTCCATCCCGAACTGGAATGATCTCCCATGCTCTTTGAAGAGGAAAGCGGTTTGTGAGAAATGGGGTTTTTAATTTTACTATAGATTATGCAGTCCTCACTCTTATTAATATTTGATTAAGGTTCCTGTCTTTTAAACAGTCTGTAATTTAATTTAGTAACTGCTTTCATGATATGTTTCTTTTTATACTATTTTGTAACATACATGGAAATTAATATAATAGAAAAATGTAAAACCGTCCAAAAAAAATATTGCTATGATAAACATACAACCTCAGCAGAGAGACCTTCTTATTATGGCTTTAATAATGCGTCTCATTTGCTGGTCTGAAGTGTTGAGGTGAAAATTAAAGTAAAATATAGAAGAAAAATTTCCCAAATTGCCCTGATGCATCAGTTATTCTAATGTCTGTGAAACTGTTTTTTGTGTTGTTTTTCTTTTGAATTTGTTTTATTGCTTTAAATAAAATGGTCAATAACCATTATTATTATAAACTGTATTTCTGTTTTTATTTCATATTGCATCTGTTTATTGCACTTTATGGCTATATTTGCACCAGTCCAGCAGGGGCAGCAGAGAGCAGGTTTATCAGACTGAAGTGATCAGAACATCAGATTCAGGCACTTTCTGCTGTTTCTGATCATCAATACAAAGCTCCAGTTTGGCCTGTTTAAGTGTGTATGAGGTTATTTTGAGTGTTCACAGATTCCTCTTGTTGGCTTTTGAAGCGGATAACATCAGGTTGGATGTACAATACACAAACACAGTAGTATGAGTCTGCAGGGAGGTTTTAAGTTGGACTGCAAGTCTTTATGCTTGTCGTAGGCCAGTGTAAAATCATTTCCTGTTTAGGGTTAACACTGTTTTAAAAACCACACTCATCATTCTAAAGATATCACATCTCATCTGTGAAGACGCACTGTTAGACACAGCGAATGATGGATTCAGAGGACATTTATCAAAATGTTGAATGCAGAAATATTGAGGACACATTTGGACCTCCAACACAGAGTAACGGCCAGGATGAAGGGAAAGATGGAAAGCACAGTAAGCAGAAAATTACTTTAAGCCAGAAATGGTGTCGCAGATGATAATGTTAATGGTGGCACTAATGTTTGAGGAAGTGTCTAATACAATTTCAAATATTTTTGTCAGTGTTTCTGCTCTTATATAATGTATTAATTATATTTACTTTTTTCAATATTTTTGTTCATCTTTAGATATTTTACCATATAGCAATGTTTGACTTGGAACATGAAAATGAAAGCGTTATAAGACAAAGGTAGATTACCTAAATAAGTTGATTTGAAACTTAAAGTCCCCCTGTGGGGAAAATCAAACATTTAATGTTGTTTATATGTCTATGTGGTGTTTTTAATCTGCTTTAAGACAAACCATGTGCAAATTCATGTGTGAATACCATTGCTGAGTATTTTCTCTTTAAAACTGCAGTGAACCAAAGACAGTCTCAAAACCACGGTCTGAAAACGCTGGTGTTTCCGATGTCAAAAACTTCCTTGTAAGGTCAATGTGCCGGCGGGGCTTTAGCATATCAATATTACTACGCTGTAAAGCAGGGGAGCCTCAAGAGAAGCCAGGTTATCCCGCTATATGTTTTTGTTGATAGGAAAATTAGGTACATATAGAAATATAGCAGGTGAATATAATATATATTTCGACGCTATGATGCACTATATGCCATTATCCACTGACATTCTGAGTTGTCTGATGATTGTTAGAAGGCAGACTGAGATTAATCATATTAATTGCTGATATGTGTCCGATGCTGTAGAGAGTAATACATCAAACGAATTAAGTCAAGTCAAGGCAAGACGTGCCTGTATAATTCAGACTTCCACTTCTTCTGAATCAGGAAAGAGCCACTCGCAAAGAATCTCAAGGCAATGCAAACAGTTTGTGCGTTGTCTAAAGCTCGACTCTGACGAGTCGAACATTTAACATTTGGTTCCAACAAATGAATGAAAAACTACATTTCTCAATAAGTAGAGTATCGCCAAAGTCCTTTCAGGCAAGTCATGCCACTCGGCAGCCATCTTGGCAACGCCTCCGGGCAGCTATTTCGGACTTATCAAGACCAGGCTCTAGCTAAATGAATGGGCAGAGAGTCAGAACTGCACTTTCACTGGTCACCGGGACATACAAACTGCTTGTATAGAAACAGCAGTAAAATATAATAAAAATCGCTGAAAAAGTTTGATGACTTTGCACTAAAATAAGGTTTAAAACGCCGTTTTCCCCACAGGTTATAGTTTTACTGCGCATGCGCAAGGGTTTTCTCGCTCTCTGTCGCGCTCGCTGCACAGTTTGAAATGCGCGCTCTTGCTCGCTCGCTCTAGATTCCGGGAGATTTGACCTAATTTGCGGACATCAGTGAGCCTCTATCAATCTGCGGGAGACACCCGGAACTTCTGGGACACTTGGGTCTGATATTTACACAACACACACATACACTGCATGTCAAATCTGCCGCCTTTTCAAACAGTAACGTATTTAAATGATTCCCAGCTTGACCGTTAAAAGCAGACGATTGGCTGTCCAGCGGGAGGGGCGGGGCATTTGCATACAACCGCCATCATTGGTGTTACGGGTTTTCCCTATAGACCATTTCACAAGATGTAAACAACACTGGTCCAGAAGCACTTCCTGTTTCAGTTTGTAACTGTTTTCTTTATTTCACATGTAAAGAAAACATCTTAAAGATGTTTGTTTAACTTTTTGATTCAGTTTTATGTGTTCTGTTGGTTGTATTTTATCCCAGCTTTTATGTAGTGTTAAAAAACTGAAACAGGAAGTGCTTCTTGACCAGTGTTGTTTACATCTTGTGAAATGGTCTATACATTTGTATTAAGGATTGAGGAAGTGGCATGTCTCTATATAAATAGTCTCTGGTATCGCGCTGCGCCAAAGGATCCTGTCTATGCATTTTTATGCACGTAATGTCCTGGAGACAGAAATATCATACATTCGGTGGAATGGCTCACAAAGCGATTTCTGTAAAAGAAAATAGCTCCCTTTGCACCTTTGACCGTCGTACCTTTGCAGATGTTGTTTATGCTCAAACAGCAACATTACACCCTAACTAAAGTTAGAAAAGTGAAATCATAATCAACCATTCCTTAAAATCATGTTGAAGGCCAGTTGTGAAAAGAGACCACTTCCTGTGTAGGTTTATTGAGTAGGTTTTTCTAAAAACAATATGTCAGTGTTTCTGCATTTATATAACTTAATATAATTCTATATGAATATAATATTATATTTTATAATTTTAATATAATTATAATAATGTAATATCATTGTAATATAATTACATTTACTTTTTCAACATGTTCATCACATGTTTGTGAATCTCCGAAAGTGGTGGACACTGCAGAGACAAACAATGTCCAGCGATCTGAGCTGGTGTGAGTGCTTGGAGGCAGGGCTAATTATCCATGGGTCCATATATACTTGTCACAAACAAGACCAACGCGATTCCTTCTGCTCGCCATCAGAGGGATCCCTCTCCCGCATATCACGCACCTGGCACTGATTACCCTTGCACCTGACATTCATCAGTGGACTATTCAAGCTACTCTCATGCCGCGTTCCAGGCAACCTGTAACCCGTGTTTTTCCAACCTTATACCAGCGAAAGTGCACTGGAACGGCAGTCAAACCCGTGACTTCCCACCCGTGAACTCGTATCGATGTACGAGAACCGCGAACCTATTCAAAACTACAATGACAGCCCCTACGGATGCAGTGTTTCTGCAGGTGGTACACGGTGAGAATACACTTTAGGACAATGTAACGTTAATTAGTTATCAGTCCATTGAGTGCAAGGATAAATTAATACCAAATACATTTCCAAATATACAAATAAAGTAAAATAAAAGGTATAACAGCTTATCTTGCCTCATGCGCTATTTTTCCTCCTCAGTTTCCCACAAATAAACAAGGAGTAAGCACCTTTGGTGTTAGAAATTATTACAAATGCGCGTGAGCCCCGTAAGGTCCGCCATGCTGGTTTGTTTACATCTAGCTACCACAATTCCTTGCGCTCAGGTAGTTTGGCGTGAATGACCTGGAATGCTACAAAGTTGTAAGTCGTGGTTTGAAGTTGTGATTTACGTGCTCAAAAACATGCCTGGAACGCAGCATCAGGCCCCGTTTACACAAAGGAAAAACGCAGATATTTCCCTGTGGGTTGGCCTCTCATTTACACGAAAACCCCGTTTTTATCACAGAAAACGATTATTTCTAAAAACTCCGGCCAAAGGGGAGGTTCTCTCTTATCGAATCTGAGGATTCTGATTGGCTTTGCATGGCTTTATCCTTCTCCCTACACTGCCCCCCATAGGTTTGGCATTGTTATGATGGCGCTCGACGGCGTATTCATGCGGGTGTGTGCACAATGTTATTATTAAAAACGGAGGGTCAAGTCAAGTCAAGTCACATTTATTTATATAGCGCTTTTCACAACACAGATTGTATCAAAGCAGCTTCACAGTGATAACATGAAAGTAGTACAACACAGATCAATAATATTGTTAAATATTAAATAACCCCGACTAAGCAAGGCAAAAGCAAGGCAACAGTGGCAAGGAACCAAAACTCCATCAGATTGGATGGAAAAAAAAACCTTGGGAGAACCCAGGCTCAGTCGGGGGCCAGTTCTCCTCTGGCTTACATTCATATTGTTTATATATAAATATTAAATATAAATATTGTTTATATATAAAACGGCGCCATAACATATTGCCGGCGTTGAGTCGTCTCTTCACAGGCGTTGGTCTTCTCATCACAGGCGGTGGGGCATCCTTCACCGCTGGTCCCGTCCAGCCCAGAGCCTTCATCGCTGGTCCCGTCCAGCCTAGAGCCTTCACCGCTGGTCCCGTCCAGCCCAGAGCCTTCACCGCTGGTCCTGTCCAGTCCCGAGCCTTTACCGCTGGTCTTGTCCCGCCCAGAACATTCACCGCTGGTCCCGTCCAGCCCAGAGCCTTCACCGCTGGTCCCGTCCAGTCCCGAGCCTTTACCGCTGGTCTTGTCCCGCCCAGAACATTCACCGCTGGTCCCGTCCAGCCCAGAGCCTTCACCCCTGGTCCCGTCCAGCCCAAAGCCTTCACCTCTGGTCCCGTCCAGTCCTGAGCCTTCACCTCTGGTCCTGTCCAGTCCTGAGACTTCACCTCTGGTCCCGTCCAGCCCAGAGCCTTCACCGCTGGTCCTGTCCAGCTCAGTGCCTTCACCTCTGGTCCTGTCCAGTCCTGAGACTTCACCTCTGGTCCCGTCCAGCCCAGTGCCTTCACCTCTGGTCCTGTCCAGTCCTGAGACTTCACCTCTGGTCCCGTCCAGCCCAGTGCCTTCACCTCTGGTCCTGTCCAGCCCAGTGCCTTCACCTCTGGTCCTGTCCAGTCCTGAGACTTCACCTCTGGTCCCGTCCAGCCCAGTGCCTTCACCTCTGGTCCTGTCCAGTCCTGAGACTTCACCTCTGGTCCCGTCCAGTCCTGAGCCTTCACTGCTGGTCCCGTCCAGCCCAGAGCCTTAACCGCTGGTCCCGTCCAGCCCAGAGCCTTCACCGCTGGTCCTGTCCAGTTCCGAGCCTTTACCGCTGGTCCTGTCCCGCCCAGAACATTCACCGCTGGTCCCGTCCAGCCCAGAGCCTTCACCGCTGGTCCCGTCCAGTCCTGAGCCTTCACCTCTGGTCCTGTACAGTCCTGAGACTTCACCTCTGGTCCCGTCCCGTCCTGAGCCTTCACCGCTGGTCCTGTCCCGCCCAGAGCCTTCACCACTGGTCCCGTCCAGCCCAGAGCCCGTCCAGCCCAGAACATTCACTGCTGGTCCCGTCCAGCCCAGAGCCTTCACCGCTAGTCCTGTCCAGTCCCAAGCCCTCACCGCTGGTCCCGTCCAGCCCAGAGCCTTTACCTCTGGTCCCGTCCAGCCCAGAGCCCTCACCGCTGGTCCCGTCTAGCCCAGAGCCTTTACCGCTGGTCCTGTCCAGCCCAGCGCCTTCCCTGCTGGTCCCGTCCAACCCAGAGCCTTCACCGCTGGTCCCGTCCAGCCCAGAGCCTTCACCGCTGGTCCTGTCCAGTCCCGAGCCTTTACCGCTGGTCCCGTCCCGCCCAGAGCCTTCACCGCTGGTCCTGTCCAGTCCCGAGCCTTTACCGCTGGTCTTGTCCCGCCCAGAACATTCACCGCTGGTCCCGTCCAGCCCAGAGCCTTCACCGCTGGTCCCGTCCAGTCCCGAGCCTTTACCGCTGGTCTTGTCCCGCCCAGAACATTCACCTCTGGTCCCGTCCAGTCCTGAGCCTTCACCTCTGGTCCTGTCCAGTCCTGAGACTTCACCTCTGGTCCCGTCCAGCCCAGAGCCTTCACCGCTGGTCCTGTCCAGCTCAGTGCCTTCACCTCTGGTCCTGTCCAGTCCTGAGACTTCACCTCTGGTCCCGTCCAGCCCAGTGCCTTCACCTCTGGTCCTGTCCAGTCCTGAGACTTCACCTCTGGTCCCGTCCAGCCCAGTGCCTTCACCTCTGGTCCTGTCCAGCCCAGTGCCTTCACCTCTGGTCCTGTCCAGTCCTGAGACTTCACCTCTGGTCCCGTCCAGCCCAGTGCCTTCACCTCTGGTCCTGTCCAGTCCTGAGACTTCACCTCTGGTCCCGTCCAGTCCTGAGCCTTCACTGCTGGTCCCGTCCAGCCCAGAGCCTTAACCGCTGGTCCCGTCCAGCCCAGAGCCTTCACCGCTGGTCCTGTCCAGTTCCGAGCCTTCACCGCTGGTCCCGTCCAGTCCTGAGCCTTCACCTCTGGTCCCGTCCAGTCCTGAGACTTCACCTCTGGTCCCGTCCCGTCCTGAGCCTTCACCGCTGGTCCTGTCCCGCCCAGAGCCTTCACCACTGGTCCCGTCCAGCCCAGAGCCCGTCCAGCCCAGAACATTCACTGCTGGTCCCGTCCAGCCCAGAGCCTTCACCGCTAGTCCTGTCCAGTCCCAAGCCCTCACCGCTGGTCCCGTCCAGCCCAGAGCCTTTACCTCTGGTTCCGTCCAGCCCAGAGCCCTCACCGCTGGTCCCGTCTAGCCCAGAGCCTTTACCGCTGGTCCTGTCCAGCCCAGCGCCTTCCCTGCTGGTCCCGTCCAGCCCAGAGCCTTCACCGCTGGTCCCGTCCAGCCCAGAGCCTTCACCGCTGGTCCTGTCCAGTCCCGAGCCTTTACCGCTGGTCCCGTCCCGCCCAGAGCCTTCACCGCTGGTCCCGTCCAGCCCAGAGCCTTCACCACTGGTCCCGTCCAGCCCAGAGCCTTCACCGCTGGTCCCGTCCAGCCCAGAGCCTTCACCCCTGGTCCCGTCCAGCCAAAAGCCTTCACCTCTGGTCCCGTCCAATCCTGAGCCTTCACCGCTGGTCCCGTCCAGCCCAGAGCCTTCACCGCTGGTCCTGTCCAGTTCTGAGCCTTTACCGCTGGTCCTGTCCCGCCCAGAACATTCACCGCTGGTCCCGTCCAGCCCAGAGCCTTCACCTCTGGTCCCGTCCAGTCCTGAGCCTTCACCTCTGGTCTCGTCCAGTCCTGAGACTTCACCTCTGGTCCCGTCCAGTCCTGAGCCTTCACCTCTGGTCCCGTCCAGCCCTGCCGAGCCTGCGCTTCACATCATCCACGCCGAGCCTGTGTTCACATCAGGGGGGGCATATGCCCTCGCCGGCGCCACCCAAAGGTCCACAGCAATGAGAAAAATCCTCTCCGCTCTGGCCACCAGAAGGATCTTCACCGTCATGGCCACCCAAAGGGGTCTCTCCACCTTGGTCATCCGAAGGGGCGTCTCCGCCATGGCCGCCTGCTCATCCTGCTTCGCCCTGGAGGCTTCCTGCCCCTGTTAAGCCATTCCCTGGTCAGCCTTTAGGGCGCCCACCCCTGTTGATGTTCTATGACACGAGTTTGCGCCTTTTTGTAGGAGGCATTATGTCACAGTCATCGTCTGCACCATCCTGTCTTTGCAATATTTACTTTCTCTGGCAAGTAGTTAATTTTGTAATGATGTGACTCAGTTACTTTTTGTGATAAGTAAGTAGTTACTATAACTAATTTCTTTTTTAAATTAACTTACCCAAAACTGCAGCTCACTAGGGGGACTCAAGGAGTACTAAATGCTAAAGTAACATAAACAAGGGTGTAACGCGTTCCTGATTTAAACAAGCAGAATACAGTGTTGTTCCATGCAGCTCTTCAATAAACTAAACAAATATGATTAATGCCTTGTAAATGCATAAGGCAGTATACTTTGACATATGTGTATTTTGTCTCTGTTTGTCAGGAGGAAGCAGGTGTTTGGTGTTGATGACAGTGTGCCTCGGGCTCATGTGTGTTCTTCTGCTGGTCTTCATCACACTGTACATCACCATCACAGCAGAGAGAGACCTGTTAAAGAACACAGTTGAAGAGTTCACTCACACTATAAACAGATTACAGGACAAGAACACTGATCTAATGACTGAAAAAGACCAACTGAAGAACAACGTCAGCTCTTTGAGTCAGAAGAAACTAGAGTTAGAGACTAGAGTCATGTCTTTGAAAGAGGAACTGAAGAGAGAAGTGTCTAAACAAGGTTTGTAAACAACTGCTTTGTCTAAGTAATTTATTTTTTCTTGTTCTCTTTATCTGTACTGTATACAGTTTTGAAAAGTGTTACTGTATGCAAATCTGTGTGGTCCAGGTTTTTTCTTCATATCTAGTGAGTCGATGAGCTGGCCTGAGAGCAGGCAGTACTGCACAGATCGAGGAGCTGATCTGGTCATTATCAACACTGAAGAGAAGCAGGTGAGATTGTGTGAGTGACTGTTAATCAATGAGAGAAATCAAACTTATCCCTGTTTATATTCACACAGAGGTGCATAACTTCATTAGCCAAGGAGAGAGTGTGGATTGGTTTGACTGACTCTGATACTGAGGGGATCATGAAATGGGTGGATAAATCACCACTGAAACAAGGGTAAGTGCTAAAACAATCACATACAATCACTGTGGATGTGTAGTCTCCCTGAAAAAAGGGAGGATAGATATTTTTAAAGGGACACATCATGAAAATCGGACTTTTTCAGTGTTTGAGTGCTATAATCTGGTCCTCGGTCCATCTACCAACCCAGAAAACGTGAAAAGTGACAAACCAGTAACTTTGTTTTGCTCAGCCTTATTTTAATATATATTATATTATATTATATTATATTATATTATATTATATTATATTATATTATATTATAACCGCTCCTTAATCTACACGCTTCCACACACAGTGCCGCCATTTGGTTTCACAAGCGACAACAGTGTAACTAGTTGTAACTCAATGGCAAAAGTTTGAGAAAAGCATGCAAACTGTTCTGTCGTTGCTGCACAGACGAGCACTAAACAGTATTTGACCAAAAATGTCAATGTCTAATATAGACCACCTCAGGGAACTGTGTCAACTTGTGTAAAAGTTAAACATGGTTGGACATGCAAGTCGATGAGATGAATCAATTTAACTCCATAAGTATAAATGTATTCACTAACCATGATACAAACTCAAAAAAAGAATTAAAGGAGAACTCCGGCGAACAATGAACCTTTGGTGTAATAAAACATCGGTACATAGTCAACCGTTCTCTGAGATTTGTTTTCATGATAATCGAATGTAAAGAGTTTTATCTCTAAAAACTGTTTAGCGTATAATGCTAGTAATGGGGGCATTGACTAAGTAAAAAGAAATCGCTATTTTATACCACTAACAAGGCTCAAAATAGCCCCACACTAACACAGTAACATAATGAGGCTCCATACATGCAAAACGAAGCATTGAGAACTTTGTAAGTGTACAGACCGTTTAATAAGAAGATATTTTATGAAGACAGTTCACTTCGTGTATACAGACAGGAGCCATCTTAAAAAATAGTCTCGATAAGTCGATCCCCGAACGCCGTTCATACAGTTCAGAAGTTCGCTGAACTTCATACAGTTCAGATCACTCAGCACGACGTTCGTGGTTTGACTTATCGAGACTATTTTTTAAGATGGCTCCTGTCTGTATACACAAAGTGAACTGTCTTCATAAAGTATCTTCTTATTAAACGGTCTGTACACTTACAAAGTTCTCAATGCTTCGTTTTGCATGTATGGAGCCTCATTATGTTACTGTGTTAGTGTGGGGCTATTTTGAGCCTTGTTAGTGGTATAAAATAGCGATTTCTTTTTACTTACTCAATGCCCCCATTACTAGCATTATACGCTAAACAGTTTTTAGAAATAAAACTCTTTACATTCGATTATCCTGAAAACAAATCTCAGAGAACGGTTGACTATGTACCGATGTTTTATTAGACCAAAGTTTCATTGTTCGCCGGAGTTCTCCTTTAAGACAGTGTTAAAAGTAGGGAAGACAATTTTTAATAAAAACTTTTTGTTATTCTGGTTGAAACTCTCACATCCTGATAGCAATCAATAATAGAAGTGACAATAATAAAAACAGACAGCACAAACACTTGTTGCCTTTCCTATGGAAGCTTGTTTCCGCCACTGAATTAAAAAAATAAAATAAATAATTGTGACTTTTTATCTCACAATTCTGACTTTTTTTCTCACAACAGCGAGTTTTAATCTCGCAATTCTGACTTTATATCTCGCAATTCTGACTTTATATCTCACAATTCTGACTTTATATCTCGCAATTCTGACTTTATATTTCGCAATTCTGACTTTATATCTCACAATTTTAGGCTCAGAGTAACTGAAAATCTGACACAATTCATTCAGGTTTTGGTTCAAAGGTGAGCCGAATAACTATACTGTAAATGAGGACTGCGTTGAAGTGATGCCTACAAAAGACCCTGTGAACAACTGGAATGATCATTCCTGCTCTGAGAAGAGGAAGGGGATTTGTGAGAACTGAAAGCTTAAGTTCACTGACACGTCATTAATTTCATGATTTCGCGCATCCAATTACAGCTTCACATCAAATATAAAAAGACTGATCTTAACCTCCTATTTTGTTGCCTGTAGGTGTTGTAGCGAAGTTCCCCTCCATCCTCCCCACCACCACCAGGATGGCTCCCGTCCATTCATTCGGGGGAAGAAAGAGGCACCTGCCTCTATCTTAAGGCAGGACCTACCGATTAACTTCTGAACCTGGACGGAGGACAGGGCCTACACCAAAGAACTTTGAGACAGAGCTTGTTGAGGGTTTACTTTTATTTAAAAATTTTATTTGTCTTTTTTGGTAGAACTAGGCTTTATCTTGTGTTGCTGTGCTTTTGCTTATATAATTTTAGTGATTTTAGTGTGAATTTCTTCCAGCTGATGTTCATAGGAATTTGTTAGAATGAAAATATAAAATTGTCATTATTTTCTTATTGCTATAATAAACTCACAACATCCAGTTTCTCACAATTTGAATTAGGGTGATCTGTCACCAAACCTCTAATGTGTTCATGACGTGCACCAAAGGATCTCAGTCATCATTCATCTAATTTGAATAATAATCACAGTAAAATGTCTAAAGTCCTGCAAGATTGCTCTGATTCACCCTATTGTGATATTGAGTGTCTATGAAACTGTTTTTGTGTGTTATTGCTTTCGCTTTCAATAAAATGATCAACAATCATTATTACTAAAGTAAATTGTATTTTTGTTCTTATTTCAAATTTCATTCTTGTGTATCTGCTTTATTGCAATATTATACTGTATGCCTGCAATACCGGAGGCTGCAGTTTCAGGACCGTTGCTCTGATAGTTTTCTTGTGACACCTAGCCAATTCTGTTCAAGGAGACATAATTAAAAGTTCAAACAAACAGATGCAAAGACACACATAAATTATTCATTTTTGTATTATCTTTCTAACTTATTTTTAACCTGAGAATAGGGGCAGCCATTTTAAACTTTTGTGCCAGGTTTTCGGTGTCAGCGTTCTCCAGTTATTATTTAGATGGGCATAAACAGTTTAGTGTGCTGCTCGATGTTAAACTGGAATTTGTTTTCAAATTATTTTAATGTATTAGTGTAGTAATAAACACACTAGTTTGTGACACAATTATTATCTTTTACTGCACTTATGTCACACATCAGATGTGAAGCGCTGAAGGGTTTAGGGTTAGGGCTTTGTTAAATATATCAATTATATTTTTTACAATTAAACAACTAAATCATTCCTGAAAAATATTTAATAAAAACGAGGGTGTTCGATTCTAAGGTCACGGTTCGATTCGATTCTCGATTATTTTTTCAAGCACAGGTTGCTTGCTCCTAAAAAGCTGGTAATCTCTAGATCAAGGGCCCGGCCTGAGGATAGTGACGGGAAATATTGTCCCGAGTCGGGCTCGGGCAAAGAATCTAAGCTCTAAGCTAAGTTAGAGGACTCACAGGCTTTCAACACGTGTGTTTTCATGAACGATCCGTTCATTGCCTCTGTCACGCGACAAATGAACAAAAGACTCAGAAGATTAAGTAATTATTAATGTTCCCTGTAAATTATTTTTGACTGCATTATAATGATTTCTTAATTCAGAACATGATCAAGATTGTGAAGGTGGATGTGTTCGTGGAATTCGCCTGTTAAAAGTACAACATTTAAAGCTCCTGTTCAAAATGAACGAAATTACTAAAAAAAAAGATTAGGCCTAGTTCATTTTGATGAACGAGATCGAACAAGAGAGTCAGTAAAATGATCCGAACTCATCCAAGCATCGATGATTTCATTTTTTAATTTGAAGTTCGAGATTGTGACTTAATTTCGATCAATTGTGATTCAAAATCGAAATCGTGACACCCCAGAATTAAATGGTAAGTGCTATAAAATAGCATAAACTGCCAACATGGATGATTTACATATGACTACAGATATATTTGACTTTGACAATATTACTGTTTGTGTATTGTACGTTCAACCACATATCATATGGTTTTTCAACAGTACATTACAACAGCTTTCCGGGTGGCGTCCATTTTTTTCTCTGACTCCGACGCGCAAAACATAATAGAACGCTTGAAGTGTGGACGTGACGTCATATCCGAGGTCCGAGTCGATTCGTTGGCTATAACAGAACACACCATATCACCCGAATACTGATTCCCTGCACCTCCACTCCCTCATCAACAAACCCTATCATCACCTTCACATCATTGTCTGGTCTTGTTATTAATGGTTGTCATAGACTCACTGTTTTTTGGTTCCTTCCTGCTGTCGTTCCACCCTCTGCTGAAATAAACCTGGTGGTGATTCGCATGTCTGTTCCTTTGTGTTGTGTGACAGATATGGGTCTGCAGGGAGGTTTTAAGTTAGTTTTAAGTCTTTGTTCTTGTCGAAGGCCAGTGTGAAATGAAACCACTTCCCATTTATGTTTAACACTACTTTTAAAACCCTACTCATCATTCTATAGACCACAGCTCATCTGTGAAGACATACTGTACTGTGAGACACATTAGTAGTCTATATAGGATACATTCAAAACAACTTGTTGAGCTTATGCGTCTGTTCTTTATGTGTCTGAATAATGGTGCGGATTCTTAAGTCTTTCTGTGAAAGAAATGGCACAAACAATTTGAAAAGCATTGTGCTTGAATAAAACATAAATAGTTATAAAATGAAGTTAGGTGTTGAATTGACTATAAGAATTTTGATCAAATACACTCAAAAAAATTATATGTTGGCTTTAATTACTTTTATTTCGTCAACAGGTCCCACATAACTGGATTACGTTAAGCAAACATAATTTGTTCATGTGACTTCAACATTATGAAATTAAGTAATTTTAACTGACCCAATTTAAGTAGTCTCAACATGTTTTTTTAAAGGCTTCCTGACATGATTCGGGTATTTTTCTGTACTCTAGTGATGGTCGGTTCGTGAACTAATCATTCTTTTGAACCGGTTCTTTTTAGTGACCCAGTCAAACCAGTAGACTAAATCGGACTGAATCGTTCGAAACAGTTCGCGTCGCGTCTTGCGTCAGAACAGATGAATCGCCGATCAAATTATAAAATGATGAATAGTCAAACAAATTCTAAAATGACTTAAGGCTCAAGAGCCCAACTAAAGCAAACACTGATCTCCATAATGGTAACCAATTACGATTTTCTCCTGCAGAGATTCTGATGTTATGGTGACTTCAAATGAAACACAGAGTTAAACCTCTGTTAATTCTCAATAAAATCTTCTGTAGAAGTGTGACAGAAATAAAGTCAGTCTGGTTAGTAATAAGTGAAGCTGGTAATGCTGTTTGTGGAGTTGTTTAATCCTCCTCTGCTGAGATCTTCAGATTTAATGTCTTCTTTTCTCTTCAGGTGATTTCATCTAAGACTGTGTCTGAAGTCAGTTGTAGTTGTTCTGCTCGTCTCTTTTTCTATTCTCTTGTTTTCTTCAGTGATTCTGTTTGTTAACAGGCTTATTAAGGTTGAGATGGCTCCATATTTAATATACACAGATTTTGTGGCTCAGATAAAGTCCAGTTCTGGTTTATTTCTTTGCTCTTGGCTGACATGTGGCATTGCTATGGCCTGCTTGTGGCCCAGATCTGGCAAACAGGAGTGGACCACCCAAGGGCCGTCAGTCATTGCTGCATGTGGGCCAGATCTGCATGCCACAAGTGCCAGATGTGGGCCGGATCTGGGCCGAAACAATGTTGCTATGTGGGTCTAGATTTCATTCTCACTCTGAATCTCTCTGTATGCTTATGCTACTTTATGATTGAATATATATTGCATATTCAACCTCATATAGTCAAAGCATTGTGGAGTTTTCCCTGTGATAAAGTTAGCATCAACGTCCAAAAAGAGGAATCTGTGATCACATAAACTGACTCCAACACACCAAAACAGGCCGAACTAGACCTGTGTGATGATGACCATAAACTGGAAGTGAATGATGATTTACATCACTGTTGTGTTCAGGGACAGAGAGGATGATGGGAAATAGAGATTGTGAGACGAGGACTTCCTGTTATTAAACACAAGTGAGTGACAACAAGAGATTCACTTTTTCATTTTCTCAGTAGATGTCACTGTTCTACCATTTTCACTATCAATTCAATTCAATTTATCTTTATTGTCAGACTCAGGGTCCATTAGAAAACCACACAACATTTCAAACACCCAACACCTCCCTAAAACCCAGGGCATCCACGATTTAGGTGTATTTGTTTCTGCAGTAGTTTCAATTGTGATATTTTTAGGTCAAACCGTTGGTATCCGTCAGTCATATAATGCAGGTCTATGGTCACCACTTCAAAGAGCATGCACAAGTGCACAAGTCCAAATTAAACATGATTTAATGACTTGTAAATGTAAGTACATATCGATGGCCCAAGACACGAAAACAAGCGAGTAGGCGCGTGGCAAGCTCGCTCGTAATTGAAGCGACGCGCTGAGTTTTTTCAAGCGTAGTATGTTTGTACTTAGTGGTTGTCCATGACAACTATTGACAACAAACCCACCGTAAGCTGTCATGTGACTATCTATGGTAGCCCATAAGGGATTCAATTTCCTTTTTAAAACGTGGCACACGCAACGACGGGCCGCACTAACATTAAACTTTGATGTCAAGTAGGGGGCCACAAAATATCACCCCGCAGGCCATTTTGAGACCATTGTTTTACATTGTTGATTGTAGTAGCCCTATGATTCAACAGCATTTGTGATCAACATTGTGGAAAAGTGTGAAATAGTGTATCTTGCAAACACACGCAGCCATCAAGAATCTGCATATGTATCTCAACAATGGTGATGGTATAAGTGTAGTGCGTGATGGGAGTCACAGCTTATCAATGTCTTCAGGATTACTAGAAAGCTACAGTCAGGAGAGTTTATCAGGGTTGGAGCTAAACTCAGAGCTGTGGCCCTCCAGGACAGAGATTGCCTGTCTCTGGTGTACAGTGTAGATACAGTATGTACTCAACACTCCTGGTTACAGATTTCCAAAGACTGTTCTGCCAGTTTACTTTAAATACCCAAAAAAAGAAGAGTTGTAAATATTTACACAAATAAATTCTTGGATTTGTAAGACCTACTCTCGTGCCCCAAAGGTCACACCTGGTTTAGGGGCAAAGGATCCGTCATTATCATATATCTTGAAGAGACACCACCCAAAAAAGGAGAACAGAATTTTCAAACTTGCACATGATAATTTGGGCCCATTTTACCAATTGCACTGAGACATACACCAAATTTGAATGGGAAACAACAAGATTAACAAAATACATCATGTGTTTTATATTGATATTCTGAGTGAACTTTCAGTGACTTGAGACAATTTTAAAGGAGGTAAGTAGGGAAGTCAGGGCAAGGCGGTCCTTATGCTCTTTCTTCTAATCTCCAGGTTAATTATTTTTATTGTTTGATGCAGGATGTTTGATTTCACGTCCTTTCTTAGCAGGAAACCCAGTCTTACAGTACATGCCAAACAGTCTTACAGTACAGACTGCAGCTCATCTGTGAACACATAGGCGTAAGAGCGAATAATGAAAACAGGGAGGTATATTGTAAACAATGTTAATGATGGCACAACTGGATCACAAACAGAGAGTCTCTGGGAGGATGAAGAAAAAGCTCAAATGTGCAGTGAGTAGACATTTTATTCTAAAATAGAGATGGAGTTGGTAATGACGCAATAATGTTTGATTAACTGAAAGTGTAAAAAATCCAACAGTTGTTCTAACTACTTTACTTTATGTCTTAACTTAATAAGTAATTTTAAAAATCTAGTAATCTGTACTATTCACACACTATTATTCAGAAAACCAAGTTAAGATTGATTGGTTTGAGTGTCATTTTGTCAGGAGGAAATAAATCATACTTTTTAATAGACTCATTTCCTCCACTTCTGCAGTTATCTTTTTTTAGTTGCATCTACTCATTTCATTGAGAATACTGAATTGTCCAAATAACTGAACATTTTGAAAGACTTCCTTGATTGATGTTGATTTTCTATTACTCGCCATTATGGTGACCAGTGTTTAAAGGAAGATAAATCAGAAGTAGATTACTTTTAAAAGGAGACCAAACCAAATCATTAACTGGTCTAGAATTGTTAAACTTTTTCCTAACACTTTAATTGGGTTGATACAATCTCTCTATGTCCTTGACAATAGCTTGCAATTGGTTGCACTTGAGTTACTTGAGACTTTAACATTCAACATGCAAAACACAACAATGGAAACAAAAGTCATATATTATAACTATATGAATAATATTTGAATTGTCGTTAACTGATATCCGTGTGTTTTGTCTCTGTTTGTCAGGAGGAAGCAGGTGTTTGGTGTTGATGACAGTGTGTCTCGGGCTCATTTGTGTTCTTCTGCTGGTCTTCATCACACTGTACATCACCACCAGAGCAGAGAGAGACCTGTTAAAGAGTTACAAGAACACTGTTGAAAAGTTTAATCAGACTACCAACACCTTACAGGACAAAAACACTGATCTAATGACTGAAAAAGACCAACTGAAGAACAACTTCAACTCTTTGAGTCAGAAGAAACCAGAACTGGAGACCAGAGAACAAAGCCAGTTGGACGCCAAAGATCTTACTGCTGAGAATCAGAAAATGCAGGAGTTAGAAAGCAAAGTCACATCTTTGAGTGAAGAGCTAAAGAAGGAAAAATCTAAACAAGGTCAGTTTGAATCTTAAAAAAAAAAAAAATTCATACTTTTCTTTATCTTTATCCATAGAGTTTTTAAAATGGGAGTTTCTGCTAGGAAATCCGCGTGGGCCTGAATGTTTGTTCAAATCCAGTGAGCCGATGAGCTGGTCTGAGAGCAGGCAGTACTGCAGAGATCGAGGAGCTGATCTGGTCATTATCAACACTGAAGAGAAGCAGGTGAGATTGTGCACAGCAAAAAAATTAAACTTAAATTAACTCTCTTTGACTCCACACTCAAGTCTGTGACTGTCTGTTAATCAATGAGAGGAATCACACTTACTCCTGTTTTTATTCACACAGAAACGCATAACTTCATTCATGAAGGAGAGAGTGTGGATTGGTTTGTCTGATATTGAGAACAAGGGGATCATGAAATGGGTGGATAATTCAACACTGAATCAAACGTAAGTGATAAAACACTCACATTCAATCACTGTGAATGTATTTTAAAAATGAGACCATCACAACCTCTAAAAGTAATCGAAGATCCAACTGTTCAATAAACACCAAAACCCTTCTCTCCATTATAGGAATAGCATGTTGTACTTACAAATGCTTCACTTAGACAACAATTCTAGTAACTAAGAAAGAACTGAGGGTGCTATAATTTACTTTAAAAAATGATTATTGTTACCATTGTTGTGTTCTGCATGCTGAATGTTGAAGCATGTGTGTGACTCAATCATTTGCAAGAAATTCTCATAAATATAAATAGATTATATCAATTCAATTATACATGTTTATGACACATGATTTGTTCATGATTTATTACAAGTATTTAATTATTCCCTTACTTTGAAATCAAATAACTGTGATTTATTGTTGAATCGCAGGGTCAATTGGAAGCGAATTACAATGATATAAATGAAGGTCCAATTGACCAAGCAAAAGGGAACACTGATTACCATGATGGTGAATTCAAACAAAAACTTTTTAGGAAAATGTAGAAAATCAGTTTATGTGTTGTATTGACAATTCAACATTTAAGATGACTTTGGGAAATAAGTGAAATCAAACAGAGAAAGATGTAGAAAAGTGGAGGAAATGAGTGAAACATCTATTAATAATTGCCCCACCTTAATATTTTTTCTTTTGCTTAACAAACTGGCACTCAAACCAATCAGTTACTTACAGGGTTCGAGCACAGATGGTGAGAGTACCCCCATTGGAATTGCTCCCTTTATCTTAAATTGGGTTTTCTGAATAAAAAAGCATAGCATGTGAATACATTTTAAGAGAAAGGAGTTTTACAATTAAGGTAAGACATTAAGAAAAGTTAACTTTTAAAGTCTTCTAAATTGAATCTTTCCACATGTTATTCAGGTTTTGGTTTGAAGATCGTTTGAAGCCAAATAATGAAGGTCGAAATGAGGACTGTGTTGAACTGATGCCCTTAGACTCTGGAATGAACTGGAATGATCTCCCATGCTCTGCCAAGAGAAAGGGGATTTGTGAGAAATTCGGTAAGGAATTGTCATGTTGTCAAAACAGTCATGTTTGAAATTATATGAATTACATTAATGATTGATTATGTGTTAGATCAATTAGGGCATTTGAAGAATACTTTTAGAAACATGTCTCAGAAAAAAAATAAAACATACTGGTGTGCATTTAGAGACAAAACAATGGCACTGACCTATTTTAAAATAACTGGGGCTGTATTGGTGCCGGTGCATATGTGGGTGTTTTTCCCACCCTTTGTTTTCGTCCCATTGTCTCTTCCTTTAGTTCTCTCTCCTGTCCTGTTTTCCACAGGTCTCCGGCCCTAATTGGAGGTGTCACCATCGCTCGGTAGGAACGGAAAAGCAACACCCTCTGAATTATAAAGGACATTTGTTTTTTACCTGTTTTTCTCCTGCTTATGTTTAGTTAAGGAGTTAGGGAAGTCTTTGTATTTTCTTTTATCTTGAGTTCCTGATAGGAAATTTTGTTTGCCGGGGTAAGGTAGTTCACTTACTTTTTGCTTATTATTTTGGCTTGGTCTAGCCCTGAAGTTACTTGTGTGTTTTTGTTCATTGTTTAAACTGAATACAGTAGACCCAGCTAACTTGTCCTGATTTACCCTGTTATTCTGATATTGAGTGTCTGTGAAACTGTAGTAGAGTAGAATAAAATGGTCAATTGAATAAATGTTTCATTGGCATTATTACCATAGTAAACTTACAGCAATTTCTTAAGTCGTACATTTAACACTAGTGTATACACTTTGGATTTCATATTCCAGATATTTATTTTGGCTTAAACTAAAAATCAAGTAAACAAAATGTTCAGATCTAATGACTGAAAAAGACCAACTGAAGAACAACTCTTTGAGTCAGAAGAAATGAGCTAGAAATGTTGGTAACACTTTATTTTACGACCCGCAAACAACTGTGTAAGTACACCGAAATTACGGTGTACGTTTCTGTAATTATAGTGTAATTCCGTATAGGTATAAGGGAACAATATTGGGGTAATAAAGGGGTAACAAGCACCACTTTAATTTACAGCCCGCAGGAGTTACACTTACCCTGTAACTACGCAGAACAAGGGGGTAACAAACGCTACTTACTATATAGCAATAAGAAACAACACTATTTGCACTGTAATTGCAGAGAAAGGTACTGTTATCAAGAAAACAAAACAACAACAAAAAACAAACAAAAAAACGTTTTAATTACACAGTATATTTGCCCTGACATTTAAGTGTCATTGCAATTCAATGGGATAAGGTAAGGACTAATTACCACATGGTACGGTCTAAATTAAAATCATAGCAAAAACAAATTATTTTGACTTTTCTAGTAATCTAGTAAGAAAAGCCAATACATGTATATATATATATATACTTGTTTAATTTTCAACCCACAGATGTCAAAATTATCCTGAATATGTTTTGCCAGAAATGTGATACATTTTACAAAAAACAGACGTACAATTATTGCCTGGAATATATTAACAGAATAATTACCTGTTATTTTTTAACTAATTAAATAATTTGCTTGTACATCTGCTTGTTACCCCCTTATTACCCCAAACTTAACATATTGTTCCCTTATACCAACACTGAAGTACACCATAATTACAGAAATATACACCGTAATTTCAGTGTACTTACGAAGTTATTTGCAGGTTGTACATCTGCTTGTTACCCCTTTATTACCCCAAACTTAACATATTGTTCCCTTACACGGAAGTACACTATAATTACAGAAACGTACACCATAATTTCGGTGTACTTACACAGTTGTTTGCGGGTCGTAAAATAAAGTGTTACCGAAATGTTTTGTTCTAAAACGTTCTGGGAACATTACCATGAAGTTCTAATAATGTTTTCAATGGTTCCCAGAATGTTCTCCTAAAAGGAACACAGCAAAAACTCCAGTGACAAAAGTTATTGAGATAATTAAGTGATTAATTGAGTGATGATTGAGCATTATTGAAGACACCTAATGTTAACAAGCAGAATCTCTGAAGGAGAAAATCACTATTTTTAAATCACCATTATGGAGATCAGTGTGTGCTTTAGTTGGGCTCTTGACCCTTACATTATTAACTTTAGATTTAGTTTGACTGTTATAACTACCGAATGAACAAAGAGAAAATGTGATATGAAGTTGTTGGTTATGTTTTGACATAATCATAATGTTTCTTAAATCACAAAACTAATTTAGAGCCTAATCTCAAACTTAAATTTATATTGTCGATTGCAGCATCACAGTGATTCTACAGCATATCAGGATATTAGAGATTTATTTGACATCTTTTAAAAATGGCATTTACCACCCCTTTAATTTAACAACGGGGATTTTTCTGCACTTTGACTTCTGCTTCTCTTTATCTCGTCTTTGGGGTTTTCACTTCGAGGAGGCAAAGGAAGCAGTGCTTACACAAAAATTGAAATTATAAATTATTCACAGTACAAAAATAAAACAACTCTGCTTACACAATAAGGTCCTCATTTCTCATTTTCCTGCACATTCGGTCTGAATGAATAGGCCTAAATAATGGTGTTAATGAGAAGACTAAATAAAAAGGTAAACAACTCGCCCACTTAGATATCATCGATTTATTGACATCACATTCACTTGAAGACTTGAAAACACAACCTGTAAGTGTGTAAGGGCTTTTAAATGTGCAGTCAGCTTGGTGAAATTAAAGGCACATCTCAGTGTCTGTGACCAGGGACATCGCTGGGCTATTTTAGGGAGGACTGAAGTGATAAGAAAGAAAAACGTCTGGGACCGTATGTAAAATTTTTGTCTTAAAGTTTTGACTAAAGAGTGACTTTTTCTGAACTGGAAAGAATGCATTTTGTACCAGCCAAAATGGGGAATTTGCTGTGGTTGTGGTTTCAATTACATCCAAATTTGGCTGGATGCACAGGACGATTCAGAGGGTTTAGGTCTGAGGGGAGTTTCAAGAAGTCTATATTAACATTAAAGACCAATGTCAAATGAAATCACTTCCTGTGTAAATGTAGCACTATATAAGGTGGACTATTAAATGTAGTCATCACAGCTCTTCTGTGAAGACGTATTGCAAGACATAAGAACAAATAATGGAATTAGAGGACTACTATGAAAATGCTAATAACAGACATTTTATGAACACAACTGGACCTCAAAGACACAGCCAGGATGAAGGAAAAGCGCGAAATCACAGTAAGCAGAACATTTAATTTGGGTTCATGAAAAGAAAACTGCTAGATTTCATTCTATTCATGATAAAAGTGCTCAGAAATAAAGTCAGTCTGGTTAGTAATAAGTGAAGCTGGTAATGCTGTTTGTGGAGTTGTTTAATCCTCCTCTGCTGAGATCTTCAGATTTAATGTCTTCTTTTCTCTTCAGTGGATTTAATCTGTCTGAAACTACTCCATTATTAATATACACAGATTTTGTAGATCAGATAAGGTCCAGTTCTGGTTTATTTCTTTACTCTTGGCTGACATGTGGCATTGCTATGCAGAGGTGTAAAGTCCAGGTTCAGAAAGTAAAAGTCCTTCTCAGTATTCACCTGGATTTGCTAATTCAGACAGGAGAGAGAACTAATTAGTGAAATCAGCTGATTGAGTTCATGGTGGAATAAACATATGGCAGGATTTTTACTCTTTGACCTCTGGATTTCTCTGTTACTAATGCACTCTTGAAAGAAATTAAAAAAATAGACAACTGTCATTTACTTTAGAGCAGGTTTCAGTCAGTCAATGACGCAGACACGCAGTATATCTCAGTTCCTCAAAACAGCAACGCACCAACAATGCGCCTCGTTTTCAGACCAGCAGCCCATGGGCGCACAGATAGGTGCAAATGCATTTGCTATTTAAACAACATGGCACAGCAACACTGGCTGAAACTGGCAACACTTGCGTCATACCTGTTTCTGCATTGCACCGGGTGTATAATAGGGTCATTAATGGTCCATTACTCAACATGCTTGCCATCACTGCTCCATAGGGCACAGCTGATTGGTTCCTGCTATATCCATAGCCATTAAGCTTGTTTCTTATCATTAAAATATTTGGCTATATCACTTTGCTGTTGTTATTTCATGATAGAGCTGACAATATTAAGTTAATTATTAATATTTGTGTTTTATCAGGAGGATGTCGATGTTTGGTGTCTATCACAGTGTGTCTCGGGATCCTTTGTCTTCTGATTGCGGCCGTCATTCTTCACCACTTTCAGCATACTAACTGCACTTCTAAACAAGGTTAGTTGTGTAAACTTATCTTTTCTAGTTTTTTTTTCTTCTTTTATGTAAACTTTTTTGAACAAGTTGTGTTACTTTTAGGATTTCTGTGGGGTCCAGATGGCTTGTTTTTGTCCAGTTCGCCGATGACCTGGTCTGAGAGCAGACAGTACTGCAGATATCGAGGAGCTGATCTGGTCATTATCAACACTGAAGAGAAGCAGGTGAGTTTGTGTGAGTGTGTGGCTTTAATCAATGAGAGGAATCACACTTATCCCTGTTTATATTCATACAGAGGCACATAACTTCATTAGTCAAGGAGAGTGTGTGGATTGGTTTGGCTGAGATTGAGACTGAAGGAATCATAAAATGGGTGGATAATTCACCACTGAAACAAGGGTAAGTGATCATAAAGGGTAATTGAGACAATCATGACATGTCTTTATTCTGTTTTAGTCTTTTTAAAAAATTTAGTCTTATGTTAAAAATAAGAACACCAAAACCTCCAGAGAAACGCTGAGGACAGCTTTTCCACAAACGCAAGCCACAAAATGTATAAATACAATCTATTTAAAAAGATTCTTCTTTTTTTACTTTTCTACACTTTCACTTCTGCATTAGCTTTAAAGCTTTACTGCTGCATGTGATATTCCTAATTTGTTATAGTTGCTGAATGGCAACATGACATCATGACTTTTGCGGAAACATACACGCCACTTTCGAGTCAAGTGGCATGTTATCTCTACGCATTTTGAGCTCATTTTTAGTATCCGCGTGTATGCGTGTATGTCTACGCCATTAACGTCCGCATCATTCCGCGTGTCTGTACACGCCGTCAAATCTCCAGTCATAAATGCCATTAACCCCAGTGACGGTTAAGTTTAGGGATGGGGTTGAGGTAAGTCATATATTTATACAGTAATAACGTAGAGTCACCGGCGTTCATAAACACGCTGAAAATCGATTATGCGTCTTGATAGCACGCCAAAAATGGAAATACGAATTGGCATGTCATACACACGCTACTTCATGAAATCAGTCTGGAATGGATACACATTTTGGTTTTGGTCCTGAATAATTAAAAATCTGACACATTTTATTCAGGTTTTGGGCTCAAGGTGAGCCGAACGGTGGTGCACATGAGAACTGTATTGAACTGTATCCTGGAAATCACCCCCTGAACAACTGGAATGATCAAAGATGCTCTGCGAAGAGAAAAGGGATTTGTGAGAAATAGGGATCATCCTGTTTTTTCATGCTTAAACTTGTATTATCTTATGGATTCAATCCATATTGAACACATAATTTATTTTAAAGAGTCCTGTCTTTTTAAACAATGCAAGTTTAATTCATCAAGCTGAAGTCAGTTGTAGTTCTTGTGTTTCTCTATTTTCTGTTTTTGTGTTCATCTTTCCTTCAGTGATTCTGCTTGTTAACAGCAGGTGTTCATCACTAATGCTCAACAATCACTTACATATTCCCTTAATTATCTCACTGCAACACTGTCAATGTTACTTTTTATTCTTTGTAGTGTGGATTTTCCTGAGGGGTAGAAAGGGTTAACAGTGTAAGATAAAAAAGACACACCCACAAAATGTATTTTAACAGTAATGAACTGTATATTATTAAACAGGTAAATACTGGCAACACTGTTTTTGGTCACCGTTGTGCTGAAGAGTAGACGTCTGTGCTTCAGTCCAGGAGAAGATCAACAAACATTGATGATACACTGCATGTTGCTTGAAGGGTTAGTTCATCCAAAAATGAAAATTATGTCATTAATGACTCTCCCTCATGTCGTCACAAGCCCGTAAGACCTCCGTTCATCTTCGGAACACAGTTTAAGATATTTTACTTTTAGTCTGAGAGCTTTCTGTTCCTCCATTGAAATTGTATGTACCTTATACTGTCCTTGTCCAGAAAGGAAATACAGACATCATCAAAGTAGTCCATGTGACATGAGTGGCTTAGTTTGAGTTTTTTGAAGCATCGAAAATACTTTTTGGTCCAAACATAGCAAAAACAATTACTTTATTCAGCATTGTATTCTCTTCCGGTTCTGTTGTCATTGCTCGTTCACGATTCCAATGACGCTGCTGACGTATTATCTTGTGCGCCCAATGGGCTCTATGCACGGTAGTATTTCCGGTGAAGGTGTAAGGATGCTCGATAACTTCTGCCGATCGTAGAGTCCAATGCAATACCGAGAATTTATATTGAATTTTATACTCCATGGTTATACTAAAGGAACGTTAGTCACAAAAACAGATAAAACAGACACCCCTCGTTGTGTTTATGCTTCTTTTTAAAATTATATTAAATAAACATAACTATATATAAAATTACATCTAAACGTATGTACGTTTCGTTTCAATGACGGGAGGACAGTAAATTTTGAAGACTCTGCCATAATCCCGTTTTCCTCGGTTTTCCTCCGCTTTAATCTCCACAACCGGAAATGGACGAGCATCCTTGCGTCAAATGCGGAACCTATGCGTGCATATAGCCCATTAGGACGATTAGGACATCCGCGACATGCACACTTACGAACCATTTTTAAAAAATATTGCAATACCAAATTACAAACAATGTAGAAAAGCTTGAATACAGCGATCAGACCATCAAACTGTAAACGAAGCTCGGGCGCACAAGATAACACGTCAGCAGCATCATTGGAATCGTGAACGAGCAATGACAACAGAACCGGAAGACAATACAATGCTGAATAAAGTCATTGTTTTTGCTATGTTTGGACCAAAAAGTATTTTCGATGCTTCAAAAATTTCGAACTAACCCACTCATGTCACATGGACTACTTTGATGTCTGTATTGCCTTTATGGACAAGGAAAGTGTAAGGTACATACATATTCAATGGAGGAACAGAAAGCTCACCGAAATCTAAAATATCTTAAACAGTGTTCCGAAGATGAACATGAGGGTGAGTCATTAAGTCACAACATGAGGGTGAGTCATTAATGACATAATTTCTCATTTTTGGGTGAACTAACCCTTTAATTTAAAAGGCAGAGACTGTGTAGTTGCTGGTCTGGTGGAAATCTTTTTTATGATCAATAGTTTTTAGTGGTCTAAAATTAAATAATTTTACAGACTATTTTTTGCAACTGGTCTATGATCAAGTTAGGTTTAAGATATTTATCGGAAATGCAGCCCAGGTCATGATTATGTTTTGATGATGAAATTACAATGATTGTATCAAGCATCATAAACTATGGTTTATTATTTTTTCATTACAGTAGTTAAATCCAGTACTAGTGCTTTAAAAATCTGAAGATTGTAAAATCACACACAGATGTCAATAATCTACATATGCAGTGCATGAAAACACAAATCAAAACACATCCATGGCTCACAACATGCATTGCAGCGTGAATAAATTATGCAGCTGAATTGTCTTGTAATTGTAATTGTCATTGTTTTTTTTTTTTTGTTTGGTTTTACTTTGCTATTGTTTTGTTAGGACTTTAGTAAGATATTTTGTGATGTTCAGAGTTGATCTGTTTGTCATTAGTTTGAATATTGTCACCATTGTTGAGATTCATATGCTGATTTTTGATGTCTGTGTGTCCAAACACAATAGCTTCTTTGCTCACATTTTTTTTTTCTAAATTGTTTATATTACTGTTGGATCTCAAACTGTAGAATCTCAGGGCTATGTTCACCAATACCAAAATGGGAAGTCAAGCACATAGTCAAATATTTAGACTCTGAACCTGAATCAGGTTACTACACAATGAAAATGACATATTTAAAACATATTGTGAGCAGATCAAGTATCATCTTAGAGTAACAAATGTGCTTTAAAAGCACAATGTCATGATCCTGGTACCCTTCTCTTTTACTCTGCCTCCCTCTTCTGGTCATACTCGATATTACATCCTCTTACACACTCTCATTCACACTCATTATAGCATTTACCTCCAGCCGTTTCTCATTATCCCATCTCTCCAACCTCTTCTCTGCACCTGTTTCCCACTTTCTCTGATTCGTTCCCAATTTCTAGGCTTACCTTTTCCTTTGTTCTTTGTCAGATTATTGCCAAATGCTGTGTATCTACCTGCTCGTTGATCCATTAGTGTTGCATTCTGTCCTGTCTTGTCTCGTCTGCTGCCAGAATTACTCTGATGACATTGATTCCTCGCCTCTGCTCTGTCCAACCTCAGCAAACGTGAGTGGTCTTTGGTTTGGCGTTCCTGTACATCTCTCTACGGACCCAGTCTGTCTCTACCATCTGGGATTCCTGTTTTGGCTACTGCCATGAATTTCTGTTTCATTAACTAAAGACATTGTAACATTTGCCAAAGACTGTTTTCTGTTGAAGTTTTGCCAAGCGGCCACCTGAGTTGTCTCTACTGAACTCCTATTAAAGATTCTTATTAAAGAAACTAACATACGTAAACAACGTAAATAAAAAATCAGCTCCATCACAGATTCCAAGAGATCAAGGGTTTAGTTTGTTCAGAATACATTTTAAGTGTTCTGCCAGTAGAGGGCACTTGTGCAATGCAAGCAAAGTTGTTCATCTTTTTTCTCAGTCAATGAATGGAGGGAAGTGAGGACTTTAACATAGCCCTTGTCTTCATCGGGTGCACGTCGAGCGACTAAAATCTAATTCCCATTTACACTGATTCCCTTTTCTATCCCCCCCCCCCCCTTTTTTACATCACTATATTGTGGACTCGTGACCGAGGGCTTAGGGTTTCATTTGGGACAGATGGATTTAGTGGGCGTTAAGTGTACTGCGATTTGGACAGTCTTGCACACTTACTTCCCGTCATGTGCACACGCTCTCAAATGACTAAGACCGCAAGTGTGGGTATTTGGACAGACCCAGAAAACATCCCTATCACACCAGAGAGAGAGAGAGAGACCTGTTTAAGAGTTTGATGCTCTTTCTCTGACACAGATCTCAAACTTTATTGTCGTGGTTTCCATTTGTTCTGAAGTCCACATTCACACAAAGCATGCTGATCCTTACGCTTCAAAGAGGAAAAAATGGTTAGGATTAAAGCACCGGTGATTACATCATATGTCTCCACTTCTTCATCATGATTTTGTAACTCGTTTTGTCAGAGAAAATCACTTCCTGTGTAGGTTTACCATTGCTTTAGAAACTCTACTCATATTTCTAAACTCATCTGCGAAGACAAATAATGGAGATAGACACCATTTATCAAAATGTTGAACACAAAGATGTTATAGACACACGTGGATCTCAAATACAGAGTCACAGCCAGGATGAAGGACAAGCTCAGAAGAAAAGTAAACAGAAAAAAAAAATCATTTTTCATTCAAATTGAATTTTATATCTACAGTAAAATATGAATTGTTGTCTGATATATGTGTGTGTTGTCAGGAGGAAGCAGGTGTTTGGTGTTGATGACAGTGTGTCTCGGGCTCATTTGTGTTCTTCTGCTGGTCTTCGTCGTACTCCAGCACATCACCATCACAGATTTAACAGAGACCAACGAGGAACTGAAGGCAAATTCTGGACATGGTCAGTAAATCTGTTTTTCTGCAAATGGTTTCTTTTACGATACAGTTTTAAAAAAGTGTTCACGCATACAAATCTGTGTGGTCCAGTTTGTTTTTCCATATGCAACGAGGAGATGAGCTGGAACGACAGCAGGCAGTTCTGCAGAGATCGAGGAGCAGATCTGGTCATCATCAACACTGAGGAGAAGCAGGTGAGATTGTGTGAGAGACTGTTAAAGGAGTAGTTTACTTTAAAATGAACATTAGATTTACTCACCCTCAAGCCATCATAGGTGTGTATGACTTTCCTCTTTCAGTGGTAGTGGATTGCAACCAACAGTCTGAAGCTAAAAAAAGTGACTCCATCCATGATAAAAGTGTTTGAAGTGGCTCTGGGGGGTATAATAAAGGTTAATAAAGAAAAAAAATAATATTTAACAAGTGACAAAGTAAAATTCGATCTTCCGGTTAAACGAACACACTTACGCTCAAGGGGGTAATCCATCAGCCGGAAGTTGAAGTCTCGCGGGAGCCACCATTGTAGCAGAACTTCTCCTGCTGTTACTGTTCCATTGACTCCCATTCATTTTGGCGTCACTTTGACAGCGAATAACTTTACATCTGAGGCGTCCAAATACTCAATTTTTTCCATTATTTATTTCTAAAGAAACACAACAATGTATAAAATGCTACATTTGATTTCCTAGTAGAATCCGTTTTTGTAAAAATAGGCTAAAGATTGCGTCATAACCACGGGACTTTCTGTCGCACAATAGAGACATTACCGTATAGACAGGAGGAGAAGCTCACCGCCCGCAATCTTTTACTGTCTTTGAGGCAATTCGGGGGGACATGAAGGCACAAAGTCGAGGGAGAAGCCCATAAATAGAGAGTCCATAAAAGCAACGGGACAAAATATTTCAACAACGTTTTTGAGGAATTAGGCGATTCAGATTTGTCCTGGCACAACTACTAGAAGATTTACAACTGCCAGACTGTCGTCACGCTCAGTTTGACAGGAAGTGCAATAATCGGGCTTCAGTCTTCTCCGTTGAAATCAATAGGGTCGCTGTATCCATTTCTTTTACTGTCTATGCTTACGCCTAAAGTGCAACTTGTGGCGTCAGAAGTAGCGAGTGTGTCATGGCTTAGCGTAAACATCAGCAGTACGTCACATTATTAGCGCTTTAGACTCAAGTCAAATCTGTATGTTTGTTTGGGCAGAAGCTAGATATTTTACTTTATAATATAGTAAAATAATACTTTTATTAAGGGCACTAAGGGAAAAAATAGTGCGTGGAGCACTTTTATCATGGATGGATGCACTTTTATGAGCTTCAAACTGATGGTTCAATTCATGGGATCATTTTCATTTTAACTCACTGAATGAGAGGAATCACACTTATTCCTGTTTTTATTCACACAGAAGTTCATAACTTCATTCATCAAGGAGAGAATGTGGATTGGTTTGTTCGATAATAACAAGGCCAACTGGACATGGGTGGATAATTCACTACCGATTCAAACGTAAGACTTAAAACACTTGCATAACCACTGCTTATTAGTTTTAGTCATCATACAGTGTCTTCTCTCTTTCACTTCTGCTTCATCTCCAGTTCAACAGATGATTCATGAATTGCTTGTGATGCTCAGAATCGGTCATATGTTCAATGGTTAAAACGAATAATTAAACATTTGGGGTTCTTAATAATTCGGACACACTTTATTCAGGTTTTGGGATAAAGGTGAGCCGAATGGGCTTGATGAGAACTGCACTGAACTGGATCCTAGAAGAGGCACGGTGAACAACTGGAATGATCTCCCATGTTCATGGAAGTTTAAATGTATTTGTGAGAAATAGTTTTAATATAGTCTTGTCATGCTTTTACTTCTATCTTATCTCATTTTGATCACATAATTCATTATAAAGTGTTCTGTCTTTTAAAACTGACAGTTTATTTCATCATGAAACACTTTATTGGATGTGTTCATGTCTTGCTCCATCACAAGCAGCTCTATATTAATATGTCCGTGGTTATCGTGGTGAGTGTTAGTCAGAAATTATGAGGTAAAAATCAGTTTACAGAAGTGTTAAGTCTCCCTGCTTGCCCTGAATCAGCCTATTATTCTGATATTGAGTGTATGCGAAGCTGTTTTTGAATGGCTTATGTTTTAATAAAATGTTAAAATGCCTCTTATCACTGCATTTTTGTTTTTATTTCATATTGAATTGTTGTGTAGGATCTGCTTTATTGTGCTAGAGACTTCTCCAGTCCAGCAGGGCGCAATGAAGAGCAGATTCATCCCACTGAAGTGATCAGAGAGGAAGAAAAACACAACAGATCCACAGCACTTGCTGCTTCTGTCATTCGGTGTGTGTTTGCTGCATCTAGAGACGCTTTTCTCTCAGGATCCTGGGGAAAGGACGGGTTTTGGTTCTTTCATTTGGTTGTTTGAAACCATGTTCATGCAAATCCTGCATTAAATGATATGTACAAGATGTTCCAGCAATAATGTATGATGCATGGCGATTAGTTTAAAAAGAGAACTAATAACCTCACCAAGAGAAACCCTGCTTCTTCTACTTCACCTGACGCAGTTGAGAGGTCCTTTGTGGAAAAACCCCGAGCCTGCTTTCACACTCCCGCTGGATTTACTTCAGACGCCTCGGTGATTTTAGGAGGATCTCTTCCGTAAACACAAGGCCGATTTCTGTGCATCAAACCCTGTGAACCATCATGGCCAAAGTGCAGGTGCTCAACGTGGCTGTTCTGGATAACCCCAGTCCGTTTGGAAACCCGTTTCAGTTCGAGATCACGTTTGAATGCATGGAGGACCTACCTGAAGGTTAGAGATTTCACAAATCAACACCATTTAAACACGAACTTGGTAATTACTGTATAGTCGAATACTTTAAAAGCATTTTTGCAGAATCAATATAAATTAAACGGGAAGAATAATCCGAATTGTCGTGGTGTTTTTTTTTTTTACGCGGGAAAAGTCTTATTGTCAGTTGTTAATGTTCACGCGCTTAATATTTTGGCGCCGGCGGGGAGTTCCATGACAGCGCGAGGCCGCCCCTCCTTCGCTGATTGGTCTGATGGTAGACCCAATGTATTTTTGCTGGCCTTGATTGGTTGGAAGTTATGACGCCACGTGTCCGGAAGCGCTATGAAGATTTGCGAGTTTAGCTTTATGATTCATGTACCAGAAATGTTAAATTCGGTTCTATTACTGAAATACATTTGTTTTATTTTCCTAACACAGAGGCATAACCGAGACGCATTATATTTAGCTTTTATTTGTTTGGTAAAGTGATATCCATATGCAAAATTAAACGTAACGTTGTAAATTATATCATTTTTTTTTCGCTGCACTACAGTGATACCTAATTCTTTTTTTATTTTTAACTACATATGCATATACGTATAATGTAATGTTATTATGCCATTATATAATGTTTGTATTTTTTGTAGGTACAATACAAATATTGTGCTGGAATTATGTTGTCTCTTTTTTGTTTGTTTTACATTTTTGCTATTCCTTAATTTTGGAAATTGTTACTTCCCAGCATTTGCATTACCAAAGTTAAAAACAAACAAACAAAAAAAAAAACAGTAGGCTTGTTTTCCACACGGTTTTTCACATAAAAAGAGAAGAAAGCATGTTATTGAATTGTTTTTAGTTACAGCCACCAATTTAACAGTGATTATGATACTTAATGGCCAAATAAAATGCTCTTTAAAAGTTATTTGGCATACATTTTTTTTAGGCAAACCTAAGAATATCAGTTTTTTGATAAGTGAGAAAAGGTTTGTTGTTAACATTAGGGTAAGAAATGTTGTTCTAGATAGAAATACAAAACCTCTAATAATACTGCTGATATCATAACCAAATATGAAACACTATACATATTATGACTACAAAGTCCAATTCATCAAGCATGTAAACTCACATCCTGTGGTAATTATGTACTAAATGCTCAATCTGCTGTATTGTTTTGCTAATCTTGAGTTCATAGTATTGAAAAGACCTTGTGCAAATGATAGATTTGAATATGTTATTTATAATAGTTTATCCCTGGGCTTCTCTCAGATCTCGAGTGGAAGATCATCTACGTGGGCTCTGCAGAGAGCGAGGAGTACGACCAGGTTCTGGACTCGGTTCTGGTCGGCCCGGTTCCTGCAGGAAGACACATGTTTGTGTTTCAGGTGCGCTGACAATCTTCTTCCTGGTTCAGTTTTCAAGTGGTGTTTGTAGATCTCATGTTGTTTAATGAAGGTATCAGAGTGAAGGACATCTTGATTTGATTGACAGGCGGACGCTCCAAACACTGGGCTGATCCCTGAGAGCGATGCGGTGGGCGTGACCGTAGTGCTGATCACATGCACCTATCGGGGACAGGAGTTCATTCGCATCGGATACTACGTCAACAATGAGTACACAGAGCCCGAGCTACGGGAGAACCCGCCGGTCAAACCCGACTACACACAGGTGAGAGTTTACATTCACACTGAGCTTCACCTGCTAGTGTTACAGCACACACACGCACACAAAAGAGAAAAATTAATGTACACAAACAAAATAGTCAAATTAAGACTAATATAAAGCACTATTTTGATTTTAAATGTCTTAAAGGTTTATTGATTTGCTAATTAATGAGCCATTATCTCAGTATTTATAATCATTAGCTGTGTTTTTATCCAAAGTTGTGAATTTAACTTGCAATGTCGCATGTCCATGATTTTGTTCTCATCACTTATTATGTATGTATATTATGATAATAGTACAATAATATTCACATATGTCGTTTATAGGTGGCATAATGTTTTAGTCCTACATTTACAGCATGAAATAATATTTAAACCTACCATTTTATCACAAATTCTGACATTTTCTTGCAATTGTGAGTTTATATCTCTTAATTCAGACTTTATAACTAATTATAACAATTGTGAGTCACAATGAATTTTCAGGAAAATAGTCATAATTGCGTGATTGTCAGAATGTGTGACTTGTGGACGTGCCGGAACAACGCACTGAAAAAGGCAACTAAACCCAATCAATTCACAACCATTTAATAAAATAGTGTTCTCATGTTATGTAATATGACATTCCCATATTAACCATCGTTATTATTAGTCGTGCACTCTGCTTGAGCGGCGCGCGCTGAATGAATAACCGTTGAGCACTTTGTTAGCGTTTATTTAACTCAAAGAAACACATCCTATTTGATAGTAATCAGATATATACAAAATAAACATAATATTACAAAATGATGAATGCACAAGTTGCTCTTCCTGGAACAACGCAACGTGGCATCTAAACCCAAATAATTCACAATGTTTTATTACAATATTGTTCTCTTTATAATCTTGTGTAATATGACAGTCCCAAATTCCCAATAGTCATTATTAACCGCACGTCGTCGTTTGAGCGGCGCGTGCTAAAGATCACGTCAATTCTTAACCAAATGCATCCAATATGAGATAAATCGGATATAGATGGGCGTACACAAAATAAATTTATTACAACTATTACAACTTACATTTGCACAGAACAAAAGGCTGCGAACGCTCACGCAAACTTATAGTCGTGATGAAGGTGTAAAATAGTCCCAAACAACTCCGGTGTGTGTCAACACTTCTCCACACCAGCGCGCTCGCATGATCCTGCTAAGTTTCATCAATTAAATGCAATTGAAATCATACAATTTATCGACCGTTGATTAATCGTTGACAATTTACACGCATCAATTGAACGCATACGTTTGATTTATACATTTTTTTTATTCATGTGAATCTTGGCATTTCAATCCTGCATTTTCTTTTTTTAAATATAGATTTTTACACGAAATTTCCAAATGCGCACAAAATAGTTGGGTAAAAAATAAAATTAACTGCAAAAAAAAGTATTAAAAAAATTATTAAAGCATACTTTACACACTGGTTTTTACCGAATGAGCAAAACAAATTATTATAATGAATTATATTCATCAATATAAAAATAAATATAGATATTATTAATATATTTATGTTGAAATTATGGCGTTTCACAGGAATATGGGAAGCTGGAATACAGATGTGCGTTTATACGAGAAGACTCATTAGCTCTCGTACACATGATGCATGTTATACGTTGAGGGTGTGTGTGTCACACAGATCTGCTGTGTGTGAAGTGTGGTGATGCGGTCAGATCAAAGAGGCAGGTGTCTGCCGTTTATAGCCCAGCGTCGCTTATCATTCATTCTGCTGAACCGTTGCGGATCGCTGCCATTGTGCGTGATGCTCCCGAATCCCATATTTCCATCAATCCCATTCTGTCTGAGATTCTTAAACAATTCAATGAATATGTAAAACTCATCTGACGCATAAAACAGACACCACTACTGAGATAATAATATATTGGTAACGGTTTACAATTAGGTTTCCATTAGTTAAAGGGATCATGACATGGATTTTTGTAAATTATTTTAATATGTTCCTTGAGGTGTACTTAACAATGTAAGTTTTTGTACAAAAAAAAACCCAAACAAATTTATAAAAACAGAAATGATCAGTTTTTAAAGCCTTTAATGGTGCGAATAGCGCGTCAGACGGGAGTGATTTCAATGTTAAGTCAATGAAAGACGCGTTACGCGTGTAAAAAAATTTTGCGACGCGAATGAGGCATAGAGCGCAGTGCGGTAGATGCGAATACGCCTCATTCGCGCGTCAAGTTCGCGCGAATTGAACATTAACCCAAGAGGTTTTAGTGTAACGTTAACTAGTTGGACTTTATTGTAAAGTGTTATTAATATATTACATTTTAAGGAATAATGCTGGCAAATCATAATTCCTTTTGATGTTTCATCTTTTTATTTTTGTGCCGATCCGCAGCTTCAAAGGAACATCTTGGCGTCGAACCCTCGGGTGACCCGTTTCCACATTAACTGGGAAGCAACGATGGACAAGATGGAAGATTCAGAGAATGTAGACCCCGCCCCCAACGCCATGCTCCCGCCCACTTCCATGCCCGGCAAAGCCCCGCCCCTCGGACTCATGCCCGACAACTCCATGGACTGCTTATAGGACTGACACGCAACAACAACCTCATTCATAGAGTAATAAATGTGTTGTCTTGTATTTAAACTCCTACATGTTCTCTCAGTTGTGATTGGACACAGTCAGGGACTTTTCAGGCCTTTTCTTGCACTTCCTGTCTGGAGCAGCAGGAGGCGGAGCCTACAGCAGGGGGCGGAGCCTGCAGCACCAGCAGACATGGACTGTTTTCTTCAGGTTCAGGTCATCAAAACATGATCCAGTCACATTTATCGGTGCAGTTAAATAAATCAACCATATTCACCTTAAATAAGAAACATTTTTTCTTTTAATTCCGGAGTGAAACGTGACTGACGTGTTTTTGTGAGATTCACTGATCAGAAATCAGCAACGTTTCTGGGAGTGTATTTCTCGGATGCGTTCGGAACTCCTCACAAATCCGACTGGGTTTCTGTTTGGTTGGAGTGAGAGTATTTAGAGGAGTGTTTGGGTTTTAATGTAAAAGCCTGGTTTATATTGGTACTTTTTCTTCCCATGTGATTTCTGTTTATGAAAAGTGTTCGCCTGAATAAATATTAACTTTTGTCTTTGTAAAGCGGTCTTTGGTTTTCTCTCCATCATCACGCTCTTCCACACCCTGTGTGTGTGTGTGTGTGTGTGTGTGTGTGTGTTTATGATGTTGCTAGGCAACCGCTATTAGAGATGGCACTTTGGGCTGCTCCACCTTTGATCCACGCATCACATCAGACAACTACTCTTCCTTTCATCCCTCCATCCCTCCCTCTATTCTCTGTCCTCTGATGTGTGTGTGGAAATGTGCAGTCTGTGGACGAGAGGCAGGCGACGCCGACATCATGATGTGCATTCAGGAATTCATATTTACCACATGAGCAGAAACTTGTAAAGCTTTGGGAAATACTTTTTGCTTTGTTTAAAAAAAAATCAGGGTATCTACAGTATATATAAAATTTAGGGTATACTGTATATATATATATGTATATGTATAAATGTTTTTCCCATTTTATTAGAAGTTAAGGTTTTACTTTAAGGTTTTAGTAAAAAAAATAAATTCTTTTGAATATGTCTATAGTATTTATTTATTGTAGTTTCGGTTATAGTAGAGCATCAAGTTAAACTAAATAAAAATGAGAAAAGTAGCTGACGTCACACACAACTTTGCCAATCAGATCAACGTGTGATCGTCAACCAGTGGATCTAAGCTGAGAGAGTGAGTGGAGACGGGGCTCATTTGCATATTCATAGAACAGCGTATACTAAATGAGGCAAGGGTGTCAAGTTACGTTCAAGATTTAAGACATGATGATTTTATTTTCAAGGAAAAAAACGTTAAAATAACTTCATACGTTATACTAAATAACTAAGTCCATGTTCCCAGGACAACAACAGTGAAAATGTTCAACATACAGTCAAAGCGAAATTTACACCTTCAATTCTTGTATTATTAAAGTTTATTCGCTATAGTTTAGAAAATTGTAATAAAATATGAGCAGAACTATTGAATCAGTTTATATTTGACTGGTTTTGTCCGTCCTTGACTCTCACACATGAATATCTGTCAGCTGTTAAATTTAACTAAACTATTCGATAATTTCAGTTTAGCTTCAACCAGTGACCAAGCAATGCGAATGTTGTTGTTCAGTCTGTGGTGTAGACAAAAACATTCAAGAAAAATATGTTCAGGTCAAAGTGTCTGAATAATTTTTGGGCCCAAATGTGTATACATTTTTTACTGGTAGTCACAGTTTACTTTATTCAGCTCTCCTTACATAAATGAACTAGTGTCCTGCACTACACTAACAAGTATCAACAATTATATTTGGTGTCTGAATATATATATATATATATTTTTATAGCTGATTTTTGTATATTTAAGTTTCATATTATATATTTTAAGCTTTATATTTCTTACAGTTCAAAATATTGCGGCAGTGACACATGTCCTTTTATTGGACCCAATATGTGTTAAATGATTGGCATCGTTTTTTTCCCCAGGACAACAACAGTGAAAATGTTCAATACATGTATTTTATAAAACAGTGAACATTTAATCGACTCAATACCATCATTCATAAAGTCCCGTCCATTTTAATAAACATAAAAAAGGGACAGGTCTCTTTCTACGTTGGCTAATCACAACTCACAACAGCTTGATTAATGCCTGTCAATCACTCCACACATCTGTCCGCCTGGCCAATGGGCTGAGCCTTGGGCGGGGCTCAGTCCGTGTGGGCGGAGTCTGTGTCGATGGCTACGGGAAGCGCAGCTGCATGAACGATCATCTCACCGATCCTGCGTCCGTGTTTTTCACCCGCGATTCCCGGAACACGGAACACCCCGCGGGGCGACGAGCGAGCAAGTGAGGGATTGCGGGGCCGCGGAGGTGCGGCGGAGAGCCAAGCCAGGAAAGGACGCCCGAGTCCGGGTTGATGCTGGCGGCCCGTCCGCCCTTTAAACACGGATGCTGCTGCGTTCATAAGCGATCGCCGTTTATCCGCGAACACATCGGACGCGTTAACGTCCACTATTTTCACTCTCAAAGCCGATCGGCAGGCGTCAATCGCACGAACGGACCGTGAAAGCCGAGGCGCGGCAGGAGCATCATCTTCCTGCGGGTCTCCAGCGCCTGACAGGCCCGGAGACATGGGCAACACGCCGGCCGCCAAACGGGGAAACGAGATGGAAAGCGGTGAGTGTCTTTAAAGCTTTCCAATCATTCTGTTTAGTCATGATCGATCATGGCGATCGGTTTCATCATCAGATGCTCAGATTCCTCGGGAATATATTCGTGCATGTGTGAAGCTTCAGCAAAGAGAGAGAGAGAGAGAGAGAGAGAGAGAGAGAGAGAGAGAGAGAGAGAGAGAGAGAGAGAGAGAGAGAGAGATGCTGATGCTGTCATGGCGATTCCTGGCTCAAACAATGTGTTGATGCTTTAATAAGCGCTTCGTTTGGGATTTTTGTGTGTGTATGTGTATTCTGTACTTGGTATATAACATATCAAGAATGTTTATTCGACAGATAAGACTCTATATGTTTGTATTTGATGGGTCCAGATGTGTACAATGTGTACAACCCCTTATATTCAGGGGTCCACGTATCAAAATTTGATATTTATTGACATCTATGATGGTTACGGCCCTGCTGGTTCAAATGTTTAACCCTGGGTTATGACACGGGTCATACTAACCCTGGTTTAGCCTAGAAAGTAGGTTGTCAGATTTTAAGATTTCACACTTTACACATGTAGGCTAAAACCCATCAGGGTATGATCATTATTTGCTTATTTACATTGTTACATCTTTAAGTCTTTCTAGTTTTGAAATCTAATAAAAATTGTTGACGGCATCATCTTGCATTTTTTTTTTTTGTCCAATAAAAGGCCCTCTGAAATGATCCCATCACGGCTCGCAGCTGTGACGTGAACCAGAGGATACTGGCTAGTGATGTTAATGAATACATATTCGCTAAAGCCCTCGATATGTCCCACCAAACCTTCCTGTTTCAGTGTGAAATGTCAAAACGGGAACAAAAACCGCTCAGCCGTTTCCCTCGATGCTGACGCTTGAGAGTTTCTGTGACTGTACAAAATGAATTCATGTTTTTTTGAGGCAGGACTTATTTGATGATTGGTTTGTCTTTTGTGAAACAACTCAATGTAATGCAAAAATTGCTGCTGTTAACCCCTGTTCATACAAGTGTGAAACATTGCTTAACCAAGTGTCCTTTCACCCAAAAATGAAAATTATCCAATAATGTACCCTCCCCAGAGCCATCCTAGGTGTATATGACTTTCTTCTTTCAGCCAAACACAATTAGAGTTCCATTAAAACATATCCTGGCTCTTCCCAGCTTTATAATGGCAGTGAATGGGACCTGGTTTTCGTAAAAGTGCATCCATCCATCATAAAAGAGTTCCATACAACTCCCTGAGATAATGAAGGCCTTCTGAAGCCAAGCCATGTGTTTGTGTAAGAAAAATATCCATATTTAAACTTTATAATCTATAATCACTGGCTTCCGTTAACGGCCGTACGCGAGTTCCGGCGGACGAGTGACCTCTGAGCCGACGAGTGACCTCTGACCTGACGAGTGACCTCTGACCTGAAGAGTGACCTCTGACCTGACACATGACGTATTGGCGAGGATAAGGATCGAGCAAAGCAAAACACCGGTCATGAATTAGAAGTCTAAAACAAGAGAATTTGAGAGAAATGTGGGAGGAGCTAAAGTTTGTTTGAACCGCGAAAGGCGTCTATTCTCACTCTTCTACATTCTATGTCAGAGGTCACTTTTCAGGTCAGAGGTCACTCTTCATGTAGCTATCCATAATAAAGGCTAGATGTCTTATGGCGGAGTCTCTGTCGTCATCACCGGCGGCCATCTTACCACAGGCAAGCTTTCTGGCGGGCTCTGTGGTTCCTGATGTAAGATGAGTGATCAGCACAAACACACTCTTATCTCGTAGAAATCTTGACGGATTTACAAACGGTTTGGTTTTTTCAAACAAACGGTTTGGTCACTCGTTGGGTCAGAGGTCACTCTTCCGCCGGAACAAGACTCGCATACAGCCGTTAACGGAAGCCAGTGATTATAGTTTATAAAGTTATAAATATGGATATATTTCTCCGTCTCGTAAGGAGTTTATGAACCCCCTGGAGATGTATGGATTACTTTTATGATGGATGGATGCACTTTTATGGGTTCGAAATCTAAGGTACCATTCATTCCAATTATAAAGCTTGGAAGAGCCAGGACCATTTTTAATATAACTCAGTGTTCGTCTGAAAGAAGAATGTCATGTACACCTAGGATGACATCAGGGCGAGTAAATCATGGGCTAATTTCAAATTTTGGGTAAACTAATCCTTTAAAGGGATACTTCACTTTTTTTGGGGAAATAGGCTCATTCTACAACTCCCCCAGAGTTAAAACTGTTGAGTTTTACCGTTTTTGAATTCATTCAGCTGATCTCCGGTTCTGGCGGTACCACTTTTAGCATAGCTTAGCATACATCATTGAAGTGCACTAGACCATTAGCATTTCTCAAAAAAAAAATTACCAAAGCGTTTAGATATTTTTCCTATTTAAAACTTGACTCTTCTGTAGTTACATCGTGCACTAAGACCGATAGAAAATGGAAAGTTGCGTTTTTTTTCTAAGCTGATATAGGAACTATACTCTCATTCCTGCGTAATAATCAAGACCCTTTAGTGCCTGAAAATAGTCCCCAGCTTCCAACGTGACTGGGACTGGGAAGTTTGTGTAGTCATTACGCCTGCTGCACTGAGAGTTTGTGGTTTTTATGTGTGCTGAAAAGAACATGGCTTGGGAAAAGAGGCTAACTTGGCATGACGATTGTGCAAATAGGGCTTGAGGAAAGTAGTTTGACATTTTAGCGTCATGTTGCGTTGATCAATACACCATTTCATGTTGCATATCGATTGGTGTCGTAGCAGCAAACACTGAAAATGATCGTAGACTATCTTTGGTCGCAAGACCGTCTTTGAACGCTTCACATTGTACGATGCAGAACCACCACAGAAATTTCCACGACTGGCCACCTTTCGTCTGGGACAGCCCAAAACCACAGTGTGTAGCGGGCGTAACTCCCATTAGCAAAACTCTGCTGCCTTGAACACACTGTTCTTCCCCGCTGGCTTACTGTAGGCTTGTTGTGCTATTCAACTTGCAATTTGTCTTTTTGCTTACTTTATATCTTTCTGCGATATTTAGTTTGTGGGAAAATCTGCGGAATGGATTTTGAAGCTGAAAGGTTAAACTGGATTCACTTTTATTTAGGGCTGTCAAACGATTAATTTTTTTAATCGCAATTAATCGCAGAAGCTTCATAGTTAACTGCGATTAATCGCGTTTTTTTTTTTTTTGCATGTGTAAAATTCGGTTATTTTGCAAATCAAGACAGTTCTAAGCCCATAATGTAGTATATCTTACCAGAGTTTTCATTGGGAATCAAAAGAACACATACAATTTCCTTTTTGAACATTTTTTATTTAAAAAAAGTGCAATGTAGACCAACTTCCAAATATTAGGAGGAATAAAGTAACGCAGTGCTTACTTTGAGAGATGACATTTATCAGGCCACTCTCTTAACCTACTTCAAAAATAAACAATAACATTATTAGCAAAACGATTCCTAGCAATAACAGCAATCAAGTGATATTTAACACTAGTAGTAAATTCGATCGCTGTGGTTAACTTATTTTCATCCAAGGGTCTGCTGCGACGCCCACACTCAGGAATAGTTCTGTGGCGAGGCTGCGGCTTGCTTGGCCGGGAAGCGTCAAATGAAACACCGGGGTGTTTGGCCTGGAGGTGGTAACTTAGACTTGACGTGCTCCGATGGTAGCTGAACTCCTTGAAACAAATGCTGCATTGTACCTTAGTGTTGTCAACGGAACCGTCTGATTTTTTTTAAAAGTTAAACAGGCTGTTTAAAAATCCGGTCGTACTTTTTCTATCCATCACTTTTTACCGCTTCACAAACCAAAGGGGCTGACTACGGGCTAGCCAAAGGGACAAAAACGCTTTCCTTGAAATGCGATTAAAAAAAATAACGCGTTATGGATTGTTTTTAACTAATCGCGATTAATGCATTAACGCTGACAGCCCTACTTTTATTGTAAGCTGAAGTTGAATCAACTTTTTTGCATTGCTGAATTTGCCAAGTTATCAATATCCATTCAACTTATTCAAATTCAACACATTAAGCTTTTTTTGGCTTGTATTTGTAAGTAGTAAGGTCCGAGAGGCTGCTGTATTGTGAGTAAGTAATGACTGAAGGGCGTTGTTAGCCTCGACGCAAAGCATAGTAACCCCTTCAGCCGTCACTTATTCACGAGACAGCACTTGCCTCAGTACCTTATTGCTTTTATAAAACGGTTACCACACAATAAAAATATTAAAGTAAAAAAAAATATGTATTAGTGCAACATTCATGAAGTAAAATCACTAAAAGCCTTCCTTCCGCTAGAGAAAAAATAGTCCCTGACCGTGAACAGCAACAACGTTGCAATGTGTAATATGCATGAAAGCTCAAATAAACACAACATAGCAACTGCAGTGTCGCGCAGTGATACACAGAACCGTTGGGTGAAGTGGTCGTAGCCGAGTTTCATCATGAATAAAGCATAGCTATTGACCAATCAGAATCAAGGATTGGAACTAACCGTTTTTTAATAAATTTTTAGCGAGAACGTGAAGTAAAAACACCTCGATTTTATTCAAAGGTCCAAAACTACTATTACTACTATTTATATGGCCAAAAAAGTACATTTTAATGTAAATACTTGCAAAAAAATGTATATAAACATTAGTTGTCGCTGTATCTCCCAATAATAGTAAGATTAATATTTAAATGTATCGTTTTATGATCAAAACTCAGTAGTTTTTATTGTGGAGGCAAAATAATGAAATACAATGACGATTTAGATAAGCCTGATGATCATATTTGATGGCTCACATTTTGATGAATGGATAATCAATAAGTTGCTTTAGTCCAGTAAGTGTTCGTCTTTTAATATTACTAACAATATAAACGTTAGTCTTACATTCACTTTATACAAATCATTAACCTTTTAAAATGATACTTTTACTAGCTAAAAAAGTATAATCTGTCAATCAGTAGATTGTGTGCGACGGGTTTTGATCATTTAGTGGCATTAGAAATCAAACATGACGTTGCTTCTTGTAATGTTGAGTGTGTTTTCCGTCTCTTCCCACAGTTAAAGAGTTTCTGGCCTTCGCCAAAGAAGATTTCCTCAGGAAATGGGAGAATCCGGCACAGGTGAGAGGATATAAAGCTAATGTGAATTCAGAATTCAGTTAATGTGAGGCAAGTTTGTAAAGGTGTTTTCTGTTTATAACTGAGGCCAGTTTGTCTGAAACATATGGAAGCTTGTTTCCGCCACAGAATAAAACATTTTAAAAGGTAATTGCGACTTTTTACCTCACTATTGCGAGTTTATATTTCACAATTCTGACATCTTTCCTCAGAAATATTAGAAATAAACTCGCAATTGCGAAAGACTGACTTTTTTCCTCAGAATCGTGAGTTTATATCTCAATTTTGGCTTTATATCTCCAAATTGCGTGTTATAAAGTCAGACTTACGAGATATAAACATGTAATTCTGAGAAATAAGATAAAAAGTCACAATTATTTTTTAAAATGTTTTATTCTCTATAACACAGAACTGTGACTTTATATCACAGAATTTTGAATATATGACTCACAATTGTGTGTTTTTATCTCACAATTATGATCCTTTTTCTCACAACTGCAACTTTATATCACTTTATATTAGGGCTGTCAAACAATTAATCGCGATTAATCCCATCTAAAATAAAAGTTTGTGTTTACATAATTTATGTGGGTGCACTGTGTATAATTATTTTATATATAAATACACACACATGCATGTATATTATTTAAGAAATATTTTCATGTATATACTGTATATAGATTTATATATAATTTAATAAATATAAATATTTTATATATAAATAATATTTTTTTCTTAAATATAAATGCATGTGTGTGTGTGTGTGTGTGTGTATATATATATATACATACATACATATAATTATGCACAGTGCACCCACATATATTATGTAAACACAAACTTTTAATTTGGATGCGATTAATCGCGATTAATCATTTTATACTTTATATAGATGTAAACTTACAACTGAAAAAAAAACTTTTTTTAACTTTTTAATGTGAAATAAGGTCTGATGTCGTTCTGATTAATGGGATAGAGTAATTTAGCATCGGTGATAACTGCACATAAACATGCTAAAGCCCGGTGGCGTGTGTCCGCAGAACACGGCAGGCCTGGAGGACTTCGAGCGGCTGAAGACTCTGGGCACCGGCTCGTTCGGCCGCGTGATGCTGGTCAGACACCGAGAGACCGGCCAGCACTACGCCATGAAGATCCTCAACAAACAGAAGGTGAGCGAGGCGTACACACGGACGCTGTAATGCAGAGTTCACACACCATGTTCACAGTAGTCGGGTCAGTGTCCAATTCTGTACGACTATCTGGTGTATCATTCTACAGGATTTTACGTCTGATTTGCCAGTTAACGAACTCGCCGACGGGTCAGGCTGTAATCGCATGCAAAACGCGTGTAATCGCCAATCTTTATGTGTGAAATACTAAACGATGCTTAAAAAACGATCACTGACGCCAGACAATTAGAACGCTAATATCTGGAGCTGCCGGCCGACTCGATAGCCTGTGGGGTCGCGACGAGATCAGCTTGTTATCACAGTATACAGGCCTTTTGTATTTGTAACCATCGTTTCCGAACCACAACACTGCTTTTTCATTATAAACATGTTTTACTCTCAGTCCCTGCTGCCCGCGTGTGCTATCCATCCTTTCACCCATATTCTGTATTGTTTTTTTTTCTGGGTTTCTAAACAGATCATTGTGCAAATAACTTTTTTTTTGGTACTTTCCTGTTATCCGGACCCCACGATGGGCTACCCCTAACCCCGCCCTATACCTAACCGTCACTGGGGTTAAGACCAATCAGGGACGATGGCCTACCCTTAACCCCACCCCTAAACCTAACCGTCACTGGGGTTAAGACCAATCAGGGACGATGGCCTACCCCTAACCCCGCCCCTAAACCTAACCGTCACTGGGGTTAAGACCAATCAGGGACGATGGCCTACCCCTAACCCCGCCCCTAAACCTAACCGTCACTGGGGTTAAGACCAATCAGGGACGATGGCCTACCCCTAACCCCACCCCTAAACCTAACCGTCACTGGGGTTAAGACCAATCAGGGATGACTAGTTCCGAAATGGTATATGGTGGGGTCCGGATAACAGGATAGTACCTTTTTTTTCAAACTTTTTTTCAACCGCCAATTTTGTCTCAGCGACCATATTCAAATAAACACCTATTTCGCGGCATTTCCCGTTCAACTTCTCGCACATGTTTTCGTGACAAAACGTGGTTTGGGGACCGGATCGAGTTGTTGGGTGACAGGGTTGTTGTCCGCTCGTGTAGTGTGTGTGTCCCCATAGATATCCATAATAAAGCCTAGAAGTCTTACGGTGTAGTCTCTATGGTCATCACCGGCGGCCATCTTGTCACAGGCAAGCTTTCTGGCTCTGTGGTTCCTGATGTAAGATGCGTGATCAGCACAAACACACTCTTAAGGCCTCTTCACACTGGGACGGTGATATTTGCCGACGTTTAACGCCTTGTGACTAAACAAAGGGCGGCAATGTGAGTGTGCACACCGACGCGAAAAACGGCACGCGCAAAAGCGTCATTTAGAAAAGAAAAAAAAAACGCCTCGGGTTCGTTTTTTTGGTTTGACGCGCCGCGTTAAAAACTATCCAACCAATGAGATTGCCGCTTTTGCTCACGTGTGTGGAGCTTCTGAAGTTACAGTAAAACACAACTTGGGGGCGCTAAAACACAAAAGCTGATTTTTGATATTTGGAAAAATGTGTAATTTAATTGTTTAGTGCCGTTGAATAACACAGGGAGGCGGGGTTTATGAGCTATACTAGGACCGGCCACCGGGGGGCGATCGAGGCGTTTCGGCTTCACTTTTCAGGGCTTGGGGATTTCAGCATTTGTCGGCGATCTCCCCAAACCTGTCGGCGATGCGTTTAGTAACACTGTGTGTGTCTTCAGGTGGTGAAGCTGAAGCAGATCGAACACACACTAAACGAGAAGAGGATCCTGCAGGCCGTCAGCTTCCCCTTCCTCGTGCGCCTGGAGTACTCCTTCAAGGTGAGGATCGCTCAGGACATGATAACCGGATGATGGCGCGTGTAATGACGTGTGTGTGTGTGTGTTGCAGGACAACACTAATCTCTACATGGTGATGCAGTACGTTCAGGGAGGGGAGATGTTCTCACACCTGCGCAGAATCGGCAGATTCAGGTGAAGATCTGTTCATTCCTGAGGGGAAATGGGCCATTGGTTGTTTCTATGGGGTCGCCGGCCAAAAGTATAGATTTACTTATTGTAGAGTTTAAGGAAAGATATCACGAGTGTTGTAATGTTAAATGTCAGTAAGATTTTAAAGTGAGCTGTTCATTCATAAATCCGTAAGATCTTTCCTTCAGGCTGTGGAAACACAAACCGGGAGATGCAGAAAAGGGGCGGAGCTACAGAAGCTCTTAAAGGGCCAGTTCACCCAAAAATGAAAATTCTGTCATAATTTACTCGTGTCGTAACAAACCTGTTCTAACAAACCACAAAATATATTTTGAACATTATGGGTACTCAAACCATTGACTTCCATAGTAGGAATAAAAAGTCAATGGTTGCTGTAAACTGTTTGGTTACCCACATTCTTCAAAATATCTTCTTTTTGTGTTTTATATTTTGGGTGAACGATCCCTTTAAAGTCCCTCTGTAGTCAATCATTTTATCCCTTAATACTCATGTTTGATCACCGAAATTACATAAAAAGTTTTTTTCTGTAAAAAAATTGTTTTCATGCCTTAAAATATCTTGAATGTAACTTGACACCCTTGCCTCATTTAATATGCACGATTCTATGATTATGCAAATGAGCTCCACTAACTCACTCAGAGCTCCACTGGTTGGCGATCACACGTTGATCTGATTGGTTACAAGGTTGTTTGTGACGTCAGAAACACCAGCGATTCCAAACCGTGTTTTTGAGACTGTCTTTGGTTCACTGCAGTTTTAAGCAATGCTGTCCACTTATGAATTTACACACAGTGTGTCTTAAAACGTATTAATAACACCACAGAGACATATAAACAACATTAAAAGTGGATTATTTTCATTTAAAATAAGTATTTGCTTCGGATTTATGCTTACTATTATCATCATTTTAAAAATCTCCTCTAATACAAAAGATTTAAAAACAACCCACATTTTAGAACAATTTTCAAATACATTATTGGTGTTTTTCCGTCACTATCTGGTTCAGTTCAATCTTAAAAATCACAATGTCAGGCATTTAAGCAAAGCCTTTAAATCAAACTGTTTTAAGGTTGATGACAAGTGTGTGTAAACCTCGTAGTTCACATGTGCAATTACAAAAGAACAAATGCTCAGAATGAAAACTGGTCATATTTATATTTATTTTAACTCAGATTGAATTGCATGTGTGTAAATGAGAACAAAACAAAAAACAAAACAAAAAAACACAGAAATTTGAGATTAAATGTTTACTTTTTTTGTTAGCAATAGCATCTGTTTTTGGCCTCTTTAAAATGAGACTCCAAATGCTAAATGTGATCTGACCTACATCTAAAAAAAGCATGTATGGTTCCGTGAAGAAACTTTCACAACTGTTCCGTTGAACAAACGGTTCTTTACAGTGGAAAATGATTCTTTAGATTCTTCACATTAAGAAAGAACTCTTCACTGAAAGGTTCTATGAGGAACTAAAAACGGTTGTGGAACATGTGTCTATGACATCACCAGCAAACATATGGAACCTTTATTTTGAAGTCGGTTTCAGTTTAACTTGTATGTTTTTTAATCCTCATAAAAGTTGGCCAAAAAATTAGACGTCATTTTATCAACAATAGATTGTTATGTAACAGTCGCCCCGGCAATCTGCATGTTTGTGCTTGATTTCTTTGGCTTTAACTCGAGTTCGTCTAGCTAAATATAGAGGATAAAACAACTTTGTGTTTAAAGAACCAAACGAGGACTTCCGGTGAACCTCGAGGATATCTGACTGAAAGCTATGCTAATGAGAGATTTATTAGTGGTTTGCAGTGACATTGTGTCCAAATGCAGTAAATGACTGATGAGGTTCAGTCCATCTGTTTTATTCCGGCTGATGCCTTTATGTAACGGTGTGTTTTCTTCCGGGCGTTTGCTCTCTCTCTCTCTCCGCAGTGAACCCCATGCACGCTTTTATGCTTCACAAATAGTTTTGACGTTTGAGTATCTGCATGCCCTTGACCTGATCTACAGAGACCTTAAACCAGAGAACCTCCTCATCGATCAGCAGGGATACATCCAGGTAAACACACACACACAACACTTCAAAGTCAAGATACACTCATATTTATGACTTAGTAAAAACACATTTAAAAATAAGACTTCTCTCATTTGCCAATGCGACTGCCACAGTTTTGTCTGTTTTCACTCAGAGATAAAAAAAAACTCTAGATTAAACTGAACAAATGTTGTGTTGGATGAAGCGAAACATAAAATTAATTAATATTAGGGCTGTGCAAATATTACTTGCGATTAATCACATCCAAAATAAAGGTTTGTTTACACAAAATATGTGTGTGCACTGTGTATAATTATTTTGTATATATAAATATACACACATATGCATGTATATATTTAAGAAAATGTGTTATTCATATATAAAATATTTATATTTATATATAATATAGATTATGTATTTATATAAATACAGTATTTACATGCAATAATTCTTAAAAATATACATGCACTCATTTGTATTATACAAAATAATTATACACAGCACACACACACACACATATATATTATGTAAAAACAAAGTTTTATTTTGGATGCGATTAATCGCAATTAATCTTTAATTTATATTATATTTGATATTTATATTTAATATCATATAATATGTAGTCAGAATCTGAAATTAATATGAAACACTTTGGACTCCCAGTCTTAAATTTCTTTATTAGTATGGATAATAACCTAATTTGTAATATTTATCGTTACTTTATAAAGAAAACATCAACATTTGTGACCTGATGCATAAGTATCTTTCTCTTAATATTGTGTCCTTTTGGAAAATATTTTATGATCAAGCACAGATTATGACAAATTCTGCATTAGATGAACAGAAACATATTTAAGTAAATGTGATTTTTCCTGTAACCGAAAAGTGAGAAGAAAAAAAAAGAAATCAGGTTTGTGTGTGTGTGTGTGTGTGTGAGCTGTGTGGATGTTTCTTCAATCACACACAACTCATGATCTCACCATTACTGCCCTCTTATGGCTAATATGAGAATGCCATGAAAGAAGTGTGTAATAAATCTCAAGTGTGTGTGTGTGTGTTCCAGGTGACAGACTTTGGCTTCGCGAAGCGGGTGAAGGGCCGCACGTGGACGTTGTGTGGGACCCCGGAGTATCTGGCCCCGGAGATCATCCTCAGCAAGGTGATTCCTCACAATGCAACACAAATATAGCACTCGCATTATAATTAATAAAGCGTTTTCATCACCGCGTTCAGCCTGTAGATGCTCTTGTGCTGCACAGCTGCTCCAATCACGTCATCTGTCGGAATAACCTCATTTAATATGCTAATATAATAGACGCTACTGCTCAAAAGTTCGGAAAAGGACATTTATAATTACATTATTCAGTCATTTTTCTATGTTTTTGAAAGAGTCTCTTCTGCTCACCAAGGCTGCATTTATGGTGAAATATTATTACAATTTAAAATAAGTGTTTTCTATGTGAATATATAGTAAAGTGTCATTTATTCCTGTGATAAAGCTGTATTTCAGCATCATTACTCCAGTCTTCAGTGTCACATGATCCTTCAGAAATCACGAATAATGTGCCGAAACATTTCTGATTATCAATGTTGAAGAAAGAACAGCATTTATTTGAAATAAACGTTTTATTTTACTAGGGCTGGGCAACCATTAATCGCGATTAATCCCATCCAAAATAAAAGTTCGTGTTTACATAATAAATGTGTGTGCTGTGTATAATTATTTTGTATATAAAAATTCACACACATGCCTGTATATATTCAAGAATTTTTTTTAATTCATATATAAAATATTAATATTTATATTTAATATAAATTATATATAAATATATATATACAATATATACATGCAAATATTTCTTGAATATATACATGCATGTGTGTGTATTTTATATATACAAAATAATTATACACAGCACACACATATATATTATTTAAACACAAACTTTTATTTTGGATGCGATTAATCATGATTAATCGTTGCCCAGCCCTAGATCACATTTGATCAATTTTAAGCATTTATTGCTAAATAAAATGTTTTTATTTTATTTTAACCCAAACTTTTGAATGGTCGTGTCTCAGATTTTCTGTTTTTTTTTTTAGATCAACTGTTTTCAACATTGATAATAATCAGAAATGTTTCCTGATCCTCATATTATTCATGATTTCTGAAGGATCATGTGACACTGAAGACTGGAGACTGCAGCTTTATCACAGGAGTAAATTAACATGAAGATTTCACAATATTACTGTATATTGATTAAATAAAAGCAGTATTTGTGAAAATTAGAGACAAAAACATATTTCCAACTTATGACCGATTATTCTGAATTATTTCATTTGATCTGTTTGAGTTTTGAATAACTTACATCTGATCTCATCCCTCCTCTACTAGTGTAAATCCTCTTACCATGAATATACGCAGTTGTTGTTCGACTTTACAGTGTTTGATTGTGTGTGTGTTAGGGTTATAATAAGGCGGTGGACTGGTGGGCTCTGGGTGTGTTGATGTACGAGATGGCTGCTGGTTATCCTCCATTTTTCGCCGATCAACCCATTCAGATCTACGAAAAGATTGTCTCAGGAAAGGTAATTTTGCCGAGGCTCGAAAAAACAACAGAATATCCGAGATTCTCGTCTTCAACCTGACCCGCGTGTTTCCTTCCACAGGTACGGTTCCCGTCGCACTTCAGTTCGGACCTGAAGGACCTGTTGAGAAACCTGTTGCAGGTGGACCTCACCAAACGCTTCGGAAACCTTAAAAACGGAGTCAACGACATTAAAGGACACAAGTGGTTCTCCACTACTGACTGGATAGCCATTTACCAGCGGAGGGTGAGAAACACACGCCTTCATCGCTGACCGTACATGACGTACTGGACAGGGTTTGCGTTCACACTACCGTAACGTTCAGGAAAGACATCTGTTGTAATAGTCGCGTTTACGTTACACGTTTGCACAAAACTTGGGCGAAATTTTCTTACGGTTTGCGAAATGACGGCGTTTCTGTTAACTGATGTTATGCGACTAAAACATAATTTTTTCCTCTCACGATAAGTCATGTAAATAATTATGGCGATGGATGTTGTGGGTTTACGTATATCCCAGCCACCGCACTGGCCATTTTTATTTATCCAAGCGTTAAGGGATTGTGGCATTTCTTTATTGTTTAGAATCCAGTATTCCTGTAACTCTTTTGTCTTTTATGAGTTTAATGATAAACTCGTCTTCTGTCAAAACACACTTGCGCCATCTTTAAAGAATGATTTTGCAGTTTCTTTCCATTTCGCAGTTGTGCGAAAAATTCCTTTTTCGAATTGCCATCTTAAGCGTAAAAACATTTGTGCAATATATGGGAGTTTTTGCTAAATTGACGTTTTTATTTCAAATTTCAAAATAATATTACTAGCGTATTTTTTTTTTTACAGTAAAGCATTTGCAGCCAGCAGCCAGTTTTTTACTGTAAACTTTAGTTCAGTGCCGTAAAGACTAAAATATTTCTAACATACTGTATATATACGGTACAGTACTGGCAACCACAGCTGCCAGTTTTTTACCGTAATATTTAGATCCCTGCCGTAAAACCTACAATATTATTACCATATTTTTTACGGTAAATCACTTTAAACACCCTGGCAGTTTTTTACCGTAAACTTTAGTTCAATGCCGTAAAACAGACATGTTTCTACCGTTTTTTTACAGTCAAGGACGGTCAACCACAGCTAGCAGTTTTTTACCGTAAATTTAAGTTCGATGACGTAAAACATAAAAATTGCTACTGTATTTTTTTACGGTAAGTTGTGGTAAATGCAACGGTAAGGTTTTTTTTACAGTGTACTTTCAAAACTTGTACATTTAACAGTTTTTCACGGTATATAATAAGGGTATGTACTGTTAAGCAATTAACATGTATTTTCCGTTGCTTTTTTACTGTATTTTACCGTTGAAATTACGAACATTTTTTAGCGGGAAAAGAACTGCTGTCATGTAAAGATTTAGAAAGTAAGAACAAATAATCAAACTAAACAGCACAAATAAACACACAATAGATGCTTTTTAGTTTTTACATGTAGGTCTAACATTAGTTTTCAGTAACATAAACGGAATAAAGTAATCAAACGTAAAAATAACATTGCATATTTGACTATAAATAAAGATGAAAGATAATTAAAGCTACAAAAGCTATTGAATCCAGAGCAGTGAGTGATTTCCTTGTCTTTTGTTGTTTGATTAACATTAAAAACACAAACCGCTATATAGAATATTAGGCTGCTGTCACTTTAAGACTGAATGCCCGGATCCAGTGATACTGTTACACACGTGTTGTCTTTCTCGACTGTTTATATTCAAGACATAACCAACAACACATATAGAATAAATCTGCTTTTGAAAGAAACTTGGCTTTTCAAATCACGATTGTATCAGTTACATCGTAACATGTGACTGAAAAATGTAAAAAGTTATTTGCTCTGATTTATCTTGTAATGAAACGAAGCAAAGTATTTATGCGTGAGTCATTGAATCATTCACTCAACCCGATTTTCTTTTTAAATAAGGAAGTAAGTAAACCTGCAGCAATTAACATTTTGTCAGAACTTCTAGTTAATTATATTATTTAGTTTAGTTGTCTGTTCAGAATCGTAATCTCTGTTCGAAACAAAAACATTGCTGTGCAGCTAAAATCCGCATATATTTTATGCTTTTTTTCTGTTTATAGATGTAATTTGAACAATAATATATGATCCATGTCAAAAGGGTTAATGAACAGAAACATCAAATATTCGGTGTGATTTTGGTGTTACTCAAAACAAAGGGGAGTGTAAAATATAAGCGAAGAAATACTTTATATTGTAAATATCAAGCATGAAATGTTTAAGATCAGGTAAATCTCTCTCTCTCTCTGTGTTTTGGCAGGTGGAGGCCCCGTTTGTGCCTAAATGCAGAGGGCCCGGGGACACCAGCAACTTCGACGACTACGAGGAAGAGGAGATCCGTGTGTCGTTCACGGAGAAGTGCGCAAAAGAATTTGCCGAATTCTAGAGGAAGAAACTATAGAAATCAGAGCGAGGGATATAGGTGGAGAAAGAGAGAGAGAGAGAGAGGAGAAAAAGTGCATGAATCTTAAAAACCGATCCTTCCTCCTGTAAAACAGCAGAGAAACCAGCGGAAGAGTCCAGAGAAGACCTCCAGGGATAAACAGTGAGGCCTTTATCATCTCCTCTATTTTAATCATGTTTGCAATTTTCTCTCTTTTTTTTTTTTTAAATCTCTGTTCATGTGATATTAACCATGATGGATTCGATAGGGTGTAATTGTTGGCCTGTGGACTGGGATTGTTGTTGCCGCACAAAAAAAAAAAAAAAAAAACAGACTGGATTAGTTAAATCTCTAATCTTGAACAGTTACCACTAAGGTGGAAGTTCTCCACTAGATCACCATAACAACCATACTAAAAAATAGTAGAAAAACTACAAAAAAAAAGAACGATAAAAATATGTATTCCTGTGTAATAACCGAAATATTTTTGGTCCTGTATACTGTCATGTGTTTCTTTATTCTTAAAATGCACTGAAAGGGACGACGAAGTGAAAATGGCATAGAAAAGAAGCCATGATTTCATAATATGAGCACCTCTTTTCTTTTTCTTCTTTCAGCTGTAGGTCCACTGCGCTCTGTAAAATATTCACTGATGAACTTTGAACTTTCACCGTGCCATGAAATCCTACAAGTGTCAATAGTTTGGCTCATCAGTCGTTTCATTGATTCTAGCTGACAGATAGCAGTCGCGGGCGGACCGCGTCGAGGGGATGATTGTTTTCGTTTCGTTTGTTTAGTATTGTTAATACTATAATTGTTACGGTTCTCATTGGGTTATACATTTCTAATACCTGACGAAATCGCACACACACACTGTGCGTGATTGACACGGCGAAGTCTTGAGCCGCCGCATTGCTCTTTCCGTTTTTGCCATTTCTTCCCCCTTCATTCTTCCATTTCTGCATTTTTAAATAGGCAAAGTCTTCTCTCTGAATGGGCATCTGGCTCCTTTTTGGGTGAGAATTTCTTACACGCAACTCTCTAGGCTACAAATATCTCCTCTAAGCTGGAGGTGAACTCAGTGGATACCAGTGCTTACTCCTGAGGACATGGTTCAAGTTAATTGTGATATTTTGCACCACAAGAATCATTCCAATAAAGTATTACTATAAATACCAAACAGGTTTCACGTCCTTTATGTGTAAGTTTTAAGTAAGTTTCACCCTGTCTGCAGCTTCTGTCCTATTTGTCATGCTGTCATACTGAAGTAGGAGTTCTGTCATGAAACTCTAGATGGCACGGACTGATCGGTCCTTAACTCAATCTGCTTGTAATCACATCATTCTCTGTAGGGCCCAGCTGATTGGTTCCTGCTGTATCAGTAGCCGATGATCTCGCTGCTCAACCTTCATACACTGATCAGCATTTGCTGTAACTGTTGCAGGACGCTTTCAGAAACCCTCCGCCTTGCTCCACCTGTATAGATCTGCTACGGGTAATTCATGTATGCTATATTGTAAAGCAAAAGCACGTCTTGCTTGCTCACAGCAGCGTGTTGTGTATGTCTTTGCAGTAGCATACTTGTCCCATACTTGCTCTGCAGCAGCAATAACCAATAATCAATATCATCAGCAATAATCTACAACAACAGAAATAATCTACAACAACAGCAGTAATCAACATCAGCATCAATGAACAATGTCAGCAGCAATAATGAACCACAACAGCAATTACTAACTTCAGCATCAATAACCAACGTCAGCATCAATAACCAACGTCAGCATCAATAGCCAACGTCAGCATCAATAACCAACGTCAGCATCAACGTCAGCAGCAATAACCGACGTCAGCAGCAATGACCAACGTCAGCATCAATAGCCAACGTCAGCATCAATAGCCAACGTCAGCGTCAATAACCAACGTCAGCATCAATAGCCAACGTCAGCGGCAATAACCAACGTCAGCGTCAATAACCAACGTCAGCGTCAATAGCCAACGTCAGCGGCAACAACCAACGTCAGCGTCAATAACGTCAGCAGCAATGACCAGCATCAGCATCAATAACCAATGTCAGCATCAATAACCAGCATCAGCATCAATAACCAGCATCAGCATCAATAACCAACGTCAGCATCAATAACCAGCATCAGCATCAATAACCAACATCAGCATCAATAACCAGCATCAGCATCAATAACCAACATCAGCATCAATAACCAGCATCAGCATCAATAACCAACGTCAGCATCAATAACCAACGTCAGCATCAATAACCAACGTCAGCATCAATAACCAGCATCAGCATCAATAACCAACGTCAGCATCAATAACCAACGTCAGCATCAATAACCAACGTCAGCATCCATCAATAACCAGCATCAGCATCAATAACCAACATCAGCATCAATAACCAGCATCAGCATCAATAACCAACGTCAGCATCAATAACCAACGTCAGCATCAATAACCAACATCAGCATCAATAACCAACATCAGCATCAATAACCAGCATCAGCATCACAACATCAGCATCAATAACCAACGTCAGCGGCAATAGCCAACGTCAGCATCAATAACCAACGTCAGCATCAATAACCAACGTCAGCATCAATAACCAGCGTCAGCATCAATAACCAACGTCAGCATCAATAACCAACGTCAGCATCAATAGCCAACGTCAGCGGCAATAGCCAACGTCAGCATCAATAACCAACATCAGCATCAGTAACCAACGTCAGCATCAAATAACCAGCATCAGCATCAATAACCAACGTCAGCATCAATAACCAGCATCAGCATCAATAACCAACGTCAGCATCAATAACAACGTCAGCATCAATAACCAGCATCAATAACCAACATCAGCATCAATAACCAACGTCAGCATCAATAACCAGCATCAGCATCAATAACCAACGTCAGCATCAATAACCAACGTCAGCATCAATAACCAACGTCAGCATCAATAACCAGCATCAGCATCAATAACCAACGTCAGCATCAATAACCAGCGTCAGCATCAATAACCAACGTCAGCATCAATAACCAACGTCAGCATCAATAACCAGCATCAGCATCAATAACCAACATCAGCATCAATAACCAGCATCAGCATCAATAACCAACGTCAGCATCAATAACCAACGTCAGCATCAATAACCAACATCAGCATCAATAACCAGCATCAGCATCAATCAACAACGTCAGCAGCAATAACCAACGTCAGCATCAATAACCAACGTCAGCAGCAATAACCAACGTCAGCATCAATAACCAACGTCAGCATCAATAACCAACGTCAGCATCAATAACCAGCGTCAGCATCAATAACCAGCATCAGCATCAATAACCAACGTCAGCATCAATAACCAATAACCAACGTCAGCATCAATAACCAACGTCAGCATCAATAACCAGCATCAGCATCAATAACCAACATCAGCATCAATAACCAGCATCAGCATCAATAACCAGCATCAGCATCAATAACCAACGTCAGCATCAATAACCAACATCAGCATCAATAACCAACGTCAGCATCAATAACCAACATCAGCATCAATAACCAACGTCAGCATCAATAACCAGCATCAGCATCAATAACCAACGTCAGCATCAATAAACCAGCATCAGCATCAATAACCAACGTCAGAATCAATAACCAACGTCAGCATCAATAACCAGCATCAGCATCAATAACCAACGTCAGCATCGATAACCAACATCAGCATCGATAACCAGCATCAGCATCAATAACCAACGTCAGAATCAATAACCAACGTCAGCATCAATAACCAGCATCAGCATCAATAACCAACGTCAGCATCGATAACCAACATCAGCATCGATAACCAGCATCAGCATCAATGACCAACGTCAGCAGCAATAACCAGCATCAGCATCAATAACCAACGTCAGCATCAATGACCAACGTCAGCAGCAATAACCAACGTCAGCATCAATAACCAACATCAGCATCAATAACCAGCATCAGCATCAATAACCAACATCAGCATCAATAACCAGCATCAGCATCAATAACCAGCATCAGCATCAATAACCAGCATCAGCATCAATAACCAACGTCAGCATCAATAACCAATAACCAACGTCAGCATCAATAACCAACGTCAGCATCAATAACCAGCATCAGCATCAATAACCAACATCAGCATCAATAACCAGCATCAGCATCAATAACCAGCATCAGCATCAATAACCAACGTCAGCATCAATAACCAACATCAGCATCAATAACCAACGTCAGCATCAATAACCAACATCAGCATCAATAACCAACGTCAGCATCAATAACCAGCATCAGCATCAATAACCAACGTCAGCATCAATAAACCAGCATCAGCATCAATAACCAACGTCAGAATCAATAACCAAAGTCAGCATCAATAACCAGCATCAGCATCAATAACCAACGTCAGCATCGATAACCAACATCAGCATCGATAACCAGCATCAGCATCAATAACCAACGTCAGAATCAATAACCAACGTCAGCATCAATAACCAGCATCAGCATCAATAACCAACGTCAGCATCGATAACCAACATCAGCATCGATAACCAGCATCAGCATCAATGACCAACGTCAGCAGCAATAACCAACGTCAGCATCAATAACCAACGTCAGCATCAATAACCAACGTCAGAATCAATAACCAACGTCAGCATCAATAACCAGCATCAGCATCAATAACCAACGTCAGCATCAATAACCAACGTCAGCATCGATAACCAACATCAGCATCAATAACCAACGTCAGCATCGATAACCAACATCAGCATCAATAACCAACGTCAGCATCGATAACCAACGTCAGCATCAATAACCAACGTCAGCATCAATAACCAACATCAGCATCAATAACCAACGTCAGCATCAATAACCAACGTCAGCATCGATAACCAACATCAGCATCAATAACCAGCATCAGCATCAATAACCAACGTCAGCATCAATAACCAACGTCAGCATCAATAACCAGCATCAGCATCAATAACCAACGTCAGCAACCAGCATCGATAACCAACGTCAGCATCAATAACCAACGTCAGCATCAATAACCAACATCAGCATCAATAACCAACATCAGCATCAATAACCAACATCAGCATCAATAACCAACATCAGCATCAATAACCAACATCAGCATCAATAACCAGCATCAGCATCAATAACCAACATCAGCATCAATAACCAGCATCAGCATCAATAACCAACGTCAGCATCAATAACCAACATCAGCATCAATAACCAGCATCAGCATCAATAACCAACGTCAGCATCGATAACCAACATCAGCATCAATAACCAACGTCACCATCGATAACCAACATCAGCATCAATAACCAGCATCAGCATCAATAACCAACATCAGCATCAATAACCAGCATCAGCATCAATAACCAACGTCAGCATCAATAACCAACATCAGCATCAATAACCAGCATCAGCATCAATAACCAACGTCAGCATCGATAACCAACATCAGCATCAATAACCAACGTCAGCATCAATAACCAACATCAGCATCAATAACCAGCATCAGCATCAATAACCAACGTCAGCATCGATAACCAACATCAGCATCAATAACCAACGTCACCATCGATAACCAACATCAGCATCAATAACCAGCATCAGCATCAATAACCAACATCAGCATCAATAACCAGCATCAGACTGAGAGATGAGTTTGGTGGACTTTCACAGCCACTGCTCCAGAACCTCCATACAGGGTTAGTATATCATAGGTCAGGCCAGGCATCATATTCACGATTAAACACTTCTGAATTTCTTTAGCAGTTTGTATAGCATGTTTGCATTATAAAGTGCAGCTGGTCATTTACGATAGCTTTGTGTTATTTAAGCATTACACAACAGCACAGAGAACTCATTAAATGAAAGATTGAGAAGATCATGAGATGTCTGCCCATAGTATAGATCTGTCGATTAAAAAAAGTTAGAGGGCAACACTAGGCTTTCTCCAAATATATCCATATCCATTTTAAAATATGCAATATAATTCATTTAATCATCAATCAGAGGGACTTTCTGTTGTATGTGAAAAGATGGATGCTAAAGTTTGAGCTGACTCACAAATGTACTCTTACACAACCACTCTTCCTCTTCTCAGCATGGACTGTGTGTTCCCGGGGGTGGGGTTTATGTACATTTTTGGGTGGGTGACATCACTAACCCTGGAGGAATGTAATGTGGTCCCTACCAGCCATTTGTTGTAGTCCTTTTCTTTAAAAGCAAATATCTTAATTTGCTTCGAACTTTGAGCATTGTAACTTTAATAATGTTGTTTATGCTCAAACAGCAACATTACACACTAATTAAAGTTAGAAAAGTGAATTCCCATTTAAGCTCTTTTCAGTATTCATTTTGGCTTGTAGATAATGCCCCCCCCCCCCCCCCCCCCCCCCATATTTTTGTTCAATACTGTAACATCTGCCAGTGATGTCACTGTCATCTAACCATTCAATGATGCATTTTAATTGAATATGTTAGTTGTAATTGTAGAGTTATACAACAAAATGTAGTCTCATACGAAAAGTGATTGTTTATATATTTTTGTGAGTGTAACATAAATGGACAACTTTAAAGGAAGTTTTCTCAATATTTCGATTTTTTTTTTTTGCACCCTCACGTTCTGAATTTTTAAAATAGTTGTATCTCTGCCAAATATTACAGTATATCGGCCTATCCTAACAAACCATACATACACAACACGATGGAAATTCAGCTTTCAGATGATGTATAAATCACAATTTAAAAACACAAATGGCGGGATTTGTGGTCCAGGGTCACAGATGGGGGAAAACAATCTGTTGGATTAGGTGTAATGGACTGCAGCGCGAGCGTCGACGAGGTGCGCAAAACGCGTAACTCTGCAATACCACCTTAAATGAGCGCAGAGTGTATAGCGGATGACTCTCTTCGCAAGTAGTCCACCTTAAGCGCGCATAACGCAGGCGTAGAGCGAGGCTTCCGCTTCATTCCCAGCCGGGCTCGCAGCGGATCACTTCGGGGACAAGAGAGACGCTCGGCCAACGCCAACAGAACCAGAGCCGCAACATGTCGGAGCCCAAATACCGAGAATGGATCCTGGAGACCATCGACTCCCTGCGCTCGAGAAAAGCCCGACCGGACCTGGAAAGAATCTGCCGAATGGTCCGAAGAAGACACGGGTCAGACCCGGACAACACCAGGGCTGAACTAGAAAAACTGATCCAGGAGCAAACTGTGCTGAAAGTTAGCTACAAGGGCTCCATTTCCTACAGGAACGCCGCGAAAGTGCAAAGAAAATGCAGAAAGAGAAGCGAGCAAAGCGAGTCCGCGCGCGAGCAAACCAAACACGCCAGTTTCAATAACAACGGCGACAGCGCGCTCAGCCTCACGGACCAAGAAGAGGAGTGCGAAGAGGAGGAGAAGAAGGAGCAAAGTGCGGAGAGCTTGTGTTCTCCTGAACCCCTGCCTCCTCAAACCTCGCCCTCAAATCTCGAAAAGGAAGAAAAGATTGAAACACAGCCGAGCGGAAACTGTTTCCTCAGTTGCGGCGCGACGGTGTGTTCCGCGGGGAGCGTGAAAGCAAGTGCGTCGAAGGACAAGAGATTAGTCACCGAGGCGGTGGGGACCAGCGGTGCTTCAGGAGGCGAGACGCGCGGCGCGGTCCATGAAGGAATCGATAACAAAGATGAAGAAGAGGAGCGGAAAACTTGCTCGAGTAGTCCGGCCGCGACTAACAAGCCCCCCGCCTCCCCGAAACCCAAACTCAAGGGCTCTGCTGTGCGTGCCTCGGAGTCTGTGGATGAAAGCAGTGCTGATTTAGGCGATAGACTGGTTGCCGCGGTCCGAAGTCTGTCCCGGGGCTCCGCCGCAACACGGGGCCACGCGCCACCGGGGCTGAATGACATCCTGGGCTTCCTCAGCACACAGAGCGGGATGCCCGGGGAAAAGCTGACCCGCAACCGCGTTAAAGTGGTGCTGGAGCGCGAGCTCGAGAGGGGTCGCCTGCGCAGGACGCGTCTCGGCCACATCGCTCTCCACGCGAGGGCCAACAAGCCTCCGTCCGCGCGACTCCTGAAGAGCGCGCTGCAGGACAGACATCTCGCGAAAAAGGTAGAACTTAATATTTCCGACACGTCCTTGCGCGTGCTGTAGCGCTACACGCGCGCGCCGCGCTACACCCCAATCTTTCGTACAGCCTAAATAATTGATGGAAAAAGCG